CGATCAATTTATCTTACCGGTTAATGTTCTCTTTAATAAATTCCCGTCTGTCGCCTGTCTCGATCTAAAAAATAACAACAATAATAATAAAATATCATAGTGTGTGATTTATTTAAGAGTTGGCATTTTTATTTCTGTAGCTGGTGATAGTCTTGTCAGCCAACTTCCAGAGTAGGCACATAGAGAAATCACAAGAGCTGTCGCTTGTGATTTCGATGCTCTAGAACATATCTTATCCAGTCAATCGAGCCACGCAACTCAACTCTCTTGTCTTGCATGTAACATTGTATTGGTGTTTGCTCGTGTTATGCAGTACATACAGTAGGTAGTGGCTGTACTGAGCTCTGGGTTGGTGAGAAGAAGCCCCCGGGAACCTCGTTATCTTGACAGACGTACATAAATATACCGGCTGCTATTCACAACGGTACCAGTGATCACCACTTGCAATATCCCGGTTTTTATTTATTTTAAAGAGATTTTTTTCGCTACCGTTATTGAACATCAAATTTTTAGTTCGATAAGATTTTAAAATGCTGTAGAGTTATGATTTTTTTATCTCAAGTTGGAATTCTAGAATTGATTTTTTTTTTTTTTGCGTCGCACCTTTGTAGAAATTTTTTTAAGTATGTCTTCTTAAACGTCCTAAATTTTGGATGATTTTATATAAATACTTGGATTGATTTATATTTTTGTAGAAATTTTTTTTCTTTTTTAAATCAATTTTTGATAAATATTTTAAATAAAAATTTGACTTGTGTAATTCTTCAAAAATTTCTCTAATACTTTTTCACGTTTTTAAGATTTGATCAAAATCACACTTAAAATCTAAAAAAAATTTCAATGATTTTTAAAAATTTCATTACTCAATTTCAATAAACTCCTATAAAATTCACCAGTTTCAATGCCCCTTAAAAAATGTCTACGTAACCTCAAAAGACAACTCAGATTACACATCGCAATATAGTTTTTCCATAAAAATAAACATATTTTTTGCAACTAAAAAAATTTGGCCAACTGTATAATTGACGTCAGTAAAACGGTTGCCGGAAGCTAACGTAAAGCGGACCCGGGTGCGATGACTCCATATCCACCTTGGGATCTTAAGACTCTTAAGTCTTGAGTCTGGTCTGTAACTGCTCGTATTATTCTGCATACGCATTGCACATTATACATACACTTATTTTTATTTTTGTTCTATTCCGTTCTTTCTCATTCTCCTTATCTGTACATTACATTATATTCCTCTACCCGGCGAATTACACGTTACGTCTTCGTATACCCACTGCCGTCGACAACTTCTAACCGCTAAGTAATTAGCAGCTACAAGACTTAATTAAAAACCGCAAGATGAAAACTTAACCGACGATACTTAGTGCCAATGAAGTAAATAAAATAAATTGAAAACTAAAATGGAGGTGTGAAATTTTTATATTAATATTAATAGTACAATACTTCTTTTCATGCGACTTTTTTATAAATAAAAAAAAACTTATTAAAAATCAATAAATGATATATTTTCAAAAACTAACTTTTAGTCAATTTTAGAAAATATTTTAATTAAAATTAAATTATGTTAGGAATATATTTTGACAACATATAAGAAACATATCGATAAAAAAATTTATTTTCGACTATATAATATTTTTAATATGATTTGAAGCTAAATTTGTTATAAAGTTTAAAAAAAAATTTTTTTTAACATTTTCAGACATGTATTCTTTATATAAATTTATAATATATTTATGATATACAAAATATATATAAAAATTGGCAAAAAGCTATTGAAAAAGTATTTTTTTATAAATATTTTATATAATATTTATTTATTCCTAATATATTTTTGATTCAAATTTTTTCCATGGGGGAATCGTTCAGCAGTTGAGTAGATGAATGAAAAAAATTATCCATTATCTGGTACCTGGTATCGACAAATATAATATTAGCTGGATAAAGAACCAGGTTATTACGCAACCGCCGATTTAGCAAAAGAAAAACTCACCATTACAGAATAAGAAAAAAAATGAGCGTCAGGAGAAACATAATACATAATAATATATAACAACAAACGATTTGTCCGGAGTAGAATGAAAAAAATTTTTCGAAGCCTTTGCTGGTTTTTTTTTGTTATCTTTTTTATCACTCCGTCACCACAATCCAAAGTAATTCTCTCGATAACTGAAAGAATTTAGTCATGTCTTCCGTGTTTTACTTGGATAAATATAGACACAAACAAATTAAAAGATAAATTACGATTGAGCTATCTTAATGGCGTAGTACTACTAATTATTGTTGAATTAAAATATCTTTTGTCAAATAAATCACGCCTAGTACGTAAAATAGCTGCCTGGTTTTTGATTATTATAAAAATGAGAAAAAAGGTCGAAAAATTTATGTCTGTTTAATTTTTTTTAATACACTAAATGGGTGAAAGTATTTTAAATTGTTTTTTAATAAGAATCAATTTAATAAAAAATTTAAAATATTTGCATTTAAATTTTTTCATCATCAGTTAATCATTTAAACAAATCATAAGATTGATGGATGTATGCTAATTTCAGTAAAAAAAAAATAAATACATGCTCGCATTTTTACGTATTAATTTTAAATAAAAAGATTCAAAATTTTTGAATTGAAATTTTTGCTTGCGTTTAAATTGATTAAAATAATACTTTGTAATTAATAAAAGATTAAAAAATTTTCTAGGAACTGCCTACAATTTTCAGTGTCACAATTTTTAAAAATATATTCTTGTGAAAATGAATTTAAATAAATATAAAAGAAAATTAAATATTTGTCAACTACTGTCCAAAAAAATCAACATTAAATAGTTTTACATCCAGTAAAATTTATATCAAGATGCAATAATTTGAATAAAAACTCAATATTTACGTAAGTTCTAAGTATATTCAAATTCCCAACACATCTAATTTGATTTCACAAATTTTTTAAATAAAAAAAAAAAAACTCCTTAGACAACATCTAACATTGCCCCGACTTAATTATTCGGACTGCTAGTATTACATAAAAATCTGCAGTTAAACAACTAAACACCAAGAATCAGATTTGGCATACATAATTAATCCGAAATCTCAAGAAACAAAACAAGAGTACCATTAAAGCCAAGCTAATCAATTAACCACCACCATAAATAGTATAAATTAAACAGCTTGTAAAAAATAAAAACAAAAAACTATATATATTATATATAAATTACTCAATTGTTGTCAAACGGGTATGATTAAGTATTCATACTGTCTCAATAAAAACACTTGTGTCAATTTTCGGGTCCCGACTTTCTTAATATGGTGTCGCTGTTCATCGAAAAACATAATAAAAATACAATTATACATTTATACATTCAACATTTTCGCCCACGATTGTACGTGGGCTCACCTTTTCACTTAACATCAAAAACGCACTATCAATACAATACCTTACATCTCCCATTACATCTTTTCTCTTCTCTAGAACCTAAATATACACCATGAAACATTAAATAAATTCCCTTGCTACATAACATCCCAATAAAATCACACAAAAATCCTCATAAGGAAAAGAGGAAAGACGAAATCGCCCACGCAGCCGACATCGAACCAGCGCATGCGTTAGACAAGACAATCATGGAAAAAATACAAAATAGATAGATAGTAATTGTAAGAGAAAGAGAAAGAGTAAAAGTACAAAAAAAAAATATTTATTAATAAACCGCGTGAAGTGTTTTGCTGGATAGGCATAGAATAGACGTAGCTTAATAACCTTTAACTTAAAACTTACATTACGCTATAATGTATGACTCGATATTATATATATCAAGTATAGTTTCGCTGTTCGAGAGAGGATCGGCAGTCACATTTGCAGCAAAAGAGTAAGAGTGAGAGAGACAGTGAGTGTCTCTCACCTGTAAGCATTTAGTTGCCCTACTCTTCAAGTCTGAACATCGCGGTGTGGTTCTTTACCCAATACAACTCTACAAAACAGACTCTACTGAGGTAGAGTGCAGGACAGGTGAGGTGAGGTACCATCACCGTGTTTAAAGCAGTTGGGAATCGGTTGGTAGGCTGCGCGGGTGGGGAACCCGCGAGCGACAGTCGGTGGATGCCGTGCTAAGCGGCAGCGCGTGCTTAACTTGGTGTCTCTATCACTACCGATAATTTACAATAATATCGAGTAAAATGTCCTAATAAAATATTTATTGTAATATCGATTTTTACGTAACTGAATATTTTAATCAATTAAAGCTGTCTTTATATATAGATTTAATTTTGAACGATGATCGGTAGGATGAGCGATGGGAACCGTGTGGGCAGGTAGAACGCGTGGTGGTGATCATTGTGATATTACACGACACATGATACATCGCGGTGCGGATATGGTGGTGGTAATGAAAATGATCGGCAACCCTGAATTTTATATTGATATTAAGAAATATCGGAGTTAATAAATCGACGCTTGGTGCTCACTAAACATAGTTTTCAATTTCGCGTCGCGGTGTCAACACCTCTCGACGGAATTTATTGCTCTTTGCTTTTTATTTTATTTATTTATTTATTTATTTGTGCTTATTCTCGTTGTAACAGTATTCACGTGGAATCGATAGTGCTCGGCAGGAGGATACTCTTATAATGAGCCTCCGTGCTCGGAGTAGTGAAAGGAAAACAAAAATACGTAACTGTTTTTTTTTAATCGATAAAAACAGATTTAAATGATGATAAGAAATTAAAACTTTGGAAAAAAAATAAGTTCTGGTGCGCGGTTATTTTATTTTTTTTATTTTATCATAAAAAGTGGATTTTTTCGGACTCTGTTTGCTGAGTGGTTATAAACAGTGGAGTGTTATCTCTCGGCGTAACGAGATCTGTAATTATCTTGGGAAAAATAGTGTCGTCACTTATCGCTGTGTTGTATTGGTTAAGGATTTGATGTTAGATATTTGATAATAGAGGATTAGATTTTTTTTACTGGTGGTATTATTATTGTTGCTGTTGTTATTGAAGTGAACCATGTATCGGTTCAGTAAGAGTGGACGGCTTTTCGTCCAAGGGACCAGGGAACAAGACGATCGGGATAATGTCGCTGGCTCTAGTCCTACCGGAGGATCAGAGTTGCAGGCGGTTCATACCAAACGTCATATGTCCACGGAGATTTTAGGTATCTTGAGGTTTTTGAGAGAGGTTTAGATGTCTGGAGAATTTTTTATGTTGTTATGCAAAGTTACGGTGTATAGGAGGTTGACGCGGATTTTTTTGGATTTTCTGAGGAAGTTTTTGAGTAATTTTGTAAAATTTTTTAAAGATATTCAATTTTTCGAAAAAATTCAACGTATAAAATTGAATAAAAAAAATTAAATTTTCAAAAAAATTAAATTTTTTAAAGTAAAATTAATAAAATTTTCTTTATTAAATTAGGTAGAAAATTTTTCTAATAAATTTTCTAAAAGTCTTCTATTTTTCATTTTAATTTTTTAAATGTATTCTGCGTAGAAAATTGATGTTAAAAATTTGTTGTATAAATAACAAAGACATATTTTTATAACAATGTATTTTTTATACAAATTTGTAAAAATTTTTTAAAGCTCAAAAATTTTTCAAATAAATTCTGCGTATAAAATTCTCTAAAAATTCGAGTTCTAATAAATTAAGTATTGTATCCTTACACTTGATTTTTGAAAATTTTCTTTAATAAATTATTACAGAAAGAAATTTTTCAAAAGAAATCGTAAATACGAATTCAAAAATTTGACATAAATAGTAGACACACGCGTTTTTGATGACAAAATAGGTAACAGCTGATCGAAACATAAGTCGACCTTGATCTTGCCCACGCGTTCTGGCCTTTAAATGGTCAGGTCTGTATCGTAAACGATCGGAGTAAGCAAATACTCAATAAAGTAAAAAAAAAAAAAAAAAAAAACAGGAATCTTTTATATTTATTTTTATCATCATTCTCATTGCTAATTTCAGCATAATTATTCAGTCCCTCAAGGACAGTAGCATTTTATAGCCCCTTAAATCGATCTCAAGTACATACCCGGTTATCAATCCAATATCGAACAGCATTTTACCGGCACAAGAAGTGACATTTATACAAAATCGGAGTACAAATAACTCGGAAATAAAAAATTCTCCAGACATATCTCTCTTGCACTTTAATTGATTGACACGAGAAACTAAACATGATGCGATGATAGGCTCCTCGATTGAATCAACCAAGACTTCAAAACGCGGCGAGAACGGAGCACGTAGAATCGTGACGCGAATAATCAGGAAAACAACGACTCTCACTCGAGGTGAAGAGAAAAGCACAACCGAGAATTTGACGAATCGAGCGCAGGTCGAATCTCTTCAGTCAGCCCAGTATCAAAAGGTTACGAGTCATCAGGGTTCTCCGGTTACTAAGTCTGCCAAAACAGTCCGGGTAAGTTCGGCAGATTTTGTCAAAATGGAAATTATTCCAATTTTGGAGTAATTGCAGTTTGGTCTTAAAAAAAATCATTATCAAAACATCAATTACCATCAAAATTATAGTTACCTTTAGGGTCACTGTTTGAATTTCTAATCTTGACTTTCTTTAAAGTCCAAAATTAAAGACAATTAAGAAAATCAACCATAAAATTTTTAAATGGGAGTTTTTTTTTTATAAAAAAATTATCTTCAATAAAAAAGATCAAAATTTTTAACGAAGTAATTTTTTAAAAAAAGAAAATATTTCCTTCTATCAAATTATCAAAACATTATGACTGAACATTAGGACAGTTAAATTAAATTTTTCTGTACACTGAAAATTAATTTTGAATCAAGACAAATTTATCTCTTGAATCAATTTTTTTTAATGAAAATTTCAATTTTGCCATAAAAAAAAACCCAAACTTTTTCAGTTAAATTTATTTAACAAGAAAACGATTAATAAATAATCGATTAAGTTGCATCATAAATAAATTAGGTAGCATACTGGCTTTAAACATTGATAAGAATATGTAGTCCAAAGAAATGTATACAACAGCACGGGTGATTATATTGATAAACCGATAACACGTATATTATAATGTATAATATATTAATAATAAGTTAAAGTGGTAAACTCCTTTCTACTTGTACTGTTCATACCTGTCATGCAGACAAACTTGTCTGTTCAGTAATGTGATATAGAGACAGTGAGACAAATCCGGTCAGGGCCAGTTGCATACTTTAACCCTTTTCACTTGTATTAACTCTGCACAACGAAAGCTCATTCAGTCGATCAATTAATTTCTTCGTATGATCGCGACACTGCATCCATATCCATATCCGCGGTTCTTCTCTTATTATCGGTTATTTTTATTTTTATTTAAAACTACAGAACATGTACACTCATAATTAATCCGCAAAAACTCAATCATCTCGCCTTTGAATTCCACACCCTTAAGCATCGTCATTCCGTACCGGTTTTATTTATATTTATTTACTTATTTAATTTATATTAACTTTCTAATCCAGGAAACTACATACATCGAAACTGAAAGTTGACAACTTCTAGTTAGGTTATTTGGAAAAATTCTTTGAATTACAGAGTCTAATTTGAAGCCTTGTAAGATACTTAGATTAGAATAGAAGCCTCGGAAATTTTGATACGATTTATAAATGAAATTAAATCTTTTTTTGTAATTTCTTTTCAAGTATTACGCAGAAAAAAAAAATTAATTTAAATCAAGTAAATAATTTTGAAGAATTCCATCTTCTTGATTGGAGTAAAACAATTCTTAATTTAAGAAATTTTTCTTGGCTTAAGTAAATACCTATTACTTGATTCAAGTAAAATTTTTTTCAGTGTATAAGTTTTAAAAAAAAATGATTGAATAAAACCCAAACTAAAAAGTAGAAAATAATTTTAAATAAGTTTTAAATATTTTTATTGTCAAAAAGGTGAGAGGTACTTGAAGAAATTGTAATAAATATTTTATTGGTAGATATTTATTAAAGTAAAATTATTACAAAAATATCTTAAAAAGTATCTCTCACTTCTTTTATAATAAAATTAATTTTTTGGTTATTTTAAACTTATTGAAAAGTATCCAAAATTATTTTTATTAAAGACTTTTTCATTTTTGTTTTTTAATATAATTTATTTAGACATTTTTTCCGTATTTACTATAAGATAGTCATTAAATTATCATATTATCATTGGTCATTGATATGTGTAAAAATTTTCAAATTAGTCAGACATCTTAGTCGATAAAAATGACGTTGGAATTCCGTTTCATAGACAGATTCTTACATATATAAGTCAAGCTAATAAAAACGTCTTAATAATAAAAAAAAAAGACCATTCCGGCAGCCGAAATGGAAGTAGATTTCATTTTAATAAAATAATTATTATTAAATTTTTAAATTTTTAAATACAAAATAATAATAATAATAATAATTCAGTGATAATAATTCAATTTAAATTATAAAAGTATGTAATTTTTCATCGATGTTTCTTTATTACGTTATCACGTAAAACTATCGTCCGTAAATTGATTTTACAGACAACTAATTTTTTTTTTTATTAAAAAAAAAATAATTACAAAAAAACACTTTAAAAATTATAAGTTTAATTTTAAAAAAAAATATTTTTTTTTAAAAATAATTCAGAGTCAATAAAATAAACATTTCAGTTGTTTTGGCATTTAAATAATCGCAACCTTGTTTTTAATTAATAATAATTTAAAATTATTCCACAAATACAGGGGATTATTATTATTACTCACCTGTTACACTTGAAAACATACGAAAAAGTCGATAGTCACGAATATGGATCAAATATGTGGGTTTTACGGACTGGCAGCGTAACTCTGACATTCGAGTGACACCTACGATAACCGATCGCTTTTGCATCAATGTCACCTATATAATAATAATACTTTTAATAAATCTATAAACATCGCAAGTCACGTAAATAACCGATCGATCGATCTCAATCCCCGCCCACGTGTTGCCTTATAAATCCCGAATATCTTTATTAAAAATGATAATTATAATGAGCCGCGAACGTCGGAGTAGAAAAAATGAAATAAATAATGCGAGTAATAATAAAAAATTTTATGGCCAAATTGTCGAGGTAAATTGAGCAAATTAAGCCATAGAACGAGGTCCACTGGTTTTTTATTATTAAATTTCTTATTTCGCGAAGAGAGGTTGAGGCGCGTTACTTCAAGTGAAATCACCGGATTGACATAAATCTTATTTTGTACATTACATTATTAAGTATCTCTAGATGTCCAGACTGTCTCGTCTTTTGACGGACAGCGGACACGAAAATATTCAGTATAAATGTATGGTAGTCATACATAACTAACTATATAGATATATATTTGTATATTTATGTATTTATAGGTGTAATTTACTCGTTGGTGTGATCAAGCAATTTATTGAGACTCACCCACTTGTTTTCTTTTATACATTTATTTGTCTTTCTCTCTCCCGATTTGTGTTGCTTAATTCATTCTGACGTAATGGCGTACTCTTATGGTGATGTCAGGTCGGTATCGCGCCCCATAAGGAGACAAACCAAGGACTACAATGTTACGGCTTGCCATAAAACTTGTATGGTGAAATCTTTTTCTTATTAATTCTCCTCTTTCTCTCAACTCCGTCAGCTTCATTATTTTTATTCATTCTTTTTCTTATTTTTTATTTTTTAATCATTTAGCTACAATAACTTTTTCGCCCACTTTCTTACTTGGACATCGAAGAACATGTTAAACCAATCACGATTGCGATACTCAGCCCAAGCCATTGTAACCTTTAAATATTTTTTGGAATTAAGAATTTTTTTATTGAAACATTTTAATTGTTTCGGGGAAACTTTTATTGGAATATTTCTTTGAATTACGGTGGAAGATTTTTATTGCCGAATATTATCATTTTTTTTAATGATCATAAAATTAAAAAAAATATTTCTCTAAATTTAAAACAAGTTTGAAAATTTTTTTTCTCACGAAAAAATTAGTTGTAATAAATAATAATTACATTCAAAAAATTGTTTCTCATTTATGCTATGTACAGTAATTTAAAATTACGTCAAATTTTGTAGTAAGTAAATATTTTCTCGTAATTAAATTTCTCAAATAATTTAATTTAAAAAAGTTTACAACATAATTCATAGTATAAATTATTTAATTGAAAATTATGCAACTAATGGCTGTTATTATTTAAATTACTAAGAATTAAATCCAATTATTGAATTTTACCTTTCTTTGGTTAATTACCAAAATTAGTATTTATAAAATTTCCGATTGTGGCCTTTAGTTTTTCAAAACATCAATGAATACATTGTTCAAAAATAAAAAACGCGTTTTTAGTTTCTCATAATTATGATTTTGTAATTTGGTCTACCTCAATGTATTTCAGTAGTTTTTACATTATAATTTAAATTAATTTCCCTGAATTTTCATAAATATTATGTTTAATTCCTCAATTATCTCATAATTATAAATTTCATCCAAGGTTTTGATTTTTATTACAATTTTTCAGTCAATACATTTGAACATTCATGTATTCTATTTATGTAAATTTTGTCGGTAATTTTATCTCTAAAATGATCAAGAATGTTGAAAATCAATGTACGATTAATAATACTGAAAAACATGATAAATTTATTCATACTTTTATTTCTTAATTACTATTTTACAAGCATACTTATTATGATAAAAATATGTGGAACATGGAAAGGAAAATAAACAGGCGTTAAATTTTCTAAATCTTCAACATTTCGTTGATTATTCTCAATCTGTACAAAAAACAATTTATCACAATGATAAATCAACATTAAAAAATAAATATTTCATTTTTTCAATCATAAAATTATACCAGCAGTTTTAAAAAGTCTTACTTTAATTTTATTATTATTAATTAATTGTAATACGAAAGAAATTCTAATTTAAATTATCTTAGAAAAAAAATGAAATTAATTCTCTAGAAAATATGCAAAACATTAAAACTTTTCTTTATTAATACAATAATATCCATTACTCCAGTTAATTACTGAATTGAAAATAGTTAAATCGTAAATTCGGCTTTCTCTCACAGAGATTTGATCCAACAAACCATAACTAATTAGTTATCCATCATAAAGTAAAGAGCGTTGCGTGTCAAGACGATCAAGGTCGAAAAAAATTCCCCGGCGAATATAAGGACTTCCTTTTGTGTGTCAGCTGATGAAAATAATTAAAATAATTTTTAACACGTCAAAGCGTTTAATTAATGAACCAAGCGAGTAGAGTAATTTTTGTCTTTCAATAGCTACCTGTCTATTGCTGCTGTACAATACAGCAAAACCACTGCCGGAAACGGACTAGCACTTATTTCTTTTTATTTAACTTTTATATTCTCTCTGAATAGAAATAGTAAAGACAATGTAATGCTGAAGGCCAGGATGGAGCAGACTCACTTGATCAATCGTTATACCGTTCGACCGTTAGTTTAGAACGCTCAACGCTCAGGAAAATCTTAAACTGTTTCCTGACAATAAGTCACCCGTCAGTCAGTTCCAATAAAATCAAAGTGACGTGACATCTATTTCTATTTCCAATTTATATTGAAAGACAAAAGTTACTTAGCATTTATTAGTATCAACTTCGAAATATAATTTATTGACATTAAGTCCTTTCCGTTTTTATTCATGTCCTTTAAAGACTCAATCGTGATAGGTCGAATTCACTATCGCTCAATTTATGTGCACTTCCTGGTGTAAAGCAATCATGATTTTACCGATTGCAGTTTGAGTTAATCTCATGTAACTGTTTTTGATTTTTTATTCATATTAATTTTGATTTTTTTTTGCATGAGGCTTCTTTTATTGACAAACGTGTACGATCAAAAGGCGATATGTAATGTATATTATTTTTTTTAACAGCATCTTATCCTATCAATAAATTATCAGTTATTAGTTACTTTGAAGTGATTATATTTAATTATAAGAAATTTATTTCTTGAGTGTAACCAGCGATTCATGTTAAATGTTAAGCAATTTAGATTTCTTTAATGCACTGAAAAAAAAATTTAAGTCCTATTGGTATACTCTTTTTTAATGAATTGGTATTGCGAATATGATGTAAAAGAGTTTAAGTATAATCGCAATACTCGGTTTAAGTGAGTGACTTATATTTTCCGTACGATACTATTGCAAGTCTAGAGAGAATAGTAAAAAAAGTTCCCGTGTAAAAATAAAAACATTGTCAATCGAGATTAACCTAAATTACAATAATTGTAACATTAATGTTTTAACTATTATTTTTTAATAAATAAAATTAAAAAAATTAAATAAATTACCAAAAAATAAAAAAAAATATTAACATATGTGAGTCGCCAGGAACAACTTAGATATTGTTAATTTTTTAAGATTTTAATAAGCAAACATCTGACAGCTCTTGTGAGTTTTTCATAAGTACAAAATTACTATAAAATCAAATAAATATTTGAAAAAGGTAAAAAATTTCGAAAAAGGTTTAAAAAAAATTTTGGTTTAATATAAGTAATTTTTTTAATTGGATCAAAACGTTGTCAGACGTTTGTTAATTTTAGAATCATTTCTATATTTTCTTTGGGAGGAATTCTGTTGATAATAAGTATTCGTTAAAATTCATATTTAGATGAAGAAATTGATAAGGCAGCTTTTGCTAATTTAACAGAAGAGGTAATAAAAAGAATTATTCCAAAAGCTAGCCCTCAAATCAAGTTCTGGTCCAAATGGAAGGTGGAATTTAGTGATACTTTTGTTCTTCAACCCGTACGAATACCTAACGTTAGTTATTTGTTTCAGTACTGTTGATTTCTATTCAATTTAATTAATTATTCCGATCAATCATTTATAATTGTACGATCTAACCATTACTAAAATTATTATTTGGACATTAAAGATTTTAAAAACTAATTATATGAATATCAATATTATCAATATACCTTATCATATAAACTAATTTAATATTCTGGGGCTTAAATTATAATTATTATTAACTATTTATTAATTTTTAAACAAATTTAATTTTTAAATTAATGAGTTGATCGTAATGTCTTTAACCTACAGCAATATTCATTTGAGTGTATTGTGGTTATGAGTATTGCGCAGGCGCTCTCGGTTTAAGTGTATGACTTAAACGAGTTTCAGTGTAGCGCTTAAAAAATATTGCATTGAGACTTAAATATTGTTTAAGTATATTCGCAATACCAAGTATTTCAATATCACTGAAACTTATAAGTGTGAGACTCATACTTTTTTTTCAGTGTGTTACATGCTTTAATATTTTTTTTCTATTTCAGTTTAATTACTTGATAACTGTTTTGACGTCGATTATCGGACATGTCAGTGTTATTATTAGTACTAATTTCGTTGCTTACATTCTTTGTTAATTTTTTACACATACTATTATTAAAAAAAAATTTTATTTTTTTAACAAGTACCGCTTGTCTATTTTTAATGAAAAAAATTACTCTCAAAACTTTTAATTTCACAAAAAGTATCCAGTGATTTTAATTAAACAGAAATTATTATTTTGATATTTTATGAGCTTATTATTTTTTAAGCTTTTATATGAGATTTATCGAAATTTTATTCTGGTAATTCGAGACTAAAATATTTCTCAATAAATTTATTAACATTTCATTGAAAGTTTAATTTATTCATTACGACTAAATAAAATTTTTGGTTTTAAAAATAATTTTATAAAAACTTGACAAAATTAAATTTAATACAAATATATGTTCATTAAATTGTCACAAGTGTGTTAAATTTCATTTAAATAGCAGAAATAATTACTTTACTTTTGACTTTCAAATATAAAATATTCTTAGTGTTATTTTTGTCATTTAAATTTATTAAAAACGCAAGCTTGAAAATTAATTAACATCATAAAAATAAGAACATGTTAAATATAAAATATAACTTTTTTTTTTATAATTGTTTTGATGAATAATTAATTCATCACTCAGATGCTTTAAATGTAAAACTAATGAATGTATTTATCTTTTTCCAGATATCAGACATTGTTGTTGGCCAGGAACCAAACGTGACAGCGCGCGAAGCCCTGCTAAGATGGGCCCGGCGATCAACAGCGCGTTACCCAGGTGTCAGAGTAACAGACTTTACAAGTTCCTGGAGAGACGGAATGGCATTCAGTGCACTTCTTCATCGAAACCGTCCTGACCTAATCGACTGGAGGAGCGCGCGATCATGCCAAGCAAGAGAACGGCTTCACCAAGTTTTTTACATCGCCGAGCGCGAGTACGGCGTTACCAGACTTCTCGACCCCGAAGGTACTTATACATAATAATAAAACTCTTTTTTGTAATTCAAGAAATTTTTAAAAATTAAATAGTATTAAAAAACTTAAATAAATTAATGCATAATTATAAATTAAGGCAAAAAACATTTTTATTCAAAGGTACAGGACTTTTTAATTTAATAAATTGCTCTCAAAGCTCAAGAAGTAAATACTTAACTAAAAAAAAAAAATTTTTGAGACTTTAAAATATTAATTTTTTTACAAACTATAAATCGTTTAGTTTTGGAATAATTAAAAAAATTTTTTAGTATAGAGAGATTTAATTTCTTAGTCCGAAATATTTTATATTTAAATGAAAAAATACAAAAATATTGATTGAAAAATAACTTAATTTTCCTCAATTGATTTTGAACTTCTGAATTAATATCAAGAAAACAATTTTTTTGAATCAAGATTCTGTAAGAATATTGAATATTAATGTTTTTTCTTCTGAATATAAAGTAAGGATTCTTTCTTTATCCTTATCATCATTTATCATATTCTTATCTAATCTATTTAAACAAACAAATGAGCTTTTAACTCTTTAACCCTGGCATTATCCACTTGCCAGCAAACTCTAGTCCTTTCACCGTATAGCTGAACATTATATAAAATTAAATATAGAATATACTTATAATATACATCCCATTTGATTCATTCTTCCGCATTGCTGAGATGAGATACGAGGAGAGCCACCACATTCTATTCTACGCTAGATTGGATATAAGTTAGAAGTTATAAGCCTGTACTGGCACTACAACTACGCTATAAGATGAAATGTGTGATGTTGCCCGCTAAGTACTTGAACCGCGGATCCACTGTTCGGTTCTGTCCCAGATCCACGAACCGCGAGTAGAGATCAATAGGTCAGAGGATAGAATTTAGCTGAAGACTAATAGTAACACAAGGACTAGACAGTGGAGGATCTTTCTCTTTCTTTACTCACAGACATTAACATTAACATTAACATAAATCTAAATATTTAAAAACAGCGATAGAGTGTACTCTTCATAGATGAATATGAAGTTAGCTGGGGTTTCATTTAATTTATATCATTGACATGCATTTCGAAGAGCATAACCCGTACCATAACCGACCACCCATTGTGGAAATAAGCAAACGGTATAAACTTTCCATCCTCTTATACTTAATATCATTCGCGGCTACAGCAACACTCAATACACTTGACTTGTATTCTTGTATACCAACTCTATAGTCTGCGGTTTATCGCGATCGGCGTCGTTCAAAAAATTCACGGGTAATGGGCGGCGCCAAGTACAACTTGTCTCGATATCATGTACCAGATCACTTTTTTAAATTCATCGTGCCAAATAAATATAAATATAAGTAATATATTAAATCCAGGGCGATATTATGCACCCACTTTACTTCTGTTCTTCTGGAGCTAAAAAACAATCAGGTTCTTTTATTTGATTTTTAATACTTTTTTTAGGTCATGAATCAGAACATGAGTCACGTCCAAAGAAGACAATTGAAATTCATTTTTTTTTTCTCTTAAATAAATTAAGTGCTTTTTGGTAAACTCTCTCATTGTTGTTACATTACGGTGAGCAGCGATGCATCGAAAAATACTGAAATTTAAAGTCTGCGGGGCTTAGTTGATATTAAAATATCCGCGATTTCGGCTCATATAGTTAGTATGTATATTTATATACATATTATGTGGCACACATTCGTTTTGGTCACGGTACCCGGCACCACTTCCGCTCTTACTCACACACCGTGACACACCGGCTCTTCGTATAATTACGCTTACGATTCTCAGTTGATGTGTTGCTTGTATATTGTATATTTTTGTGTTAGTACTGTATCCATTGTTAGCAAGTGATAGTGTTGAGAAATCCAAAGTCTTCTTCAAGGAGTTTTTATTCTCATTTTCAATGTTTTCTTTATCATTATTGTTATTTTATTTCTAAACAATACATGGGAAGTTTCACGGTAATCTTATCGGATAGTATAAAAAATTTTTAGAATTGATTTACTTATTTTTTTTTTTTCTGGAAGCCAAAAATTTTGTAAAAAAATTTTTTTTTCTCAAAACTTTTTAAAAGTTTTAAAAATATATTTTAATGCTTAAAAATTAAAAATGGAGCAATTAAAAATTTTTATTATTTACTCTGAACACAATTAAAAAAAAAAAATTATTTTGAAAAATATAAAATTATATTTTTATTATATAATACTAAATAAATTAAAAACTTTTCAGATGTCGATACCCCCGAACCGGACGAGAAATCTTTGATAACGTACATCTCATCGCTCTACGATGTCTTCCCAGAGCCGCCGCCAATCCACCCTCTGTACGACGCGGAAGCCCAGCGCCGCTCTGCGGAGTACCGCGAGCTTGCGACTTCTCTGCACATGTGGATGCGCGAAAAAATCGTGATAATGCAGGAACGTGCGTTTCCTCCGACTCTTATCGAGATGAAGAAACTGGCCGCCGACAACGCAAAATTCAAAAACGAAGAAGTACCTTCCCGGTACCGCGACAAACAACGACTCACTCACATATTCCGCGAACTCGAAAAATACTTCGAAGCCGTGGGTGAGATTGACATGGAGCCCGAGTTGCACATCGACGTGGTTGATAAAAATTGGAACCGGCTGATGATGCTGCATCAGGAAAGAGAACAAGCTGTTATTGATGAAATCAAACGGTAAATTTTTATTATAATTTATTTATCTAGTTTATATTGTTCGATTCGATTGGTTAAGTTAAATTTATTAATATTTACAGCTTGGAACGGTTGCAACGGCTTGCCGAGAAAGTGCATCGTGAAATGAAATCAACGGATAATCGTCTGGAGGAACTGGAGAGACGAGTTGAGGACGAGGCGCGTCGTCTTGATCGTCTTCATCCTCTAGAAGCTAAACATGCAGTCGATTTATTGGAGCAGGATATTCGTAATACAGAGATACAAATTCAGAATATATTCACAGATATTCATACTCTCACTGAAGGAAAGTACAGCCAAGCTGGAGAACTTCACAAAAGGTAAATAATCTTCTTTGAAAAAAATTTCAATTTAAAAATAATTAACACAATTAATTTTACAAATTTTTTTTTTAATTATTTTTATTACACTATCTCGAAATCAGAAATTTTTTTATAGTGTTTATTGAAGCATAATTGAGTACTATGAATATAAATAATATTAATAAATAAATTTCATATGCATATGATACAGTAGAAACGATTCAAATTACAATTTTTAATTTCAGAGTGCAAAAATTACATCAACGCTGGGTAGCATTGCGATCTTTATTGCATAAGCGGCTAGTACAACCACTTTCAGCAGTTTCGTTCCCAGTGGAGGAACGGGTTGTCACAAAGCATCGTACTACCGTCCACGAGACTCGTTTGGTTGACACCAATCCTCACTTCCGTAATCTACATGATTGCATAGATTGGTGCAAGAACAAACTGAAGCAGCTTCAAGACGCTGACTACGGATCCGATTTACCAAGTGTCAAAAATGAACTGGACATACATCAGAGAGAGCACAAAAATATTGACCAGTTCCACAGCAAAGTTGACAAATGTATTCATGCCAAAAACAATTTCCATGGAGAGGAGCTCGCTCTCTACAGCCAACACTTGAGTACATTGCAAAAAATTTATTCTGAATTATTGACTACCTCCAATAAAAGAATGTCCGACTTGGACACCTTACATGACTTTATCCAATCAGCCACTGGGGAATTGGTTTGGCTCAATGCCAAAGAAGATATTGAAGTTACACGCGATTGGAGTGACAAAAACTTGAATGTTCAAAGTATCGTCCAATATTATGAGGTAATTATTTTTATTGTTGTTGAATATTTTTTATGTCCTTCCTTATGAGTATAAAGTATAAAAAAAAAATATACTGTATTGTCAAATTTCAAATAATGTTTTTTATCATAGAATCAGTCATATATATATATATATATATATATATATATATATATATATATATATATATATATAGCCATTAAAAAAACGGCCTTCATATAATTCAAACATAGATATTTTTAGTATATTAATTTCAAAAATAGCCATAGTCAAGCATGTACATAAATAAACACAGAGCGTAATATGTAGTATGGCTCATTAATACTCACTTAAAAGGTCATTTAATTCCTAACATATGTAAAATTTTTCTCAAGTATTTATTTTTACTTTTATTACTTATAATTCACTATCATCTGAACAATTATTTAATCATAAAAACACTTTTCAAGCATACATACGGATCAGGAGCCGAGGTAAATTTATTAACAATAAAAACTTATCTTCATAATTCTATATTCTTAACGCGTCATATCTGTACAGTATCCAAACATTACATCTTGTTAAAATTAAAATAATTTTTATCAACAGAGTTTGATGAACGACCTGGAGAAGCGGGAGATCCAATTCTCGGCGGTGCAAGACCGCGGAGAAGCCCTTGTTCTTCAACACCACCCAGCAGCCAAGACAATTGAAGCGTATATGTCAGCAATGCAAAGCCAGTGGGCTTGGCTCTTACAACTCACGCTTTGCCTTGAAGTCCATCTAAAATACGCGACCCAGAGTCAGCAATTTTTCAAGGACGTCCAGCAGGCTGAGCAGTGGATCTCAAAGCGTGATGAAGTCCTCAACACCATCTACTCTCAATCAGACTTTTCTCTGGACGAGGGTGAGCGACTTCTCAAGGGAATGCAAGAATTGCGCGAAGAATTGAACAGCTACGGCGACAACGTCCAGCGATTGGTAGACCAGGCTGGTAACATCGTCCCGATGAAGCAGCGAAGACAACCTGTCACCCGACCACTCCAGGTGACGTGTATTTGCACCTACAAGCAAGCCAACATGTCAATTGACAAGAACGAGCTCTGTACGCTTTATGACAACTCTGGACGTGTAAAATGGCGAGTTAAAAATTCTCTAGGGGTTGAATCGCCAGTTCCTGGAGTTTGCTTTACCCTTCAGCCGCCGGACAAAGACGCGTTGGACGCTGCTGAGAGATTACGACGTCAGTACGATCGCAGTGTCTCACTTTGGCAGAGAAAACAATTGCGTCTCAGACAGAACATGATTTTCGCGACTATCAAGGTCGTAAAAGGATGGGATTTACCTCAATTTTTGGCGATGGGTCAAGATCAGCGGACTGCTATCAGGAGAGCTCTCAACGAAGATGCCGAGAAGTTACTGTCTGAAGGTGACCCTGCGGATCCGCAGCTAAGAAGACTAAAGCGAGAGATCGCTGACGTCAATAGACTTTTCGATGACTTTGAGAAACGCGCGAGAGCTGAAGAAGAGTCTAAGAACGCTGGCAGAATTTTTACTGACCAGGTATCTGCATTGCAGCAGGCTTTGGATGAAGCCGAGAGGGTTTTGAATATTCGCATCGCGTCGCCGCTACCACGTGACCTGGACAGTCTGGAGCACATGGTACTGGAGCACAAAGATTTCGAGCAGAAATTACAACGTCTAGCTCCCGACTACGAACAAGTGCAACAAACCTTCAGGGGAATTACTCTGAAGACACCGGTGATGCGCAACAAGCTCGACAATGTGATGAGCAAGTGGAATCAGCTGTGGAACGTCAGCAATTTGTACATCGAGCGGCTCAAGTGCATTGAGATCGTGCTGTCCGGGCTTGAAGAGAACACTTCTGGAATAACTGAGCTGGAGATTAAGTTGGCTTCTTACAGTGAGCTTCCGTCTGATGTCAAAGGTCTCCAGATTGTTCTGGAAGATCTAATGATCCTGCAAAACGCAATCTCTCAACAGCAGATATCTATTGATCAGCTGAATGACGATGCTCACAACGCGAGGAGACTTGTTGAAAAGTCACGGCCTGGTCACCGTGGTCCACATAGCGACATGGATCGTTTGGATGCTGAGGTCAATAGGTTGAATGCCAGGTGGACGAATATTTGTGGACAACTGGTGGATAGACTCAGGAGTGCAGAAACTGCTTACGGCCTCGCGCAGCAATATCACAGTTCTTATCAGAATGAGGTTGACTTTGTTGATGAAAGCTACTGCAAGCTTGAATCTGCTCCTGCTCAAGAATTGGAAACAGCTAAAGTAATTTTTTAGTTAATTATGCACTGAAAAAAAAATTAACGAATCAAGAGAAAAATTCTTGAAGTTTTATCTTGTTCCTTCCGTGTAGATGAAAACTTTTAAAATTTGAATTAATAATATATTTTATTTCAGAACCTGTTGAACAGAGTTTGCGATCGCGCAGCAGCGATTGAAGTCGTCAATGTCACCGGAGGAAGACTGATCCGTGAAGGCAAGGTAAGATGAAGAAAACATAATTACAACCTATGCTCTAGCCTTATAAATAGCCTTAGCCTATGGAATGAATGAGTGAGTGTACGAACGAGTTAAATATTTTTATAAATTACAACCATAAGCATACACTGTATAAACCATACTAGTATTAAGATCATTTGTAAATTTTTATACACAATGTACCTTTCAGCGGACGACACTTGAGTATCATACGTATGACTTCTCTGCATGGTCATACATTTTTTGGGATTTTTTTATTTCTCATGTTAATATAATATTTTTTCTGTTTCTACTCACTAAATAGGTATCAAACATTTATCAAAATTATTCACTGTGATTAATCAAAATTTTTACATTGACAAAATTAAAAAAAATTTTTATAATTATAACTCACTTAATTGAACAAATTAAAATGAGTAGCATGATTGAGTGGTTTTCGGGTTGGTGGTGGTGAAACTGGTGATGGATGCTTGAATTTTACTAAAATTCCCTTAGAGTTGAAATTAACATTTATATTATTAACTGTAAATTTTTATGTTTTAAAAAATCCAGTGTGGTATTATATAATGATTAATAATTATTCAAAATTAATTTATTAATATTTAACATTATTAATTAAAAAAAAAAAAAAAAGTAATAATTAATTAAAAATAATTACGACACTGGGTTAAGTAAGTCTAAAAATGAAATTGTTGTTTTTTTTGTAATTGTGGTAATGATAGTTATAAGTAGAACCCGTATTAGATAAATCCTTGCTTATTATCGTGCCGGACGCTAACTCGTAGAGAAATTAGATATCTAATTTACTAACCATAACGGACTAACCGGCCTCTGTAGATCTATGGCCAGCGGCTCAGAGCGTTCAAGGAACAGCTTGAAGAGCTTTGTCCATCGCTGGATGCATCTGTCAAAAGACCGAGACGTGAATCCGTGACAACTGTCGACGTAATTGCTCACGATCTCGACAATCTCAACAGGCGATACTCCACGCTCGTCAGCCTCTGTCGCGAGCTTGTGCTTAAATTTGCTCACCAGTATCCCGAAGACATTTCTCTGCAGGTAAGCACATTAATTATCTTTTATTTATATATTTTTACCCACATATTTATTACTAATTCTAAAGTAGAACTCGAGTTCTAGTTAGACTCGCCAACAAATTTTAAACATTTAAATAGACACTATATTCTATAGATAGTTCTCCAGAAGTTTAACAAGCAATTAAAGAGTACTAGTTAGGTGGGTCGATTGTTCTACTTAGCAATTGGATAATAATCTTTAAAATTCCGAGTTTTTTTACCTAAAAAATTTCATTGAAAACTAAAATTTAAAATAATTGACCAAACAAATTGAAAATAAAATTATTCTCATTGATAATTTCTTGTATTGTTAATGCCAAGTGTTTTGTCAATACGTCAGTGTGAAGAAAGTTAAGTGAGCAGTACGTAAACTCTCAACCGGTTTCAAGATGTTTACTTTTATTAAAATCATAATATCGTAGGTTTGCCCCTTGATTATGACAGCTCGAAAAAATCAGCCAAGACAACTTGTCAGCTCTTATGATGTTGTTACTTATTACACATAAATTAAAAAATGGCAATGTTCATATTTACATTTACATTAACATTTGTAAATGACATCATATTAATTTAAAAAATCATTAATGACGTAATGAGTATCATTTATTATTATACATTTTTAAATATTTATATATAGCTCAGTACTTAATTATTTTCCTTGAGAACTATGGTCACTAAGTGTGTCAATATCACTGAATTAAGCGTACAGATTTATAAATAATCATAAATCAGTGCATGTGATGTATAAAATGACATATTCTCAGTAAATAAAAAAAAAGATAATTCATTTTATTTTCTTCAACATGCTTTTATCAAACAAGTTTTTTCCACCCATGGAAAACAATTACTTATCATTAATCATTGTCATTATTAATCTATTAGGTACTTGTTTTATGTAGATAAAATTATCGAGCCGGTATGGCTTAATTATTTCACTTAGCACTGTTAATTATATTTATATTAATTACTAATTTGATATTTATCGAGGTAAAGTGCGAGTATTTTATCTTTGGGCGTTTTCAGGATCAATAAGCGCGAGATTGCAGTAGAGGGTCGACGGCGCGAGTTAACATATTGCGAATGGACGTGGGTAGACTTCGTCCTTGTTCATATTTCCATTTAATTTTGATTCATTCGTTTTTTGCTATAAACGAAAAGTTTTATTTCATTTTATAATTCTTACGTCAGATGATATTGTAGTCGCGTATGATGCGCGCGATTCGTTTCCGTTAATTAAATTTTATTGAGGCTGAGCAAAACACGTGGCGAATTTCATAGATTAAAAATAAATTACACAATCAGTCGCGTGATTTAATAAATAAATACAGTATTTTTATCTTGGGAATTACTTTGAGTAATTAATTAATTAAGAGGCATTGAAATGCTGTTTTTTCTTTTTTTTTTTTTTGTAATATTATCGAAAAATTGACCTTAGCAAATAATCGGCAGTTTGATAAATTGCTCTACAGTTTTCTTGTAAATATCGAGATATTTTTTTATTTTGACTAAATCAATCACTATCAATGATAAAAAATTATGATTGATAATTACTTTTATATTTATAATTAATATTTGATAGACTTGAGAATAATAAGTTAATAAATTCATTAATATCGAAATAAGTTCACGGACAGTGATATCAAATGTTCTCATTTTTAAAAGTGATATCACTCAAAATTTTTTGTTACGTATATTAAAATTTTGTCATTAAAAAAAATTTTTTTTTTCAAGAAACTAAAATTTACAAGTCGGAAATTTTTTAATTTTTTAAAAAATTAAATTAATAAAAATAAAATTTTTTTTAAATGTGTTAAATTATTTTATTTTATATTAAAATTATTTTCCATCTTTTCTTTAATTCTTGTATTATAAACTCTTAAATAACTGTCACATTATTCATAATATTTACTTACGAATAAAATCTCAATTTTGTTTTGCCGGAATTTATAAATAAAAAATCTAGTAGTATAGATTGCGCAGTGAATTCGTGGCCACGCGGACATCATTTGACTCAGTCGCCCGAGCAAGTTGAAACAGTCAACATCGCGTTGTTTATTATTCGTGAGAAAAATATATTTTTTAGTAAACAAAATGAAATTTGATACTAGTTAAATTTAATTGACTTGAAGATGACTCAGTGGCTACCTGTGATTCTATACCTGTAATGTAATTAATGATAATTGTCTATTAAAAATTCTCTAGTTCCTTCTATTCTACACTACTGTTGCGATCAAAAACCAATTAACAAATAAATAGCTTGAATTTTTAAACGATAAGATAATAGAAAAATGTAATTACTAGTTATTGACAAGCGAGGACGTGGCATGCAATTGGTGTGGAATCTAAAGTTAGTTTATAAATAAGTGTTACAGCAGTGATACAAGTTTTAAGTGAGAGTTAATTTTTTTATTTTTATTTAAAAATATAATGCCGATATAATATATTTTGGTTAGCAATGCTGCCGGAAAGACGGATTGTTTATCAGGTAAATTTACAACACACCTAACTCAGACTCAAACTCAGAATAAATGTCAACTCATGTGGATAAAGTCACTTTGATTATCGACAATAATCGATAACGGGTATCGTGTAAATTATGTCAGTTATTTAATATAAAAAGTAACAGATGTCTGATATGTTTTTTAATAAATATTATAAGGAGTTAAAATTTCAATGCACATTTTTAAAATTATATTTCTATTAAATTCAATTTTATAATAAATTTTCATAACAACAATAAAAGAAGCGATACTAAAAATTTAAACAATCTTAAAAATTTTTTTTTCTTACAAATTAATAAAATAAAATAAATTAGAAATTGTTATGAGATTCATTTTTAATATTTCTTTTATAATAATTTATTCTTTTAAAGAAACTAAACCTGTCAGACAAGTACTAATTTTTATTCTATACAAGTAAAATACAATTTTTCAGTAAATATTATTAAAATTTAAATTTTTTTCATTAAAATTATATACATCAGCAAAATGTAATAAACGGGTTATTTTAAAAAATTATTTAATTGCCAAGTATATAATTACTCGCCAAAATTGAGAAAGTCCTTGCAATACATAATTAATCCGTGGAAAACTCGATTTATAGGTAAAAACCAAGTAATTGTAGACATCAAACTGATCTAATCGCTATAATTATTAATCGCGGTATTTGACGTCATTTCAATGAAGAATTAACTGAAAATGTACTTTAAATTACTCTATTTATTTCAACTTTTTTTATAATCTGATCTCATTGTATATTATATTAATTTGCGATAAGTGTAGCTGATGTAACTAATAGTTTATTGATTGGTCTGTTTATTTTTTTATTGCTACCGATTTATTAGATCCGAAGGTCAGATAAAAAGCGGGAATTGCCTGTGGTTAAATGCGAAATGTGTAATGCAATATAATACCGCGTTTTGATGAATCATATCGCCAAGCAGAGCTGGTATATTTTGGTAAACTAGGTAAAATAGCAAAGGAAATATACCGATGGCCGAATAAATATTTTAAAGTTTACGTGCTCGCTCCTGACACTTGTCCAAGTAAAGTTTGTTATGTAATTGAGAATCAAGTTCATGGTAATGTCGCCCGTTAAAGATTATGATGTCATCATATCTCTTTTAATTATTCACCGTCACGTTTTTTATATTGTCATTCATCCATTCAGACAATTAACTTATCGGTTATTATGTCAAAATAAATTTTGTGAATTGTCAATAAATAAAATTAATTTTTTTTAAATTAAATTTTATTAATTTTATGAGCAATAAAATAAATAAAATAAAGTTAAAAAATTTTAATTTTCAATAAAATTATTTTTTATCAAACTGCACAATTTTTATAGATTAATAAATAATTTTCTTATTTATATACTTTATAATTTTATAAACCAGCAATATGTAAAAAAAAAAAAACGAGCTTCATATTCACTGAAGTGTACCACACGAACGTCCTTTGTAATTTTAAATTACAACAAAAATACTATTTAAATTCAATAAATAATTGGAAAAATACACCGGATTAATTACGATATTTAATAACGCGTAATAAATTTAATGGAAATATTATAATTAAAATTATTTTATTGCAACAATAATAAATAATTACGGGGCTTCTAAATGTCAGTGCAGTTAATTTTGCAGAATCCCCAAGCGTAACTCCTCGATTCTTGACGTACTTAACTCACGATAATATTTATATTAAACATAAACGTGAAGAAGCATGTTGCATACCGGTACGGTGTCTGAATATACTCTAAAAATATTAACAACAACAACTGGCTGAAGCTCACCGAGGCACCCCCGCTTTCTTCATTTCTTCTACACTTCTGTTCACTATATGTATAAATATACAGGATATATTATATGAATAAAACACTGTAGTGGGGAATTTTGTTATTTATAGAATAAATTGTAAGATAGAATATATTTTTTGAAATAGTCCGACGCTAGTCTCTCACGGTCGCCGGTTGTCAGAACGTTACCGACTAACTTCACGACTACAGAGACGCCGGTCTCTTCCGTCCGTCAAGCATCAACGATCATCATCATCCTTTCTTCCTTTCGTCGGTCAAGTGAAGCTCAAACTCGACTACACTAGACTTCCTCGCTCTTGTTTTTTATGTCCAGTCGTTTGCTGGTCAGTCGTTTTAAATGCGATATCTTTATCTGATACGATTATCGTCATACACTTTGCAAACACCGGTTTTGTTTGCACTCGACCAGAATTGTTTGAATAAAAAACTGTTTAGTGCATAAAATTATGGAAATTTTTTAAAATTCAGAAATGTGAACCCGGTTTAATAAAATTCACGATTTAAAGTCACGGAAATTTTATATCAGTTTGGAATAATTCTGCAATCGCGTTGATAAACAACTTTATCTTGATAAAAATAAAAATATTTGAAACAATTACGGAATCACTATTAAATCAGCACTTGTTATGTTATTTGTTACGAATGTTTAAAAATATTCAGGCGGAAAATTTTAGTTATTTTAAGAAATTGCGGCATCGATAAACGATTATCTCGCGTAAAAAGATAACATTATTTTTAGCTGATGACTCACAACTGTTAAAATGTCAATTTGAATTTGAAGTTTTATGATTTATGATCAAAATTTGACAATTATGATTATGAATAGGATTTTAGTTATAATGAATAGTGTCTGGTTGGGATATTTAATCAAAAATGTTGACAGTTTCTTATTTGATATCGCTGCTGTTTCAGCGAGCTCTGCAAGAGCAACGACCACTGCGTACATTTCGGACTGAGTTTAATATCTACGAAAGTACAACCAGTGAGGAGCGATATACCTCGACTACAACTCATTACACTCAATCGCAGTAAGTTGAAAAAATTATTATTTTTCAAGAATATTCATGGGTAATTAATTATTAGAAAAAAAAATTTTTTTAACAATGATAATTCTATATTGTAATTTTTTTATACTCAATATTTTACCCAGAATTTTTATTTCAAACTTTTAATAAAAATTTTATAATATAAATTTTTGTATTTTAAATATTTTACACAGAATTTTTATTAAAAACTTGAAAATTTAATTTTTTCAAAATTAAAAATGAAATTATTTGTAAGTTATTAATACACATGAACTTTCTTGACCTTTTGGTAATTTGATGATGCTCTTAAAACAACTTAAAAAAAATAAAATAAAATTATTTTAGGTACTCATCTGAACGATATGAATCATCGAACCAAATGCAGCGAGTGTCTTCTCGCGAGACGTCGCCGGTCAAGAAGCCCTATGGGAACCATACGAGTTCCTTCACAACCAACGGCGACGGTATCAGAGAAACAGAAATTGACGGGTCGCGAGCCTACAAGACGAGTGTTAACAGCAGTATGCAGATCAACGAGATCAAAAGCCTGCGTAGAAGACAACGCTCGGAAGATAATGGCATTGACGTGGACAACGTGATAGAAGCCCGAGGGATCATCCATCCCACTACCGGGCAAGTCCTCACCGTAGGCGAAGCCATAAGCCTAAGAATTCTGGACGTGAGAAACGGAAGAATAGCGACTTCTATCGACGGAAGAACGAGCGTGACGATAGAAGAAGCTGTCGCGCTTAATCTTATCGACGTAGAACTCGCGCGTCGTCTTCTGGGACCGTGCGGGGTTGTTTCGGAGAAGAATCGCATGTCGCTGCTTGAAGCCATCCAACGGGAACTGTTCGACGCGGAACGGGAGAAGAGCGAGGACCGTGTCAAGGTAACGTGTGTGTCTACAGCCGGAATTAGTGTTGCCGATGCGATGCGTCAGGGTTTGTTGGACCCGGAGACAGGTCTGTTTGTCACAGATAACGGCGAGATGATGACCATCCAGGAAGCTTACAGTCGAGGCTTCATTACCAAGATTAACACTACCGTTAAGATAAAACGAGGCGCACTGGCCCTCGCTGACGCCATTTCTCAAGGCTTGGTCGACGACAGACTGGGTCAGATTATTGACAGAAACACCGGGGAAAGCTATCTGCTGGACGAGGCGATCCAGCGAGGTATAATTGATCCAGATGTGCGCGAAATTGTCGATGTAAGAAACGATACCAAAATAACAATTACCGAGGCGATTAACCAGGGTATTATAAACGTCAAAAACGGAAAGTATGTGCAAGGTTTTAGTTTGGAAAAGCTGTCCTTCAAAGAAGCTCGGAGACGTCAGCTGATCGTTAAGCCAATGACGCTCAAGGATTGCTGCGATTTGGAGGTAATAGACGACAAAGGTAAAATTTTTAGTCCTAATCATACTCGTAAACTTGGTATTTTAGAAGCTATTTCTTGCGGCGTTTTAGATACTGATAACATTAAATCCGTTTCGGACACTAGGTCCGGTGATTTACTTACTCTTTCAGATGCCCTAGCTAGTGGTATTATTAAAATCGACTGTGGACGTTACGTTAACTTAAAAACCCATGAAGAATTGAGTATTCCCGAAGCTGTTGATCGTGGATTGATAACTTCAGTTGCTCAAAAGTCCATTTTTGATATTGACGGGTTCAAAGATCCTATTTCTGGGGAGTTTATTAGCCTTAATGCGGCCTTATTAAAAGGCTTGATCAGTCCTAAGTCTGGGGGTTCGTTTGTGGTAGATTTAAAGACAGGTCGTGCGGTTTCTTTCAACGAAGCCGTAAAATCTGGGCACGCGCGCCCAGAAGTCATGGAAATGTTGAATCGCGGTATTGGTGTGACGGAAAATGGTAAAGAAATAAGTGTGCTAGAGGCGGTATTGTTTGAGTTGCTGGATCCTAAGACAGGGCAATTGTTGGACCCGCGATCGAAGAAACCAGTCCCACTGGAAGATGCGATTAAACGCGGATTGATAACTCCAGATGGTGCTGCTTTGTTGGCCAGTCTTTTGAATATCACTGTTACCACTCAGACGGTAACCAAAACGATAAAGCGTTACGTTACGGTGACGGAAACTGGAGAGACTATCACGCGAGATTACAAACTTTCTTACAGGGAAGCTATTAGTCGTGGGCTGATAGACGAAAAAACTGGTGAGTTCACTGATCCTGACTCTGGTAGACACTTCAATTTGAGTGAAGCCATTGATCAGGGCTTGCTAAGTGCTCCCGAAGCGCGAGAAACTGAGCGACCTTCGCCCAAAAAGACTCGCGATTCCCCGTCCAAGCAAATGGTCTTCGAGAGCACTCTTTACGCGAAAGTTAACGAGCTTACTCCCACGCCACCACCGCGTAAAAAGCTTGCTTCTCCTCCCCGAGCTGTCGGTACTACTACGACTATTATTACCCATGATCTAGTTCAGCCTGATAATGATGTGCGTGTTAACAACTCGACAATCATTTCCGTCGGTTTAGAGTCTTCCAAAGAGTCGAGTGAAATAATAACCGATTCCTCGGAAAAATCAAGTCCCTCGCCTACGAAAAACCGTTCGATCAACGACCACGTTAGTACTGTTTTTATAAAGTCCAACGACGATGTCAAAGAATCGGTGTCTTTAAAAACAGAAAAGAATTTGCGTAATTTGACCAACGAAATAGAGACATTTATTGAAAAAGAATCTGAATCTGTTGAGAAGGAAGTCTTTGAACTTCCGTCCGAAGGGTGGATGCTCCGAGACGCGATTGACCAGAGATTGTTTGATCCAGCTACTGGGTTGTTCATTATTTCTGGTACTGATAGGCTTGTTTCGTTTGAAGAGTGCATAAAACTTGAGATAATCAATCCTCATTCTGCCGTGGTTGTTGATCCAAACAACAGCAGACATGTTTCGTTGGTCCGCAGCTTGGAGAAGGGTATTCTAGACGCTACGGGGCATTACGTTCATCCACGGAAAATGACGATGAAAGATGCAATCGAACAGGGGCTGGTCATTTTAGAACGCAAGTCGAGCGAAGATGACCAATCTAACGCGCGAATGATTCAAATCACGAAAGTTACCGGCAAACCTGACACGGTTGAGGTCACGACTGCTGACAATCTGTCCCAAGATGTCAAAGTTTCTAATTCTAGCGAAATATCTTCAGATCCTGTTCAAGTAAGTCCGGGCGTTATTTATGATCCTGAAACTGCTTTGGTAATCTTTACTGAATCTGGTCAGTCGTCTAATATTCTGACGGCTGTGAGTGAAGGAACTTTGGGTACAGAAGCTATTTTAGTGAAAGATCCGGAAACGGGCAAGGAAATTAGTATGGCGAAAGCGGTTAAGAAGAATATAGTTAACCCTAAGACAGGAATTTATGTAGACGAGGCTGGTCGTAAGATTTCGTTGAGTGACGCTGCCAAATTCGGATTGATTGCTGTTGTTGGAGCTCCTCTGGTTGCCGCGGCAGCTGCTGTAGAAGCTGTCAAGAAGGCGATGATCAAAGATCCTAAAACTGGCGAAAAGATTCCGAGAGAAGTCGCGATTGAAAGGGGTCTTGTGACTCCAGATAAAGTCAACCAGGAATTCGTGACTAGTGTCAAAGAATCCAATGGCGAAAATGGCCTTGTCGAAGCGTTGAATAAGGATGTTGTTACTGATCAATTCAATAAATTGATCACTGAAAAACATTTTGAAAAGTCGGAAAAGAAGGAAGTTAATGAAATTACTGATGATTTTACTGATCAAATTGACAAAGCACCTAGTTTAGCAGAACAAACACGCACTAGAGTCACTACAGAGCCCAAGTATCAAGTGACTATTGGTACAGCAAAGACGATTCCTAGCCCAGAAATAGAAGCCAAGGCAATCGTGCTTCAGAAAATGCGTAAGAAGGTACTGACTCCCAAAGAAGCTGAAGAAACTGGTTTAATTGACAGAGATACAGTTGAAATTTTGGAAACAACTGTGTTGAAAAACGGCGAATTTGATTGTAACGGTGGAAAAGTCACTGACCCGCAACGCGGTGATGTTATTTCTATTAACGAAGCTGTAGAGCGTGGTATTGTAGACCCGGAGAGTGGAAATATTTTAGTTCCATTAGCGCGCAGTCTTTCCATTCCCGGGTTGTACAATCAAGGCCTTCTAGAACGTGAAGAAGGCAAGGTGGTTCATCCCGAAACCGGGCAGCATCTGTCGTTGAAAGAAGCAATCGTCTGTGAAATAGTAGATCCCCTTTCGACGATGACTTCGCAGAACGGTAACAAATTAACGTTACAGTCCTCAATCGAGTGTGACGATATCGACGCTGATAAATCGATTGTACATAGCGAGAAGGGTGATTTGAATCTCGTGGAAGCTACCGAGCTGAACAAGTTTGATGAAGTAGAATCGATGAGTGCCGTATCACTGCCCCCTGTAGGTATGACTTTCTCGGTTGCAATGCAACGTGGATTAGTAAATACTGCTGAACAGATAGTAACGCATCCATTGACTGGCCAACAGTTTACAGTAGACGAAGCTATCAAAAATGAATTTATTATGTCTTTACCATATCCAGCTGCACCTGAAAGTATTGAAGTAACAAAAGCCCTCGAGGCTGGTCTTATTGACAAAGATAAGGCTGCGTTCAATGATCCAAAGACTGGACGTACTATTCCAATAAATGAGGCCTTAGAGTCCGGTCAATTGGTTGTTGGATCTAAACCTAAAACTGAAAATAGCACCGTAACTGCCATTGTAGAGACAGTAACTTCGTACCAAACTGTTACGACAAAAACAATTCAACTTTCTCCCGGTTATTCACTGCTTGATTCTAATCAAGTGCAGAACATCAAAACTGGAGAGATTATTTCGATGGCTGATGCCCAGAAGCTGGGAATCGTTAAAGATGAAGAATCAGAGAATCAGGATGTTAAAGTACCGTTTAGCGACGCTGTTGAACAAGGATTGGTTGACATGAACGCTGGTACGTTCACGAATCCAGATACTAGAGCTGTCATGTCGATAAGACAAGCAATTGAAGACGGTATCCTTGATACTAAACCAGAAATACAAGACCAGCAACAGACAAGTACTAGTATGACAGTTCTGGAAGCTGCCAACCAAATTTACGATGAAAAGACAGAAAAGTTCAGAGATCCGAAGACGAATAAATCATACAGTTTGACAGAAGCAATAGAAGTAGGGCTTATTGAAGCGGATTCTCTGGTTTATGACGTCAAATCATCAGCTCAGATTACGACTAAAGAAGCTGTTGAGCGTGGCTTACTGGATCCTATAACTGGAAAAGTCAAAAACGAGCGAGGAAACTCGATTTCTATTGCAGATGCGGCTAAGCTTGGGCTTTTAGCGGTCGTTGCTGCGCCTGTTCTGGCTGGAAAAGCTGTCGTAGATGCTGTCAAGAACCGAAAATCTGCAGACAGACGTCCTACGATGTCACCGGTTCCAGAAAGTCCTGCTCATCAGCCTCAAGCTAAAGAGAATAAGCTAAAAGAGACAGCAGAAAAGTCAAAAATAAAAGAGAATTTGGTGGCGGAAAGCAAAGAAAGTGAACGAATGGACGTCTCTCTAGATTCAGAATCTCATTCAGTTCAAATCACTCTTGAAGAAGCTATAGAAAATGATCTTATAGACCCTAGTTCATGTAAAATAGTAATCGGACAACGCGAATTGCCTTATACTGTCCAAACTGCTTTAGATAATAACGAAATTCAACTTACGGAAACAATTGTTGTTCTCAACCAAACGCGGATCAGTATAATCGAAGAAAAACCCCGATTTAGAATAGAAATATTCCGTAACTTGACGACTCAGTATCTATCAGATCAGGGAGTCTACGACTTGGAATCTGACAAATTCTTAGACCCTTACTCCGAAACAACAATAGCTTTCCATGAGTTCGTACTTGATCTAGAAATATTCGACCCCGACAACGTTTGGGTGAAAGATTTGTCTAGTAAAACTAACGAGTACGTTTCTTTACGTGAAGCTATCAACAAACCTCTGGTAGACAGAAACATCGGCTACATGGTTGACCCGAAGAGCGGTAAAAAAATTCCGTTCTGCGAAGCTGTACAAGCTGGAATGATTATCCAACGACCTGTCAATCGAGAAGAGTCGTTATCACTGACTCTGCAAGAAGCCATTCAATCAGGAATTTGTGACTCGTTAAGCGGCAATTTGCAAGACCCAAGATCTGGCCAACAATTATCTTTGGCCGACGCAGTAGAAAGTGGTTTAATAGACGTCGACTCGGTGAGCATCCGCAACCCGGCAAACGACGAAATCATTCCACTTGCAGAGGCTGTCGAATCTGGAGTCGTGAATTTGGCTCGCGGTGTCATAGTTAACATTGAAACGCACTCTGAAGTTAGCATAAGAGAAGGATTCTTGAAGGGTCTTGTTCTTCCAGGTCTACGGAAGCCAATTTCTCTGGAAGCTGTGATAACAAAAGGCTGGTATGACTCTCAGTCAGGAAACATTAAGGATCCGATGACCCAGCAGTTAATAGATATCGACGAAGCAGTAGGTCGCGGAATAGTCGACGCATTTATAACCGAGTGTCAGGACACCAAAGCCGGGTCTTTCTTGTCCCTGGACGACGCTTTGACTGTCAAACTCGTTAACCCAAAGACTGGTCGACTTCGTGATACCAAGGCTGGTGAATTATTACCACTTGATATTGCATTAGACAAAAAGCTTATTATTACAACGCCATTTGTGCCTTCATTCATTGATGTCATTATACAGGAATACTATTCACCAAAAACTGGTCTCGTTCTCAATCCAATGACTGGTGATGAATCAACGATGAAACACGCGCTAACAACGGGGTATGTCGACAGCAGAATGATAAAAATCAAAGATGATCGCAGTGAAACAGTCGTTTCGTTGCGAGATGCGGAAAAGAGTGGACTGATTGATTTAGAGAAGGGTGTTCTGTTATATCCACACTCTATGACTCTTGATGTGGCGCTGGAAAAAGGCTACATTTTGAATACAACCAAACCTTGGACATTGCAAGAAGCTCTGGCTCACCAGAGTTACAACCCCATTACCGGAAGGTTTTTGATGGACGGCGAAAGGTTGCCTCTAGAAGAAGCAATCACTAAAGGATTGATCAGCCATGATAGCCCTTCTGTAAAAGACCCGAGATCTGGAGATGTTATAACACTCAGCGACGCCATTAAGTTCGGACTTATTGATCCTAAATCCGGTACAGCCTTAGACCCGTCTACCGGCACAGCTCTGTCGCTTACAGACGCGATGGATCGTGGATTGGTTGTTCCCGCAAAACGCAAAATATCTTTGCCAGAAGCTGTTTTCAAAGGCTTCTACGACCCCAAGACCGGTCAGTTCACGAGTCTTGAAACACGAGAAAGATTGCCTACCGATCGCGCTATCAAAGAAGGCGTCATAGATCCAACTTCAGCTATCGTGAGAGACCAGCACGGAGAACTGATTACATTCAGCAAAGCCATAAAAGACAGAATCATCGATGCTAAATCTGGAACAGTGATTACTGAAGAAGGACAAACTATGGACTTCCATGAAGCTTTTGAGAAAGGAGTATTACTCGAAGCTCGGCGACCTATGAGTTTCAGTGAAGCTATTCTCAAAGGCATTCTCGACAGAAAGACAAACTTGTTTTTGGATCCACGTACTGGCGCTTATCTGACAATCGGTCAGGCAATTGAGAAGCACCTAATCGACGCTGATTCAGTGACCGTTAAAGACGCGAAAACTGAATTCTCCAAAAAGATAGCGTTGAAGGAAGCGATAAGAATTGGTCTGCTGAATGGCGCCACTGGCAAAGTCAAAGATTCAACGCAACATAATCTTGAAATTTCTCTGAGTGAGGCTTATGAAACTGGCATCATTGTAGACAACAAAGCCGCGATTTCTGTGCAGCGCGCTATCCACCAAGGTCTGTACGACGATAAAACAGGCAAAATAATCGATCCTAGCACTGGAAGATCTATAACTCTGCACGAAGCGATGAGGATGTGTGTCATCAGTCCCAAGTTAGTTTGCTACTGGGATAAGCGTACGGAAACTTTGTTGTCACTCGCGGAAACTTGTCGCGCTGGAGTCATTGATAGACGTACAGGTATGTTCAAAGAACCAGGTGCTAATTGCTCAATTCCTTTGTCAATGGCTCTACAATTGGGCCTGATTGTTGACATTGAAGGCGCTGGTTTCAGTCTGTACGAGGCAGTACATATGGGAATGTACGACGTACCTTCCGGTAGATTTATCCATCTCTTGACAAATAAGAAATTGACCTTATCCGAAGCCTGTCAGGCTGAATTGATCAACCCTGTAATATCCTTCGTTAAGAATTCCAAAACAAATCGGTACATTCCTTTGTCTGAAGCGATTTCCGAAGGCATTATCGACGATGTTCGCGGTACTTACACCCAAGTAGAACTCAACAAAGCGATAAATCTAGTAGAAGCCAAAAATAAAGGCTTAATCGTTCCTTCTAATCGGCCGATTTCTATCGAAGACGCTGTAAAATGCGGTCTTTATCGCCCTGACAATGGTAAATTCATTGATCCTAGCACCAATGTCTTTTACGACATTGTCCAAGCCATTAATTCCGGTTTAGTAGATCCTGATACCACTGCTCTGAAAGATACCACTAGCGGGCAAATAAAATCCTTGCAGCAGGGCATTTCTGATGATACTATCGACGTTTCTAGGGGACAGATTTTAGATCCTAAGACAAAGCGCAGTTACACTATTGACATTGCGCTAGAACGCGGGTTACTTGTGACTATTGACAAACCTTTGACGCAACAGACAGAACGTAAAAATTCTTTAGAACTACAGAACGCCAAAGACAAACTTGTTAAGGAGTGTAGTATTGAAGAAGCCGTAAGATTTGAGCTTCTGAATCCCACCAAGTGTTTCGTGAAAGACCCGAAAACGGGTAAGTTTATAACCTTGAGCAAAGCGCTGGCTGACGATCTCGTTGACGCGTCCAAACGAGGAACCATTGATCCTCAAAATGAAAAAATGACGCAACGTATAGTGCGTTTCGAAGAAGTAAACGTGTATTTGGTAGAGCCGATTTCCTTTGACCTGGCAGTAGAGCGAGAAATTTTGAGCATCGAAACGGCAAAACTCACTGATCCTATTACCAATGAAGAGATAACCCTTAAAGAATCGGTTTCTCGCGGGATTATCGATTCAGACACCGTTCTGATAAAAGACTCCCAGAAGAAGAAGTTGGTGACCCTGCCAGAGGCCTTTAGGAAGGGAATAATGGACGGTGAGAAGGGCAGCGTTCTCGACACTGAAACTTCTAAATTGAACTCACTGTCGAAGGCAGTTGAGTCTGGACTTTTGACCACCCAGAAACGTGGACTGTCCTTTATTGAAACGCTTGAATTTGGTATTTATAACCCTACCACAGGTGCATTTAGCGACCCTTTTACTGTGACGACGTTGGTAGACCGAAAACGGCTGACACTGAGCCAAGTATTAGAGTCAGGCTTAGTCGACCCTTCGACAACGGTGATAAAAGACCCCGTGACTGGAGAAATTTCAAGTCTCTTAGAAGGGATTAATGAGGGAAAGATCGACCCTGTTGCCGGTAGATTCCGGCTTGATTCTCAGCCTGATCTTAACTTCCTCCAGGCCTTGGACAGGGGCTTCATACTCGCAGCAGAAGCGAGGGTAAGTCACATGGTATACGTAAATGTTACATGTCTTCTAATAGCTTGCCGGCCAGGTTACGGTCTTCTGCATTACGCTTCAAAATTTATTATTTATATCGTACCCTTATACAATGACACTGAGGGTTTTTGTTAATTAATTATTAATATTTATTTATTTATTTATTATTTCATAATCTGAAGCAGAGTTGCATGGTCCTTGGACCTACTCTACAAGATCATTTACATTTAAACTTCAATTGATCAATCAATCAATCAATCAACTCTACTCTCAATAACTCTAAATATCGTTTTGGTTTTATGATTTTAAAATCATATATGTTATGTTTCATTTACGATATCGTGACACCGTCATATATCTGACAGTAAAATCCAAAAATATATAATAAATACGCCTGCTTATAACAAGAGTCGTAAAATTAAATAAACGACTACTCTACCTTCATACCTGCTTAATCATTTTGCATATAAAAAAGTGGAAATTTTGTGGAGTAAAAGTTCAACTCATATTACGTTAAATCAGATCTTGAATTTACAAAAACTAACTAAACATTGTTAAGAGCTCCTGTTTGGGTTTTTGGGACATTGACAAGCCGTCTGCCTACTCTACATAATATTATATTTACATCTACATACACGATAATACTTTTTAATATTATTATTGTGTTGTTTATTTATTTATCATGATTATGTCATAACAATCGACGATACTACAGCTTTGTCTTGTGTATTCATTAATATCCAATCGTTTTTATCGCATCAGCAACACTAATTCGGCCTTTCATTAAGATTAAGTATTTAATTTTATTCTTTAATCATTTATTAATTAATTAATCGATTTGTTGATTAACTTTACTTATTTATTTATTTAATTATTTATTGTTAGTATGTTTAGTAATGTATTTTGTATTGTTTTTTATGTAATTGTTTTTGATTACTGATTTTTGTTGTTATTTTTGTTAATTTATCGTTTTAATAAGTTGTTGAGGATTGAATAATTTTATTAATTTATAATTAATTTATTAGTAAACTTTTAGTTAGTTTTTAGATCTTTTTATTAAATTATATTTTTTGGTAGATATTTTATTCTAAAAGGCCTAATTAGTATTTCGGATGATTCATTCATAAATAAATCTTAATGCACGTTGTATCATTTTTTCAAAATTCATTATTTTTATTATTCTTGAGTTCATTAATAAATTTAATTAGCAGTCCTTAACAACATTTATTATAAATGTATCAATTTTAATATAAAATCTTAAATATTTTGTTATTAACAAGAATGTGATATTTAAATGTTATCAATTTTTTTAAATAATTTTATATGTAATTGTTTTAATTTCAGGTTTGATTAATGTTTTTTTAATTATTATATTTAAAAAAAAAACTTTATTTCTTCAGCATCTTTCGGACACATTGCATACGCATAGTCTTCATACCTATTATACTATACTATCGGTATATCAGTTACACTACTCATTGTGCGTTTTAATTTATTTGCTTTTAATATAAATTTTTTCGTAAATTTTTGAACTCTCAAAAAGCAACTGCATACTAAAATTACAAAATGTAACAGTATGCAGACTAGCAGATAAATTAAAGCTAATAGAAAAAAAAAAAAAAAAAAAAGAAACTGTACTACTATTATTACAGCTACGTGTGTTATGTTATGCGTGTTTGTGCTTGCATGTATGAAAAATGCCATAGGCTGATGATTATTATTTATTATTAATCTACTTATTAATTTATGTTGTCATGGGTAAGATGACGATTTATAACTTCATGTATTACTAACACTCATTAACATTGGGCAATTATTAACAAAATTTTTTCCTTCCGAATATTATAGCAAGCGGTTCAAGAAAAGTACAAGTTGTGCGATGAGACGTTGACTAAACTTCTGCAATGGGTTACTGAGATTGAAGACAAATTGGCTCATCAAGATGTCGTCAAGGAAGACATCGAGGAATTGAGGAACCAAATCAACACTATGAGAGTATGTTTTTTTTTTTTTTTCTAGAATTTTTATCTAAATCATTAAAACATAATTCACATCAATAACTTACATCTCAAACTTACAGCAAGTCAAAGAAGACATCGAGGCTCACAGCAGACCAGTATCCGCCTGTCTGGACCAAGTCCGTCAAGTAGTGATAACCGGCAGTGACGTATTATCAAGCGACGAAGTGTCATCCCTAGAAAAGAACGGCCGTTCTTTGAAAACTCGCTACGACCGTGCGACTGACCGTACTGAAAGATTACTGAAGCGCCTCAATGGCGCACGAGACGAGCTGTCCAAATTCAAAAACGAGATCTTCTCGTTCTCTGCCTGGCTCGACAAAGCTCGCCGTGTCCTCGAAGACAAAGAACGTTCTCTTTCTGACCTGAACAAACTAACCGCAAGCACCGATCCTACTCGCGATTTCATCAGCGACGTAATCGCCCATCAAGCGGACCTGAGATTCATCACAATGGCCGCTCAAAAGTTCGTCGACGAAAGTCGGGAATACCTCCAAGTTCTCAACGAATTCCGAACAAGCTTACCACAACGATTGCCCCACAAAGAGCCAACTGCCAGCCAGGACTCGCCAGTTCGCAACGAAGTCACCATTGTAACTGCACAGTACAAGGATCTTCTGTCCCGCGCTACCAATCTTTCTGATAGGTTAACTGGTGTTGGTGGAAGACAACGTGACTACCAAGATTCACTAGAAAAAGCACGATCTTGGTTGAAAGAAATTGAACCGCGAGTTCACCGAGTTATCTCTGAACCAGTCGCTGCAGAACCTAAACAGGTTGAAGAGCAACTAAGCAAAGCCAAGGGATTGAATAATGAATTTTTGGTTAACGCTCGGCTTATTGATAATGTCAAAACAAGCTTAGACGCTTTGTTGCGATCACTCGATGGACAACTTACGCCCAGTGAAGCGAAACAACTCGAAGAACCAGTTGTTGCTATTGAAGACAAATATCGGCAGTTGTTGAATGCTTTGGCTGAAAAGTGCCAAGAACTCGACACTGCTTTGGTTCAGAGTCAAGGAGTTCAAGACGCGCTGGATGGATTGGTTGCTTGGTTGAACAATGTGGAGAGTCAGTTCAAAAACATGCAACGACCTGCCAGCTTGCACAAAGAAAGGCTTGATGAGCAACAAAGAGAACAGCGAATGTTGCAGTCGGACTTGGATAGCCACCGTCCCAGTGTAGAAGCAATCACTGCTAGTGCTCACGATCTTTTGATAAACTCCAGCAATGCTAGAGTCGCCAAACGCATTGAAAGTAAATTGAAAGATGTGCAGAGTCGGTATGAGAAACTTATGGACAAATCACTGCGTCGAGGAGAGTTCTTGGATGAAGTTTCGCATGCGCTGAACGAGTTCTCTGTTGAGACGAACAAGTTCGACGCGTGGTACTCGCAAATGATTGAAGTTCTTGAATCCCGTGAATTGACAAAACTGGATGTTGTCGAGTATGAGAACAAGATGGCTCAATTGGCTGGAAAAAGAGAAGACCAAAGACAGAACGTCGAGAGTCTTATTGGAAATGGCAAGAATTTGGTTGCGAAGAAAGATATTACAGATGCAGCGCAGATTAGGGATAAGATTAAGGCGATTGAGTCACAGTGGAGAGAATTAGGAAACTTGCTAGATGAAAAGCAGAGGCTGAGTAAGTCGAGGGCAGAACAACTTTCGGCGTATGAGAAACTACGTGATCAGGTTCTGGATTGGTTGAGTCGTACGGAAACCAGGGTGTCAAGATTGCACCCGGTAGCAGTAGATTTGGAAAAATTGAAAGTCCAGACGGAGGAATTGAAGCCGATTCAAAAGGAGTACAGAGACTACGGAAATACCGTAGATAAAATTAATGATCTGGGGATTGTGTATGATAGTTTACTGAAGGAACGCGGAGAGAGTCCACCCAGACGACGTGGAAGTACTAGTCCCACTAAGCGCAATACCATCACGAGCCCACGTACGTAGATTTTTTTTTTATATAGAAAATTTTTTTCAGAAAAATTGACGGTGAAATTTTTGGTGTGAAATTTGGATAAGAAGTTTTTTTTTAATTAAAATTTTATTTTTATGAAAGTAATTTTCACCCAATAATTTACACCATCAAATTTTCTATTATTATAATTACATCCACCATTATATCATCACACAAATAATTGACAACTAGTAGCTTGTTCACTGACCCGTCGCACAGCATAGTAAGTTATTTTTTTATTAAAATTTTTTTTTGTAGTCCGCCGAATGTCACAAGACGGTCGCTCACCTTCCCCCACTAAAACCTATGCCGTTCAAAGTCCGGTGTCTCCAGGTGGTAGCAGCGGATTTAGCAGCCGGCGTTCCAGTCAAGACGGCTTCCATCTCGAGGAGTTGTCTCCTGTCCAACAGCAGCTGTCTGAAATCAACAACAGATACGGCTTGCTTGGTGTCAGATTATCCGACCGCCAAACTGAGTTGGACAATGTCAAGGAGGAGCTGAGGAAACTCTTGGACAACTTGAAAACTTTGTCCCAATTCTTAGACAAAGTAAGTCATCAATCAATCAGTCGACTTCTAAGTTTTTTATTTTTATTTGAACCTTAATTATAATTTCAATTTTAATTTTTAGATTGAACGTCAGTTACCAAAGGAATCCATCCCTATCTCTAAAGAAGAAGCCGACAAAACTGCTAAACTCATTAAAGTAGTCGTCGAAGAAATGTACGAGAAACAATCTCTCTTGGACAGCACAAAGACACAAGTACGTGACATTGTGCGTCGTAAAAAAGACGCAGACGGTGCAGACCGCCTTAATGATGAGTTAGAAGACGTAGCCAGTCGCTGGAAGTCAATATCTGACCGCTGCAAAGATAGAATTAAATTCATTGAAGACATAAAGGAGTTCCATGACACCTACGAAAGCTTGAACTCCTGGCTGGGAGCTAAAGAAAGAATGTTGGGTGCTCTAGGACCCATTTCATCTGACCCAAGAATGGTAGCTAGCCAGGTACAGCAAGTCCAAGTACTCCGTGAAGAATTCCGGTCTCAGAAGCCCCAGCTTGATCATCTCGTCGAAGTTGGCGAAAGTGTTCTTACTCGTCTGCCAAATGACTCCGTAGACGGCCAGAAAATCAGCGACAAGCTGAACAACATCTTACAAAGATGGACTGACCAGGTTAACCGACTCGACGAACGAGCTCAGAGTCTCGGAGATGCTGTTGACACCAGCAGGGAGTTTGACGCCAGCCTCAATCGCCTTCGCGACGCGCTTCAAGGTATTTCAGACAACTTGGACGATTTACCTCTTGACAAAGATCCAGAGGAACAACTTCGTAAAATCGAAAACCTCGAAAGACAACTGGAAGGCCAGCGTCCTCTGCTCGCCGATGCTGAAGCAGCTGGAGCTCAACTCTGCGAAGTTTTGAGCGACCCTGCGTCCAAGTCTGAGATTCAAGGAAAACTCGCGGCTGTTAATAAATTGTACAACAACTTGCAGAAGAAACTGGACCACAGGAAGGCAGAAATTGAAGGAAACCTTCGGGACGGAAGACAATTTGAAGCTTCTTGCAGCAAAACTCTCGGGTGGCTGGCAGATGAGCTTGGAAACATGTCAGAGAAACTTTTGGTTTCAGCGGACCGTGAGATTTTGCAGCAACAACTGGACCACCACGAGCCCATTTATCGCAATGTGATGGGCAAAGAGCATGAAGTTATAATGCTGCTGAACAAAGGTCGTGATATTCTTGCGCGATCAGCAAAGAACGAGAACCGTACGCTGCAAAGAGATTTAGATAAGATGCAGATGCAGTGGGATCGACTGAAGAAGGATACTCTTGACAGGCATACCAAGTTACAGACGTGTGCTGAGCATTGCAAGAAGTACTACCGCGCTCAGGACTCTTTCTTGCCTTGGCTGAGACAAGCTGAGGACAAGTTGGATAGCTTGAAGCCAGCTTCTTTCAAGCGTAAGGATATCGAGAAGCAGCTGAAGGAACTCTCGTCTTTCAGAAACGAGGTTTGGAAACGCTCTGGCGAGTTTGAGAATAACAAAACTTTGGGAGAAACTTTCCTCAGCGCTTGTGATATTGACAAGGATGTTGTTAAGAATGAGCTCAGTGCCATGAAGACCAGGTGGGATAAATTGAATAATGAATTATTGGCACGCACGCAGTCGCTCGAAGATACTGCCAGACATTTGAATGACTTCAATGAAAATTTGAGGGATTTGAAACACGGGTTACAGAGGTGTGAAGATAAATTGGCGTCACATGATGCTTTGGGTGGTGCTTCTAAAGATCCAAAACTTCTTGACAGAATAAAGGTAATTTTTTTTTTTTTTTTTTTTTTTTTTTTTATTTTATAATTCTAAAAATTTATAATTTGATGTGATAAATGATTTTATTATGTTGAAATTATTAAAATTTCAGAACTTACGAGAAGAAACAGCGGCACTGAAGAAACCTTTGCTATCTGCGAGACAACAAGCCAATGATTTAGTAAACAACGCCCGTGAGCAAGGTGTAGATGCAACTCACCTTCAAGACGAAGTCGACAATATCACCGATCGCATCAATGATCTCCAAGGAAAACTTGACGACCGTTGCAATGACTTACAGAGCGCAGCTACCGCCGTAGCTCAATTCAATGACCAAGTAAAAGCTCTAACTTACGACCTCAGTGGTTTGGAGAACGAATTGGAATCAATGAAAGCTCCAGGTCGCGATATCAAGACCGTTCGTTCTCAAATCGAGGAAGTTAACAAACTGATCAGCAAAATAAACCGCACATCTGACGAGGTTTCGAAGTTAGTAAATGCTGGGGAGAATTTGGTAGACAGCGGATTTGCTGCTGATGTAATAGCAACTCGAGACCAAATTGATATTCTGAAGCGTCACCTGGGAAAACTAGATGAACGTGCTCGCAATCGCGATGAAGAGTTGTCGGACATATTGAATAAATTGCAAGAGTTTTACCGTATTCACGCGGATGTTATAGATGATATTAATGACGCCAGCGACCAGGTCAAAAGATTTAAAGCGGTGGGATCTGACATTGATTCCATTAAAGCCCAGCAGGAAGACTTCCGCGCATTGAAGGCCCAGAAAATCGAACCAATCGCTCGTGCAGTTGATGAGTGTAATTTGGTAGGTCAAGGATTGATCCAGAGCGCGGGACGAGATGTTAACACCAGCGGTATTGAGAAAGATCTCGATAAAATGCACGAGAAATGGAATGACTTGAAGGATAGACTGAATGAACGTGACCGTCGACTTGATGTTGGTCTTTTGCAGTCAGGAAAGTTCCAAGAGGCTCTGGATGGCTTGGAAAAATGGCTGGCAGATACCGAAGAGATGGTAGCTAACCAAAAATCCCCTTCTTCTGATTACAAGGTAAATATTCAGTCCATAATTTATATTTAAAATTTGTTTTAAATTTTAGATTTTAATAATATTTTTTTTTTTTTAAAGGTCGTCAAGGCTCAGCTTCAAGAACAAAAGTTCTTAAAGAAGATGTTGATGGACCGTCAAAACTCAATGTCCTCACTCTTCAACATGGGCCAAGAGGTATCCGCTGCAGCGGACCCCAAAGAACGTAAAGCAATTGAGAAAAGATTGAAAGATCTGATCGGAAGATTCGATGCGCTGACAGAAGGTGCTGCTGAGCGCATGGATGCTCTCGAGCAAGCCATGGCAGTGGCCAAAGAATTCCAAGAAAAACTGACACCTCTTGCGATCTGGTTGGACAAGACCGAGAAGAAGGTGAAAGACATGGAATTAATTCCAACTGACGAAGAGAAAATCCAACAGCGAGTTTCAGAGCATGATGTTCTTCACGATGATATCTTGTCAAAGAAGCCGTACTTTAGCGAGTTAACCGAAGTGGCCAGTCAATTGATGAGCCTCGTTGGTGAAGATGAAGCCACCATTCTTGCTGATAAGCTTCAAGATGTTGCCGACCGATACGCCAGTCTTGTAGAACGCTCCGAGGCACTCGGAAGTTTATTGCAGCGCTCGAGACAAGGTCTCCGCCATCTCGTCCTTACTTATCAAGATCTGCAAGCCTGGATGGAGAGTATGGAGAAAAGACTGTCCAAGTATCGTGTTCTTGCTGTTCACACCGAGAAGCTGCTTCAGCAAATGGAAGATCTCGCTGATTTGACCGAGGAAGTGTCTTCTCGCCAAACGGAAGTTGACAGTACAACAGACTCCGGGTTGGAATTGATGAAACACATTTCCAGCGACGAAGCACTTCAACTTAAAGATAAACTAGACTCTCTCCAACGCCGCTTTAATGACTTGGTCACGCGCGGCTCTGATTTACTCAAGCACGCCCAAGAAGCCTTGCCGTTAGTCCAGCAATTTCACGACAACCATAACAGGCTCATGGACTGGATGCAGGGCGCAGAAACCGCTCTCCAATCAGCCGAGCCACGAGAGGAAGAAATTATCCGCCTGGAAATGGAGATATCTGAGTACCGACCGGTTTTGGAGAAAATAAATACCGTGGGTCCGCAGCTCTGTCAAATTTCACCTGGAGAAGGTGCTGCAACTATTGAAGGACTCGTCACCAGAGACAACAGACGGTTCGACGCAATCGCCGAGCAAATTCAACGCAAAGCTGAAAGGATTCAATTGAGCAAACAAAGGTCTCTTGAAGTGATCGGAGATATTGATGATTTATTAGACTGGTTCCGAGAAGTCGACAATCAGCTGCGCGAAGCTGAACCACCAAGCAGTGAACCTGAGATAATCCGTGTACAATTGAAAGAACACAAAGCTTTGAATGATGATATTTCTAGTCAGAAAGGTCGCGTTCGCGATGTTATTTCCACCGCTAAAAAAGTTATTCGTGAAAACACTCACCACGAAGACACAGCTACTATCAGAGACAAGATGGAAGATTTAAGAGAAACTATGGAAATTGTATCCGGTTTGTCGTCAGACCGTCTTGGTGCTCTGGAACAAGCGCTTCCTCTGGCAGAACATCTAAGAGATACTCACTCGGGTCTGTGTAGCTGGTTGGAAGAAGTTGAACACCAGATTTCTATGCTGCCTATGCCAGCTTTGAGACCTGACTTGATTGCAGCTCAACAAGATAAGAACGAACTGTTGATCCAGAGTATTAACGAACACAAACCTTTGATCGAGAAGTTGAACAAGACCGGAGAAGCTCTAATGAGATTGTGCAATGAAGAAGAGGGACTTAAAGTACAAGATATCCTGGACAATGACAACGCTAGATATTCTGCTCTACGAGCTGAGCTTAGAGCTCGTCAACAAACTCTGGAGCAAGCTTTGCAAGAGTCTTCGCAATTTTCTGATAAGCTAGAGGGAATGTTGAGAGCACTGACATCTACTGCTGATCAAGTTCACGGCGCAGAGCCAGTTAGTGCTCATCCTCCTAGATTAAGGGATCAAATGGAAGAGAATGCAGCTCTGGCTGAGGATTTGGCTCAAAGATCAGAAGCTTACGCTGCGGTGAAAAAAGCTGCCGATGATGTTATCAACAAAGCTGGTAATCGTCAAGACCCAGCGGTTAAGGACATCAAGCGCAAGTTGGAGAAATTGAATAAATTGTGGGGAGAAGTCCAGAAGGCTACTATAGATCGAGGACATACGCTGGATGACACCTTGGCTATTGCTGAGAAGTTCTGGTCGGAATTGAACGGAGTGATGACCACTCTCAGAGAACTCCAAGATGCATTGTCAGGACAGGCTCCACCTGCTGCTCAACCGGCAGCCATCCAGCAGCAACAGGTAGCGTTGCAAGAAATCAGACAAGAGATTGACCAAACTAAACCAGATGTGGAGCAAGTCAGAGCTTCGGGGCAGGAATTGATGGGTCTTTGTGGAGAACCGGACAAACCTGAAGTCCGCAAGCACATGGAAGATTTGGATCAGGCTTGGGATAATGTCACTGCTTTGTATGCGAGACGTGAGGAGAACTTGATCGACGCTATGGAGAAGGCTATGGAGTTCCACGAGACTCTCCATAATCTGGTGGACTTTTTGCAAGAAGCTGAAGATAAGTTTGCTGAGATGGGACCTTTGGGTAGTGACATTGATTCTGTTAAAAGACAGATCAAGCAGCTCGCTAACTTCAAGTCTGAGGTTGATCCACATATGGTGAAGGTCGAAGCTCTTAATAGGTAGGTTTTTTAAAAAAAAATTTTTTTTTTTGGTCATTACAAATAAATTTAATGGGATAGATTTAAATTATCGAATTTATTAGACGGATTAATATTATAATATGTATATTTTTAATTCCAAACTTTCTGACCCGGATCCTAGGAGTCTGACAAGGCAAGTCAATTGCTCTAGTCGCACTGGTTATGGCATGGCTTAATTGTATTTCATTATTCTTAGTTTAAATAATTTGAGATATTAAAAAAAATTTTTTTGAGTACTAAGTATTTTTGAATACTTTTAACATAATTTAGATTAAAAAGAATTTTTTTCGGTTGATTTTTTTAAGCAGCATGTCCCAGATAAATTATTCAAAAAATACTTCCCGAATAATTACGGCTTAATATATTATATCAGCTATATCCAATGATGCAGAATAATTTAATTGCTAAAATTAATTATTTAATGTATGCAGCAAGGCTGATAATTACGAGCTTTGTTGTTTGTCCTTTCAGCAAATGTGATGACTTTAAATAAATAAATAATTATTTCTCAACCAGATTTTTAATATAATTTTTACTTGACAGGCAAGCTGCAGAATTGACGGAGAGAACATCATCAGAGCAAGCAGCAGCAATAAAAGAACCACTTGGTGCAGTGAACCGTCGATGGGACGCTTTACTAAGAGGAGTCGTCGAACGTCAAAGACTCCTGGAGAACGCACTTCTGCGCCTTGGACAATTCCAACACGCCCTGGACGAGCTGCTGGTCTGGATTGACAAGACCGACAGAACTCTGGACGAATTAAAGCCCGTCGCAGGCGATCCGCAGGTGATAGAAGTCGAACTAGCTAAGCTGAAGGTCCTTGTAAATGACATCCAGGCTCACCAGACGAGTGTAGACACTCTCAATGACGCTGGAAGACAATTAATAGAAGACGGCAAAGGCACTGCAGAAGCTTCTACGACCGCCGAGAAACTAGGAACTTTGAATCGCCGTTGGCGCGACTTACTCCAGCAAGCCGCGGATCGACAACGAGAACTTGAAGATGCGCTTCGGGAAGCTCAATCATTCACCGCCGAGATCCAAGACTTACTATCTTGGCTGGGTGACGTTGATAACATGATCGTCGCTTCTAGACCAGTCGGCGGTCTTCCTGAAACCGCTTCCGAGCAATTAGAACGCTTCATGGAGGTCTACAACGAGTTAGAAATGAATCGTCCTAAGGTCGAAACTGTTCTGCAGCAAGGCCAAGAATACTTGAAACGCGCTGGCGCCTCTAGTGCTGGAACACTGAACCACAATTTAAGAACTTTGAAACAAAGGTGGGATAGTGTAACAGCACGAGCTAGTGATAAGAAGATAAAACTAGAAATCGCGCTTAGAGAAGCCACTGAATTCCACGACGCGCTTCAAGCGTTTGTCGACTGGCTGACCAATGCCGAAAAAATATTAACCAACTTGAAACCTGTTTCTCGAGTTATGGAAACAATTCTCGGACAAATTGAGGACCACAAAGCATTCCAGAAGGACGTTGGCGTTCACCGCGAAACGATGCTCAATTTGGACAAAAAAGGAACTCAACTTAAGTACTTTTCTCAAAAACAAGACGTCATTCTTATAAAGAATTTGTTGGTTAGCGTGCAGCACAGATGGGAGCGCGTTGTTTCTAAATCAGCAGAAAGGACTCGCGCTCTGGATCACGGCTACAAAGAAGCTCGAGAATTCCACGACGCATGGTCTCATATGATGACCTGGCTGGACGACGCCGAGAAAACTCTCGATGAAATGGCCGCTGAGGGAGTTGGTGGCAACGACCCGGAGAAAATCAAGTTCCGGTTGAACAAGCACCGGGAGATCCAGAAAGCTTTGGGTGCCAAGCAAGGAACTTATGACACGACGATGAAGAACGGGAAAACTCTGAAGGACAAGGCGCCGAAGAGCGACGAACCGGCTTTGAAGGAGCTGTTGAATGAATTGAAGAGCAAGTGGACGACGGTGTGCGGAAAGAGTGTAGACAGACAGCGAAAACTGGAGGAAGCTTTGCTCTTCTCAGGTCAATTCAAGGACGCTATTCAAGCGCTGCTTGATTGGCTCCAAAAAACCGAGAAGCAGCTGTCGAATACTGGACCACTGCATGGAGATTTGGACACAGTTACCAATTTGGTGGAGCAGCACAGGTCATTTGAGAGAGACCTCGAGATGAGAGCCTCGCAGATGGAATCTGTTATCAACACTGGCCGAGAGCTTGAATCTAAAGCTACGGTAGAAGACGCGTCGACTATCAGGTCGCAGCTGTCCGAGGTGAAGAACCTTTGGAATGTTGTGACCAGGTTGTCGGACAATAAGTCTCACAGATTGGACGAAGCGCTGAGGGATGCAGAGAGACTTCACAAAGCTGTGCATGTATTGTTGGAGTGGCTGAGTGAAGCGGAAATGAAGCTGAGATTCGCGGGTCAGCTGCCAGAAGACGAACAAGAGAGCAGGAACCAGCTTATGGAGCATGAGAAATTCTTGAGGGAGCTACATCAGAAGGAAGTCGAGAAAGACCATACTCTTGAACTGGCTCATGGAATCCTTGGCAAGTCTCATCCGGATGGAGCTGCTGTTATCAAGCACTGGATTACCATCATTCAGTCCAGGTGGGAAGAAGTTGCGACCTGGGCTCTGCAGAGAAACCAACGGCTAGAAAATCACATGCAAGGGCTACAGGTAAATTATTTTGTATTGTATTGTATTGTATGGAAATAGAAGTAAGTGGATTTTTTATGATTGTTTTTTAATAAATATTTTGTCTTGCAGGATCTTGACAATCTTTTGGAAGAATTGCTTTCATGGTTAGAAGGTCTTACAAATACTTTGATAACTTTGGAAGCAGAGCCGTTACCAGATGATCGTCCGACTCTGGAGATGCTGATTGCAGACCACCGCGAATTCATGGAAAATACTAGTCGCAGACAAGTTGAGGTTGACAGTGTTTGCAAAGCCCGTCAGATAAAAGCCATCAAGGACAATCGCAAGATGTCCAAATCTAGATTACCCGGTTCTGTGTAAGTATGCATGCTTGAAAAAATTCGCTAGTTGTAAATATTTATTAGTACTTATTTATAATGCACTTTTTTTTTTTTTATTCGTACCACTATTTTAAGGTTTTTGTTTTTGTTTGTGTTTTTTATGTTGCTTGAACATTCATTTTGTAAATTATCATCACTATTTCACAATTCACGTGTCTGTCGCATGGTGCACTGTTGAATTGGCAGTAAGGACCTGTATCAAGAAAGTGAAGATGAACAGCCGCTTCGTAAGCAAAGGTTTGTTTTTGCTTGTCACTTATTGTTTTTTCATCAATTCACAGATTTACATTTTTTGGTCATTTTATTTAATTAATTAGAGTAAAAAATTAGTCATTCATAGTGATTATTGATTAATCAGTAAATTTTTAATTAGTGTCATTTTGCATTTTATTTTCAAAATTTATTTTTAATGGTTTTACTGTGTGTGATTATAAAAATTGTATTGCTTTGGATTTGTTTAGCTTCAAGGGCAGTCGAGACCTATTGCAATCTCGTCGTGGAAGGTATGCTTGCTGCACAGTATTTTTTTACTATTCATTCACTGTCATTTCATGGTTACAAACTTAAATATTTAATAAAAATTGAATAGGATAAATATTATTAATTAAAAAAATTTTTATTTATTTTTTTTTTTACAATCTTTATTAAATATTTTTTAATTGAATTAAATATTTAGGTAAGTTTCCAACTTCATAGGTACTACATTTTTACACATAATTTCACTTATTTTTGTCTTTGTATTTGTTTTGTGTTTGTTTCAATTTATGTTATATATTTTATCATAAAATTATATAATTAATTATTGTAAATAATTATACTTATAATATTTAAATTTACAGAATAATTATTATTACAATTACACAATACAATTCAATTATAAAATAATGGTCCAGTGAATTAATTTTTACTTATAATTTTTTAAAGTTTTAAATTAAATTAAAACAAAATTTCAATGAAAAAAATTTATTTTTATTCACTGGTTCATTTTATATTATATTATAAATTATAATTATTATTATATAAATTATTAATAATTAAAGAAACTGTCAAGCAAAAATAAGAAGATTGCAAAATATATAGTTAAGTAGAGTGTTATGAGTGATTTGACGCATGTTCTTGTTTAGCCGAGCCAGTCCAGGTCGTGAGAGAACACCAGATCCTTCATTGCCGCATATTGGTCCGCGATTCCCACCCAAAGGAAGGTTCGTTGTCTTATATTTCAATTAATCCAAAATAAGTAATAAAATAACGAATGAGTAATAAGAATGAGTAAAAAAATATTGAATGTGGTGACTGGATTGTGATCTTTTATCCTAGAATGATGTGATTAAAATGAATCGTGTATTAAAATAGAGAATAAAGAATGATGTGATAAAACTACTATGACTAAATTTGTATATAGTGACAATAACCACGATTGATTTTCTACTAACAAATTATTTTAATCGAGTAGCAAAGGAGCCGAGCCGGAATTCCGTAATCCACGCGTTAAACTTCTCTGGGATCGTTGGCGCAATGTCTGGATGATGGCATGGGAACGTCAGAGACGTCTTCAAGACAAGCTTAACTACATCGACGAATTAGACCGTGTCAGGAACTTCAGCTGGGAAGACTGGCGCAAGAGGTTCTTGAAATTCATGAATCACAAAAAATCACGGTTGACAGATCTGTTTAGAAAAATGGACAAAAATAATGACGGTCTTATTCCGAGAGAAGATTTCATCCAAGGAATCATGAATACTAGTCAGTGTTTTATTTACTTTTTAATTTTTTTACGTTTAAGTATATCAATTACAAATTATTGACCAATTATTATTATTTCAGAATTCGACACATCACGCTTAGAAATGAACGCCGTTGCCGATTTGTTCGATCGCCACGGCGAAGGTCTTATCGACTGGAAAGAATTCATCGCAGCTCTTAGACCAGATTGGGAAGAAAGACGTACTTACCACGATACTGACAAAATTCACGATGAAGTCAAGCGACTGGTCATGTTGTGTACTTGCAGACAGAAATTCCGCGTCTTCCAAGTCGGTGAAGGAAAATACAGGGTAAATTTAAGACCTCTTAATTCATTATTTTTATTTTTTTTCTTAAACAATTAATTCAAATAGTTGATAATAATCTATTTTTAAATCTAGTTCGGTGACAGCCAAAAATTACGCCTTGTCCGTATCTTAAGATCCACCGTAATGGTGCGAGTCGGCGGTGGATGGGTAGCCCTCGACGAGTTCTTATTGAAGAACGATCCATGTCGCGGTAAGTTACTTTTCATTATAAATTATAATTATATATACAATGATAGATAATAACGATAACAATATTAATAATTCCATAAGATAAAAAAATTCAAAATATAAATTCAAATTATCGAGATCGACTGTCAGGACCCCCCAGAGGCAAATTAAACTTTATTTCAAAATTTTATTTAGTTAATTATTTTCGTAATAATTTAATGTTTAATTTGTATTATATATATATATAATATGTTATTTATCGTTTAGTTTTATTTATTTTAAAACATTATCATGAACGTCAGTTGTCATAATACACTGCTAACAGGAACGTTCGTAACCACCCTAACTAAATCGGTTTTATTTGTTTGACTAATATTTTAAATTTACTATGCACGGGGCTATTAATTTATTAATAAATTAAAGTTATAATGTTATGATGATGATAATAATAAAAATAATAACTAAACTAAATCCCATCGCGTTTGTGTGTATGATCTCAGCTCCTGAGGTAACAAACAGAATGTTCATTAATAAACGAATGAATCCGTTTTAAAACAAATATTAAGCATACGAGTGGTGACATGTGTGCCCGTTGTTTGCTTTGCTTAATATGTAGCCATAGAAACCATTTTTTACTACTATTTAATATTGGGAATTTATTGAACTCGGTTCATCGGTAAATTTTAATTAACATGAAAAATTTACACTGTAAAAAATGACGATTTTTTACAGTGCAGATATTAAAGACCGGAATTCAAAACTGGTTTACTTCTAACAATAATAATAAAAATTGCATGAACCCCTAGAAGTACTAAAAAGACTAAATATTTTCCATCGTTCTCCAAGTTTTTCTAATGCCAATACCGGATCCTAACAAGCCGGAACAGCACGAGGGTTGGTGTCCACTCGGTGAGACCCATTGCACGATCATTACTTTAAATCTCGCATCTAAACTCTATCTTCCTTATATTAGTTTTTTTTTTATTTAATTTATTAATTTACATTATTTTGCGAAGACAGAGTGTAGATTTAAGATTTAAATCATTCATCTGTGTCGCATGACATTTTCTCATTTCACATTTATTTTTCTCATATATTTTGTTCAAGTGTTATCTGGTAAAATGGAACTGTTTTTTAAAGTTAAATTTTTAGGAAAGTTTTATATTTTTAAGGTTTTTTGTTGAACTGGCTTAATGAATTCTTACTATAAGATATTTTTTTTTTGGTTCAGTGGTTTATTATCCAGTCTTTATATCTGTTATTTTAGTTGTTCTATTTAAGCATGGTGTTGGAGTTACGTGGATTTTAAATTTAATGTTAAGTTAGTTTTAAGTTTTATTTTTAAACTTCATCTTGAATTATAAATTTTTTTTTATTTAAAATCTTTACATCATTTAAAATACTCGACCCTTGAAAATTGTTATTTGTAACAATTTACTTTCTTATCATATTTGATATACATTTTTCAAATTTATGTAATTCTAATATAATAATTAATTATAAGTGTAAATAAAATTAACATTTAAAAATTTATTATAAATACTTGCAAAAAAAAAATCTTTTAAAGCACCATAAATTAAAATTTTATTTAGAAAAAAAAAATTATCATACAAAAAATTTATAATTCAAGATAAAGTTACCCTAGTACACTAGAATTGTAAAATACAAAATTATTTTATAAAAAAAAAAAAAAAAAACTGGTGTGATTTAAGAATTATTTTATTATTACGCTATTTTATTTGAAAATTTTTAATTACGTTATTTCTTCTTTTTTCTTTCTTCACACAAAACAACACACTACACACATTTTCATTTAAAACCCTCAACTCAAAAAATAAAACTATTAATTATTTCTCGCATGGTTTTAATTTTAAAAATTGCTAAACCGCTAAAACTCTGTTCTGTAAAACCGTTTCTGCATTTCTTCTTCTGTAATCTTAAACTTGACCCTAAATTTACACCCTAACCATCTTTATTCCATTCCTAAAACCCTGTACCAACTTATACCCTCTGATTACTGTTACTACAACTGCACTGTTATCTTACCCTCGGTATTCTTTTGCGTCTTCTTAACTAACTGCACGCACACACTGTAGCCAAGGGAAGAACAAACATTGAGCTGCGGGAACAATTTATTTTGGCGGACGGGGTCAGCCAGACGATGACGGCATTCAGAGCTAAGCCGAGCCCGAATTCTACACTCCAACGCACCCCAATGTCTTCGGCTGGTCCGATAACCAAGGTAATAATCATCACCCACATGCAATGCAATACTTCAATATTCTTATTCTTTCACTCACATTTATTTCATTGTTCCAACTACCGTCGTTCATCAAGTGAATTAATTCAATTATTAATCAATTATAATTATAATTAAATACTTATAATTTCATTCAACCGCTTGATTAACGACAGTCAGTTCTACACACTCTATTTATTTCATTTGCAACACATCTATTGCACATAAATATAAGCACCTATACCCGGAAAATAACTATTTAAAAAGCGTTTGTACGCTTTCAATTGCAACATTATTTACGTAAGTATTGCGAATGATTATTTATTTATTATATATAATGCATGCGCATGTTCTCAAAATTTTTTTAAATAATTATTTTTATTTATATTATATTTTCCTCATTATCATCTAGTATAAGATCTAGTAGAATTACTCTCTTATGAATGGATTAGTGGGATTGGTAAGAAAATATTGGTAAGGACAGCTACCGGAAATTAAGGCGACGATACGAAGTTTTTTATACCTCAGGAGGTGTGATTTTATTGTCATATCATACTTGAAAAAAAAGTCCCCTTTGATCGCGGCAAAAGCGGAGGTCGAATTTTTACAAAGGAATTTTTTAATACTTGTTACTATTTTATTGGTTAAATTATTTATTAAAAGATGAAAAATTTAATAAGGACTTGTGTCCTTTGATAATAATTACTTTCCGAATAGAAAGAAATCTAAACATTTAGTATGATTGATTTGATTTGGTGTAGCGGAGGAGTTTATGAACCAGCTGATGCCGATATTTGAGAGTTTGAGGCAAAAGGAGGATCTTCCGTGCTCGTACCCTCTTCACATGCACGCCCCCTCTTACCACTGGGTAAATAATATCATTCTCTTGATTGATTCTCTTGATATTTATATGGTTGGACATTGTCATGTCATTTATATATTATTATACTTGTATATTTGACTTTATACTTGTACTTATTTTTACATAGCTATATTTACTATTTTTGCCTGCATTTTTACATTTTTAAACTCTGATTAATATTATTGAGTTGTTATTGGTAGCTTAGTTGCTACGCGCGTTTGTAATTAGTGCATTGTGTGTATTTTATTGTGTGAAAACCCAACGCTCATTTATAAATTTTATCATTAATTAATTTATCTTTGATTATATATTACTTTTTTTTAGTTTTTAAATAATTCTCTTTAAGTCGGTAATTTTTTCTTCAAAATTTTTTATAATAAAAACTATTTTGATATTGACGCAGAAGAAATAAATTTGTAAAATTAACTATAGTTTTATTAATATTTCTTTTTTTTAATATATTAAATTAATAAAAAATTAAAGTAGAAATTTTAAAACATAAATATATAAAGTGTATTATTTTCAAATGAAATAGAAAATTTTTAAGTCATTGTTTATTATAATAAAAATCTATGTCATTTTTAAACATTCTTAAAATAATTTTATTATTTAAGAAATTTTTAAAACAATATTTATTAAAAAAAAAAAAAACAAAAAAAAAATAGTGAATTATTAAAAAATTATCGACTTTTTGAGCATTGATTATAATTTCGTAATTTATACTTTATTTTTATTCATTTGAATGCCTCAAAGATTTCCCTGCTAGATAATTGAAAAACTTAAAACCAAAAACCTTCGAGATAATTACAAAAAAATATAGAGTAAAATTTGAATAAAAAATCGAATGCGCATAACTTCTATCTATACTCTGTAAATAAATATTAATTAATGCTGGCATAGTGGCGTTGATTGGAGATACTTCAAATCACCATAAGCTACTGTATCTTTCCCAACTCCTTTTGGTAAGTTAGCATGCTTCCGTAGAACTACTTACTTGAATTTAATTATGACCAGTAATTTAAACATCTATTTTTCTATCATTATCAGTCATAATTAAATTCAATTAGCACATAATCCATTCGTAGGAGCAGTTGGTACGTACACGAGTTTACTTAGCTGTAATTTCCTTTATGTACAGCAAAAATATTTGAATTCATAAAGTAAAATTTCAAATTATCAATAGTTGAAAATAATAATGAAAAAAAAAAAATCAATTTAATTTTTATAATCTTTATGATTTCAAATTAATAAATTCAATCACATACACATACACTACTGTAATAAAATCCTATTGTTTTGTACTCACGCTTGATTTTCATCTCAAATTAATGGTAATTTTAATTTTTTTATTCAACAATTTTTTTTTTTTTTTTCATGTAGGTAAGAGAGCGCAGCGTTAGAAGTGTGCCAATGGGTCACTCAGGAACTCATCGAGCGTCAAGATCTTCATTGAGCGCTGGAACTCCAGATAGTTTGAGTGATAACGAGAGTTCATTCAAATTGTCAACAAGAAAGACAAGTACTCCTTATAGGAGTGTTATTACTCCAAGTAAGAATTTATTTAATATTTTAATGTCTATTTATATTTATCAATTAAAATTATTTATAGAGTGAAAATAAAATAAAACACAAATTGTTAATAATAATAATTTTTCATCAGGTGGTAGCCGTCCATCTAGCCGTCCAGCATCACGGCCAGCAAGTAGACCAGCTAGTAGACCTAGTAGCAGGCCTGCGTCAAGGCAAGGTAGTAAACCACCAAGTCGTTATGGCTCTACACAATCTTTAGATAGTACAGGTAATATTATTTAACATTTATTTGGTATATTTAAAAATTCAAATTAATAAATCACCCTATAAAATTTTTATTATTAAATTATAAATAAATTCCAGACGAGTCAGGAACTCCCAGTCGTATTCCAAGAAGAACATTAGGTACAACTGGAACCACACCGACCTCAAGTCGACACAACAGTATTTCTGGTAGAAAACTCATGGCTCCAGTAAATGGTTCATCAACATCTCGACCGCGTACACCTACTGGACTCATCAGTCCTGCGAGTGGTGTTCCTTCTAGGTAAGCATTTTTTAGAAAAAAATTTTTTTTTCTAATAAACAAACCCTGCATTAAAATTTTCAGATGAAAAAAAAAACTAATACGCATTGCAAATTTATAGATTTAACTGCATTATCAAACGCATTAAAATTTTTAAAAATCATTTTTAATAAATTAACACATTTATTGCAAAATCATAAATTTAAAAAAATCAAGCAAATCAAAGTCTTTATTATAATAAAATTAATTACTTTAATATTAATAATTTGTCGATTAAAAGTCATTGAAGATAACATATTGATCTAGAGCCATTACTCACAATTTTTTTAGGCTGGGTTCGATCTATAGAACGTCGAGTATCCCAACTCTTTCTGGTGCCGTAACACCAAATAGGTAAAGCGTCATTAATATAGTACAGTAATGGAAAATAATTCAGGGAAAATTATCAAATTTCAATATGGTGTTGGGATAAAAAAAATGCTTGATCAAACTAATTCCTCTTAATCCGGTGCTGGGTATAAAAACTGTCCTATCATAAAACTATTTAACTGTCTATATCATTTCAATTAACTTTCAATGTCTTGCTCTTTCTCTCTGATACGACTTGGTGGTGGTTTAGTCGCTCGCGGATTCCTGTGTACGTGGGACTAGATATTAAATCTCCTCAATCAACAACGAGTAACTTTTCGACTCATTCCACGCAAAGCAACCACTCTACAATTTCAACTGATTCCACTGGGTATGCCTGATCTGTCGCTAGTGTTTCTTTGGTTTTGTTTTTTTCCATCAAACATTACACTTTTGATCCACAGAACTCAAATTACTGCACGATTTTTTTTTCTTCAATTTTTATTTAAAACATATTTTAGTTTTTATTTAGAAACCAATCCACATTTCTTTTTTTTTTTAATAAGTACTTGGTTTTTGCTTTTGAAATACTAACTCTCATATAAATATCAGGGGCAGCTCAGTCTGTACCAGTTCGGCAACTAACTATTCATCTGCTGTTAAATATGCTAGGTAACTAGCATTTGTATTTATTGTATAAATGTTTTTTTTTTTTTTTTAGAGATTTATGGAATAATCCTTTTGATGATTTTATTAAAAATTTTATTATTATTTATCAATATTTAAAAAAAAAATTTTTTTAAATATCTTCAACAAAATCGGTTAAATAAAAAAAAAAAAAAAAAAATTCCATTAAATTTATAAAAAAAAAAAAATTTTTTTCAGATGACTTAAAAAAAAATTGATTAAATAAATTTTAAAAAAATACACTAAAATCATTAAAAAATTAAAACAAAAAGATTATTTCATAGCTTTAAATAAAATGCTTAAAAAACTAGCTTGTATGTGTTTTCACAAAATGTCTCAAACAGTAGTTGATGTAATGAAAATAATTAATTCCTAAAACTGATTAATACTTTTATTTATTCAGGACACGAACACCGTCGAGTGGTTCATCGACACCCTTGCCACCGGCGTCAAAGCTCTCTCGCAAGCCATCAGGAGCTTCGGATACTTCAGTGTCAGCTCTTCCAGTTTCATCGCGCAAAGGAACCAAGCCCGTCGCCATCGGCGACAGGGCTCCCTTTAGATTGTAATTAACATAAACTAAACTAATTAAACGGTCTACGCCCGTATGTTTATATTAACAAATAAAATATCGTGTTTATAAATCTAGATAATTCTGATCGAGCTTTTCATACTGTTTTTAATCAAACGCAATGCCAGTAATTATAAGAGCATCGCTATTGTCTACATTGTCTAAAAAATTAAACAAAACTAAAAAAAAAAAAAGTTATACATCGTATACATTTAACTATCATATACAAAAATAGAATGAACATATTTAAATGTAGTGAAAGAATTTAAAAGATGGAGAAATTTATATTTATGTCAAGTTTTTTAATATGAACTTGCTACTAATATTATTAATTAATTATTGAGCTTTCGTTTAACGAAATCATAAAAGTTTAACGTTACTAAGTGACAACAGATTTATAAATAAAGTATTGTATGATATGATTTATTGGTCACAGATAACAGTTAATTTAAAAGAAAAAAAAAAAAAAACAAAAAGAAAAATTGAATAACACAAAAATAAACTAACAAGTGTTTCTTCTAATACTACCGAGTTTTCGGTGATGAAAAAAAATTGTTCCACAATAACAACGCAGTCTCGTTACACATTGTTTGATGAATGCCATTTACATAATATTTATACTTATATATTATTCTATTATAATTATCGCTGATTAATTATTTAATTAATTTACCATTAAACCACTAAAAAATTTTTTTTAATAAATAATTAGACGTAATTTGTAAAGGATTGAAGAAGTATTGCGCTTATGGTGATCCGGTTCGGGGTACAACATCATAGGGCGCTATTTGCGCAAACTTCTCTAATCTTAGTTGTTAATTACAAAAAAAAATTATTTAACATTTTATTGGAACACTTATGATCTGATAAAAAACTAACATCTAGATTTAAGATTTTTTTTTTTTTATAAAATGTTATAATAAAAATTCCTCTCGCTAACTGAGAGCTAGATTACGCGTGTTTAGAAGTTAACACAAATATTATTAGAGTACTTTTTATTTTTGATTCTTTGCCGTCACGATAGATTAGACATTTGCGATATAAATTGTTTGTTTGTTTTTTTTTATACTCTCTAAAGTTGTTTTTTTTTTTTATTATCTAAAATGCAAATGCTCAATCGTGAGATATTTATTTGAAAGTAATTATATAATTATGCCTATAATTATTATTATAATTACAATTACTGTAATTGAAAAAATAGAATGAAGAAAAAGAGAAGAGAGAACGTATTATGTAAATATTGGTTTGTTCTCTTGATTAAATTAAAAATCCGCTTGTTTTAAAATGTGCGTTGAGTTTAAGCGGAAGAGATGATTAAAATATACAATCAAAGTTAGTTTTACATTTATGTGGCACAAATGTAAACGAATATTTTTTGTTGGTATAATTTTTTTAACCGATACCTAATAAGTTTTATGAAAGTCTGCAAAGAACATGATAAATAAAGTGCGACATAATATAGATAAGTTAATATTATAATAAAAGTTAATAAAACAAATAAGTCTGAGGTAATGCCTCTTAATCGTTAATAAATAATAAAATATTTAAAAGACATTTATAATTCTTTTATATTAATTATTAAAAATGCAACTAATATTTTAAATGATAAAAAAAATTCCTCATTTCTACTATTAATTTTCTAATACGATTAATGTATTAACATTGTTATAAAGATTTATGTTTTGCCTTATTGTAAAATTTCTGTATCGTTGCTAATATGCTGTGAAAATATACATATAGATATATATTTAAATTTATTGTTCATTTTTTTTTCCTTTAATTTTTATTTTTAATAAATTATTTCAAGTATGATGATTTTATAAAAAACTTATGTTCATTAAGGGCCAGTTTTTCAACCCCGGGTTTAAGTATTCTATCATTGTGAATATATCTATATATAATAGATATATAGATATATTCACAATGATAAAATATTTAAACTCTGGGTTGAAAAACAAACTGACCCTAAAAGGAAGTTCGAGCGTAACTAATGAGTCAAAATAATATTAAAATATTTTTTTAATTTTATATAGTCTTCCCAATATTTCTTAAAATTCTTTATTTTAATTTAAAATAATTTAAATAATTTAGTAATTGATGATTTTTACTTATTTAATAAGTATAAAATAAAGTAATAAAATGACTTTCGTATTTATTACTTGCCGGATTGAAACAGTTAAACATTTGAGCAATAAGTAAATTACCAAAATGCATTGCCGTTACAAGGGAAGATTTATTAAAAAAAATATTGCCCAGTGGAAAAAAAATGTAATTGCAAGCAATAAAGCTCGGAATGAAAATAAGGAGAGTGCCGAAAATACAAACTTTATTGGTAATTATCGATTTACTATTAATTTGAGGTTATACATATACCAATGTGTACCTATTATTATGACAACTATATAAAATATATTATTTAAGTAATTAATATTCAAGTTAAAAATGTACAATAGATTTTATTTTGTTTTACAGAACTCAGTGGACGACGATTAGTGGACCTAAAATTATTAGATGATGAGTTGTGGTGTAAGCCTTGTAATCAAGCTTTGCGTCTCCGTCATTCAGTGAATGAACTAAAAAATGGATCAGCAAGTATTTTTCAAGTTAAATGTACAACTTGCGGGAATATGTACCCAGTAAACATATCAGCTATTGAAAAAAATTGAAAAACCAGGCCTACGTATACGGTAAACCCGAAGGTGGTGGTTGGGTGTTATTGAAAGTGGTAGTGGAAACACTCATCTCAATAAGATTTTACTTACTTACTTCTGGGAAGTAAGTGCTTCAAATCGAGTGGTCCTAAAAGTATGAGAATACTATTGGCGCAAGATGTAGGTGGGAAACCTCGTATTATGAAAAGACAAAAAATTATTGATAGCTTATGTACAAAACTAAGGCTCATTCTGTCTAATAGCTGACTAACTTTTCAGATTCTTATTTATTTTTAATTTTCAGATTAATAGAATGATAATTCAAGTTATATTGTGTTAATTATTTATTAATTTCAAATTATTTCGTTTTATTATTTATTAAAAAATAAAATTTTACGGATTTTAACTATATAATTTTAGCAATTAAATAATTATTCAAATCAATAAACGCTTTATAAATTATATTTCAATTTTACAAAATAGAAATAGAATATTTTTAATGATATTAAAAAATATGCTACTTACCTTCAAGAAGAAATTTCAATATTCCATGGATTTATTATGTAATATACTTATAAATATATCAAATATAATATATTAAATTTTATAACTATTCTTATATCCTAAACTTAAAATAAATAATATTATTTTTATTAAATAAAAAAAAATTAATTTCGTTTAACGATAGTTCCAATTTATTAAAAAATATTTACAAGTTACACACAAATATTTACATGTACATTTTATCCAAAAATAAATTACGCCACCGTGGACATGAACGGAAGGGTATCAATTGGAGTCGGCTGGTAGCAAAGCGGCTGTTGTCGCTGCGCAATGGGTTCTCTGAAATGCTGTTTGAACCACTTAATCATAGCCTCCAAATTAATGAAGATTCTATTCCTAAATTTGAACCCTTCAGTGGTCACGCTGAAGTACTCATGGTAGCACGTACTCCTGGGAATGTACGACAGAACAAATTTTCCAGGATGAGTTTTAGCAGCCGAAAGAATGTAAGGGATGCCTTTGGGGTTGATTTTCTTCTGACCCCTCAATATTTCTTCAGCCTTATGTTTGACGCCGTAAACATCGTCGCAGTAGTATTTAAATTTAAGAACTTCTGCGACATAGCCCGCCATGACATTGATGTACCTGGCGATGATTTCATCCAAGTCGTCAAACTTCTCAGCTCCGATGTACAAGCTGCGGCCCAAGGAATAAGCATTAGGCTTGTCCTCTTCAACGACATCAATATGTTGATAGATGTCATCAACAATCTTCCAGGTGATTGACAGCCTGTTGACTCCCTTACTGCTTGGTCTGATGACGCACTCTCCTGGATCCATAGTCTGCATCATTTTCTCCGCTTCTGCGAAGGTGATATTATGGAACGACGGATGGACTATCACTCTCCTGGCGTAGACGTTGTTCTTGCTCTTGTTCTGGCTTTCCTTCTCCACTCGTTTGTCTTCTTCCTCCGCTTGATGGTCATAGTGAGGATCTTTAGCCGGTCTGAAGATGTTGTTAACATCAGCAAGATCGCTGCTTTTGCTGGAACATTCACTCCCGAATTTTTCTACGTCAACTTTGAGAACCCGGCAAGAAATCATTTGACTGATCCTCACTTTATCTTCAGGATTCCCGACTGATTGACTGGACAAATTTTTGAGATGAATGTACCCCGACAGTCCATTTTCCAACCTCAGCCTGACTCCGACTGCTTTTCCAGGACACTTGTTGCTGTCAAAGTGGCTCCACACTTCAGACAACTCCAGAAAATCTTTGCTCAAGCAGAAAGGACACTGCCACGTTCCTGTTTCACTGTCCTTGATCGGATTGCTCTGATCTAGCTGCTCGCCTTTGGGCTTCTTGTAGTGGAACCCTACGACAGTCGCCTGGACCAATTTCCCGACGTAGAAGGTCTCCGGAGTCTCCTTGGTCAGCAAATTGAAGATCTCTTTGGCGGACAATGATAGATATGGCCGTCGCATGTCTTTGTACGGGTGCTTCAACTCTTCTTTAATGTCAAGCAAGGTTGTCAGTTTCTCACTGAAGCCTAACTTCTTCAGTTGTTCCGCAAAAGCTTCCAGGTCCAACTCGTCAAGCAAATAAGACGTCTTCATTATTCTTTCAGTAGCGGTGAACTGGTCCATATCTTGATCTTTGTCTTCCAGAGCGTCAATTGCCATTTTATTGGCCCACTCGTAGCTCTCCGGGTGGATCCTTGTCTCGTCCAGTGGCTCCTGGTATACATCCGACCGGTTGGTAATAACAGAACCATCTATTTTGATGAACCCAACACAATTTATGAAGACTGTTGGACCAAAATGAAGCTTGTGTACTAACTCGGTCCTGTTATTCAGGATTAAATGCTTGTGCTTCAGAAGTTTCAGCATATTTTGAGCTTTTCTAGGACCCAGTCCGCTGATGAACTGCAGAAGGCTTCCAGTGCAGCTTGATTCGTTGTTGACGTCAACACCCACTTCGTTGACGCGGTTGACAAACTGGTAGTACAGCTCTGTCAGGAGCTCTTCTTTGTTCAGTAGATCTTGAAGGGTGTGGAACCTCAAACACAGTAAATCTTGATCAGCGTTGCAGAGTTGGGCAAATTCTCCAAGTGGGTTCAGGATTCTTCTGGCTAAAGAAGTGGCTACTCTCAAGATTGGAGGGTAGCTTGGCAACTCGGTGATTCCTCTGTTGCTAGTCGAGTAAATCTTGGCAACATTCGGGTCACAAAGCTCCACCTGGATTGAAGGAAATTTATTTGTTTTAGTGAGTTCCTTCAAACACTTTTTGACATCGTTACAAATCATCAACGCTTCTTTGGATTCAGCTGTGACGACAATGACGTGGGGCTTGCATTTCTCAATGAAGTTCTTCAGCGCCAACATGTCAGCTTCTTTGAGCAATTTCTCCTGCTGGTTGAAGCTGTCTATCCGCTTCAACAGATGGAGCATCTTCAAGAAATTATAACAAGTCCCGGTTGGAAGAACTGCAGAAGCGTAGGCGGCTTCTTGGGAATCCGGGACGTAAGCGATTCCTATTGACCGGAAACCATCTTTAGTACTCCATTCATAGTCTTCTTCAAATTCTTCAGGGAGCGTGCAAGTGTAGGGCTGGAACTTGATCCAGTCATCTAGCTTCTGACAGCAAGCGTACATGATTGCTTCTTTGGCCTCAACAGTCATCTTGGTCTTGAGTTCATTTTTCAAGTCAGGAATGATGTAGTTTCTCAACGCCATCTTCACACTGGCTCTGCGCAAGTCATTCCATTCTTGCACGTTATTGCTGAACTCATCTTTGATGTACAACTGCGAGAACTCGATGATGAAATCGGAGCCTAGTGTTCCTTCCACAGTGTCACTGAAGGTTATCGTCACCAAGCCGTCAGTTTCCGCGGCCAAAAGTTTCAGCCAAATGTGGTCGACAAGGTCGCGAACCGGCTTGTCTTTCAAATACTTCACTGAGTAAAGCTGGTGGCTCTCGTCAATGACTTTGATCCCGTTCTTGGTAGGCCGAACTGTAATCTTCGCACGCTCCGTGTACAATTCACGTGCGCATTTTCTGAGCAGCGGCTCGCGCGCCAATTGTATGGCTACCATATGCTGAACTGCCTTCAAAACTTGCTCAGTTGTTTCAAAATTAGCTCCTAGGTAGTTCTGCGCGATAACACTGGGTTCTACTGGATCCTGCTCGACTTCGTGCCGCTGGTAACTGTCTCTAACATTTTCAGCAAAGTGTTCTGGAGTGAGACCAAACTTTTTGGCGAAGCTGCAGAGTCCTGCGCGGCGGTAAATTGAATACGGTCCACTTCTTACAGCTTGTTTCAAGGAATCTTCTTCTTCTTTTTCCTCTTCTGCGCTTTCAGCCGGTGATTTTTCACCGTTCTCCTCGGCCTCTTCACCTCGCTGCTTCAACTTTGCGAGTTTCTCCAATTTCTTGGCTTCTCTGCGTTTTTTCTTCAAGAGTTCTTTTAATTGCGGAATCTCACGATTGTAGTACAGCATGAAATGATTGTAGACGTCCTTCCTTTCTTCTTCGGACTCGATGGTGTAGACACGTTTGATGTCCTGGTCCTTGATAACTCTAATATCGTCGGGAAGAGACTCTGATGATTCCTTCATGACTGTTTCCAGTTGAAGTTCTCTCATGTTCTCAATCAAATTAAGAAGATTAAATTTTCTTTGGCGCAATCCGCACCATGTTGCGTCCAACTTGAAGATCTTCCAGAGGTCGTTGATGTTTAACTCCGGACTGACAAATTCCTTGCGGTAGAAAGCGATGAAAGGCACTTCCAACAAGTCGCATCGCATTAATTCGAGCGCATTTCTCACTTTGCCTACTGTCTTGGGACTCTTGTGGGCAGAGTCAGATTTATCTTCAACTTTCTGAAGAAGATGATTGTTGAAGGCGTTCTTATAAATCCACTTAGCTTCCTCTACCAATTCATGAGATCTTTTGTCTTTTACTTCGATGATAGGTATGGAGCGAAGCTGCATCCTCTCTGGAATATCCTTGACACGGATTTGCTGGTCTACGTCAGTCAAGAATGCTTTCTTCAATTCAATCGGCTCATAGACTTCGAAGATCGTCTTTGCAGTGGATTTTCGCTGGCATTTTCTGGTGCCTTCTTCTTCTTCTTCTTCTTCGTTGCCGTCGTCGTCGTCATCCTTTTGATTGTTCTGATCGAACTGATTGTAGTCAAAGTCGACACCGAAAATTTCCCTAGCTTCTTCGAGGGCTGGATCGACACCGCGTTTCCTCTTTAGCCCTTTCTTTATGGACTGGTCGTTTTCATCAACGATGAAGTTATCATCATCGGATTCTTCAGAGTTGGAGTCTGATGCTTCCTGATCTGACTGGAGACTCGGACTTTGTCTGGTTGGTCTCTAAAATTTTAAAAAATAATCATAAATTTAATAAAAAATTCAATATTACTAAATAATTATTGTAAAAAATTTTTTTTTGTAAAGATGGTCCAAGAAAAATAATTATTTAATTATTATTAAAATATTAAATCTCAAAAATAAATATTATATTATATTATTATTTTAAATATTAAAATATTAACTATTTAATTTTTTAATTAAATTATATTTTTTTTGGACCACCTAAAAGATAATTAAACGAAATAAAAAATTTACCTTTTTATTATCATCGGCATCATCTTCAAATATCGATTTAGCGATATTCTCTTTTTCAGCCTGCTCGTCCTCATCGGATCCGTCAGCTGACATCCGCCTTAAACGCTTGAAGCGTTTCGCCCTTTTAATTTTATGCCCTAGATTTTCTTCCAGCAGTTCATAATCGTCATCTTCCAGAGCAGAGTCGTCGTCAGAGCTTTGTCTTCCTTCGTCTCCAGATGTATTAACGGACTCGTTTTCGTCCTCAGTGTCATCATTGATGAGACCCTCGACAACACCTTCGTTGTTGTCTTCTTCAGCACTGCTGTCTTCGTCGTCACTTATGATCACCCTTTTTCGGATTTTCATGTTGACCACTTCTTCACTGTCTGATAATTCAGCTTCTCTGTCCAACTACAAATTAAAAAAACATAATTAATAATCAGAGTCATAAAATAATTAATAAATTAGTTTGTTCATTTTTATCGAATTGTTCGAATCAAGATTTTACAGTTAATTGAAATAAAGTTAAATACACGGTAAAAAATTTTGCGTCATTTCGTCAAAAAAATTTTTGTGTTAAATATTTAACACTTTGATGTGTAAATTTAACATTTATTTTGTTAAATCAGCACAAAAAAGTGTAAAATATTTAACATAAAAATTTTCAACACAAAATTTTTTGACGCAAAATTTTTTACTGTATATAATGGATTTATTTCATAAAAATATCACGTTTAAAAGCGTTCACACATGGATAATAAAGAATTTTAAACTCATATAAATGGTTTTCTAAAATTCATTTAAAAATTTTTTAAAAGAATAGTTTGATAAAGTTAAAACGTATTTTAAAGTTAAAACTTTTTAAAATCACGTTTTTAAATTTATAAATTTATTAAAAAAATAGTGAAACAAATATTTTTTTCATGCGTACTTATAAAAATATGAGTATAGTACTTACAAAATTCATTTTTTTGTCGATGTGTATAAACTCCAAAACTTTCAAGTCTAGTAGCAGAAGATTATTGCAAGAATTTCACTTAAAATATCTCACAAAATACGTACTTTGAAGTTAAAACTTTAAAAATAAATTGAGATTTAAAGTCAGGTAATTCACGATACTTGATTCTTTAAAAGAACTAAAGAATTAAACTGTTTGAGAAGACACTTTAGAGCTGAACTGTTCGAGAAGCAGTTGAGAATTGATCTGTCCGAATATTAGCTCGGCTTTTTATTACTTGCCAAAACTTCTTAAGACCAACCTCCTGAGTCAAAATATTATAGGAAGAAGGGTAGGTTGAAATTTAATTGGCTAAGAGTTTTAGGGAGGGAAAAATTTCTACTGCTGTTAAAATTTAATAAAGAACCTGACCTGAAATTTCTAGAAAAGTGCAAATTCGACCTTGTACTGAATTTGATCCCTCGTATAGATAGAGTAATGAATAGTTAATTACCTGATTTATGACGTCCCGTATACTCCGGGCCCAATTACTGATATAGTAGTACAGAATTGACCAGGTAATAAGTTTCATTATTTTAAATGCTACAAATCACAATAATACAGACAAACTAACCGGAAAAATTAGATTATGTACATATGATAACTTTCTTTTCAAAGTATTTAACATTTCTCTGGGCGCTTAGTTCACAATAAGAGATCTTTAAAATGAACTAAGGTATAATTTAAGGGATTAAAGCAATTTATTTTTGAACATCTGTTTACTAGAAATAATAATTTTTAATAAAATAATTTTAAATAATATTGATGAATTATTTTTTTTTCATTTTTTTTAAACATTTTTTAGTGATCTTCCTGGTGAATTATGAAATTTTTTTGATTACGCTTTTAAAAGATAAAGTATAAAAAAAAAAAAACAACTCATATTTCGGTTTTTTGCCTATAAACTAAAAAATCAGGAGTGAATTTTACTTCGCATTCACTCCCATTACTCGGAGTACCGGAGTGAAGTAATTCAACACTCCGTGTTGAGAGAAAATCCAGAAATTTTTTCAGCGGAGTAATTTCAGAGTAAATCTGCATTTTAATCCAGAAATTCACTCTCAGAATGATCGCTCCATTTTTTGTTATAAAAAAAATGTTATTATTATTATTTTATAATAATTTTAATGAAATAATATGAATTTTTCATAAGTTTAAAATTTTTTCCGGGTTTATTTTTTCCGAGTACTTATGCAAAGAACTTGAAAGAATAAAAAAAAAGAAATTAAAAAAAAAAATTGAGTCAGGAAAGTTTTTGAAGAAAGTTATGAAAATAATATCGATTTTTTTTTAATTTGATATCTTTTGATCGTGTAATTTAAAATATCTTAAAATTTAGCAAGAAAGATTTTTTGAGAGGCACTGAAAAATGTCATATAAATGAAAAAAATCAATTATTAATTTATAAATAGATTATAAGTTCGTGATTGTATGAATTAACATTAGCGAGCATTAAAAAATTATTTTTAATTAGCTAAAAATCATTCCAGACTTATAGAAATTTGATAATCTTTCTAAAATTAAACCCAGTAAAATTCAATTTATTTGTCTAGGTTTGGGGCCGCCAAATTTTTTCATCTGTTAAGATTACAACCCAAGATAATGAGTTTTTAAAAATTAGTATTTTTTCTGTAAAGAATTACATCAAAAGCTTGTTAACCGAACAATTCTAGTTGGGTTTTTTTTTTTTTTTTTGCGACAATAGTGTCGTCAATCTAGTTAACAGATGTTTAAAAATTGCTTTAGTCACTTTAAATGTATCTTAATTACATTTTAAGGATCTCTAAGTATTCGGAGAAAAATTAAGTACTGTCTAAAGAAAGTAACAATATATACATGAATATCCTATTGTTCGGGTTAGTTTGTCTGGATCATACTACTTATAATTAGTATTCAGAATAATAAAGGTAAATAATGAAAACTACCTGGCCTATTATACTATTTGTCATTATTTATGTCCAGCTGCACTTTTGGGATTTTTTTTATGCCTGAATGAAATTTTTGAGTTGATTAATTAAAATATAAAAAGAAAAATTTTTATTGATCACCCCATTCTTTAATTAGAAATTGTTTTTATTAATAAAAAATAATAAGTTTATTATTAAAATTTCAGAGTATTTAAAAATGAAGGAGAGAAAAAATAAAAACAAAATCTATTTATTAGCTCACAACGTTCAAAAATGTTTCTATCTAAGAAATCCTTCACATTTATTCAAGTAATTTAAATTTAAATTACCTTTCAAAAATGAACTCTCATAATTAAATAATAAAAAAAAAACATATATTTTATACAAAACTGATTTATTAAATTTCTACTTCGCTCAACGAGTTTTAAAAATGAATCCATTTCAAAGTATAACAATAATTAAACAATTGGTGCGTAATAAATATAACAAATATCCTTATATAGTCAACTAACAATAATAGCTACAACTATTTGATAACCAAAAAGTACATCTACTGCTCACTTAATTATTTAGAAGCATGATAAAATTTATATAATTACATATTTAAATTTATTAAAGTGATTTAAACAAAAATCACCCATAACATCAAATAAAATCCAGTAAAAAATTAAAGAGTTTGTGCATTATGTATTAAAGTTTTCATTTCAAAATAAATTATTCACATCAGCTTAGACCAAAAACAACTCAGCAAATAACTATCTCTTATTCTTGTCCATAAATTTCAGCAGTCGATCTTTTAGGCCTCCAGGAACAACTTTCTCAGTCTCAACCTTGCGCTTTTCCTCCAACTTCTTTCTGATGGTCTTCATCCGTTCTTTCTTCAGTCGCTGCTGTTCCTTCTTCCAGATGTCCTTAAAATCCTTGCAGAAGCTGATCCACAGCCCGAAGAAATCTTTCGGGTCAGCAGTGTCTATACTAGTGCCTTTAGGAACATATTGGTAAAAAAGCATAACAGCCTTGAACCTAGCCCTTGCTTCCTGGAGGTTTTCCTTTTCATTAGCCAGTTCATTTCTAGCTCGGGCCAAAAATGTTTCCATTTTTTCCTTGAAAGCAGTCGTTGAGTCCTCCGGTGATAATTCCGCGACTGTTTTACAATTTTTTTCACACTTCTGGAGTTCCTTTTCCAGCCTGTCCAGTTCCTTGATGATGTCTTCAAAATTTATCGTCGAAGCAGCTTCAATATCAGCCGGTTCGGGTACGGGCAGCGCTAACATCTGGTCAAAATTGTAATTGCCCTCTTGTTCTAATCTCACGCGAACAAGATAGTGCAGAAGAGTAACTCCAGGTACTTTTGACTTTACATCTTTCAATTTACTGAGAATTTCAAGACCAAACCCGTCGGCTTGCCCTCGCATTCGGTTCCCGCCGTTCATATAATTACCTAGAGTCAGAATTAACGCCATAACTCTCTTTAAAGACTGGGAATTCCGGAGATAGTCGCATGTCGACCTCAGATTCGTCAACTTGGTTGAAACTGAAGAAATAGCATCGTGAAACTCGGATTGGAACATCAGACAAGCGATGCGCTCATTGAAGTTCTTTATCGTCGACAATTGCTTCAAAAACATCTCCGGACGATCCAGAGGAATTCCAGGATTCTCTTTTTCGTGAAGAGTTATGTCTTCCATTTCTTTTGCCGTCGGCATTATCTCGTAAATCTGTCTGAGGGCTTCGAGGCTGACAATGCTGGTGTCCAGGTTGTAAACAGCGTTTTCCACCTCGCTGAAGTCCACTCGCAGACTCTTCTCCAGGATACCCACGGTCTTGGAGCGCTTCGAGTCGAGGATTTTTGCTGGCTGGATTTTTGAGGGCTTGCTAGACTCTTCTTTCTTTATCGTCGGCTTTCGTTCGATTACTTGTCGCGAGAAGAGGTCCACGAACTCCTTCATATTCACGTTCTCTTCCTGTTTCTCGATCTCTAGCCACAGAGGAACCTGTTGAAGAAAATCCCGTTGGTTGAATAGAAAAATTAAAAAAAAATTAATTGTTAAAAAAGATAGTATAAAATATGATAGTACCTGAGGAGGAGCATCCGGAGTCGTTGCAGGAATTATTGGTTGCTGGTCGGCTGGGATTATTATTCTGGTCCAGTAGAGAGGCTTCATCGGTATTTCTGGTGCCAAAGCTTCTTTTCTTAAGCCTGGAATTATAAATTTTTAATTAAAATTCTGGATAATTCTAATTAATTTTACAAAAATTATGTTTTTTTATTTTTGTGAACTTGTTTATAGATTAATTGAATAATTCTATTAATTAATTGAATTATTATAATTTTAATTTAATAATTTTAGTAATAATAATAATAATAATAATAATAAAATAAAAGTTATTCTAGGATTTTCTTACTAACTAACAACCTGCAGTAATTATGTGGACTGCCAAAAATTTCAAATTGTGAATAAAAAAACTTGATCTCAATGATTTTTGAATATTTTCAATCTCAATATCCATTGTTAAAGATAATATTGATACAAAAGAATCAATTAACAATAATTTAATTGAAAATGTGACAAAACAAACTTATAAAACCAACAAACTATCCACAAGTCCTCCAAAAATTCAAATTAAAAAATTGACTATTACTAAAAAAATAAACAAAATCGTAAAAATATAAATTCAGATCAAGATCTTTCTGATGATACTAAATTTAACTATAAAAATCCTTTTTAAAATAAACATATACCCATAACAAAATTTTCCTTATTCTTTTAATTACATGGTTTAAAATTTGACTTATACAAAATAAAATCAATAAATAAAGAAATTTGAGCTAGCGCGAAATTTGAAGCTATTTATAAATACTCCGAAAATTTATTAAAATAAATTAACAATCGTTGAAAATCATATAATAATATAAGACCTTAAAAAGACACAAATTCAGATCAAGATAATTTTAATAATACTAAATTCAACTAAAAAAAACTCATTTTATCATGCAAATACGCTGGAGACATAATTATCGTTCTTCTCTTAATTATATTTATATAGAAGATTAATTTACATAAAATACTCACTAGCTCGAGCTGGAGGATTCCACCCTCCAACAGGTGGAGTAGGTAATGCAGCTGGACCACCTGCAGATGGAGGTGGCGGTGGCGGTGGAGGTCCCGCTGAACTAGATCCTGGTATTGGTGGTGGCGGAGGTGGACCACCTAAACCTGGCATTGGTGGTGGAGGTGGTGGTCCTCCTAATCCTGGCATTGGAGGCGGAGGTGGTGGTCCTCCTAATCCTGACATTGGTGGTGGAGGTGGTGGTCCACTTAATCCTGGCATTGGAGGCGGAGGCGGAGGCGGTGGTGGTGGGCCAGTTAATCCTGGCATCGGTGGTGGAGGTGGTGGACCACTTAAATTTGGCATTGGAGGTGGCGGAGGTCCATCAAAAGCAGGCATTGGAGGCGGAGGTGGTGGAGCAGGAACAAAGACATCTGGTAACGGTGGTGGCGGTGGAGGTGGAGGAGGAATAAGATTTATACATGCAGATTGTTCTTTTTTATTATCTGATTCTTCCACAGGTAAAGATGATAGAGCTGGAGGCTTTGAGTCACTGTCTTCCACCTTCAACTCTTCAACACCATCATCTCTATCACATCCACCAGACTTCTTCATTGAAAATTCTCTAGCGCTCATTAAACTTTCATCCATCCCAGAGTCATTGTCCGCCAGTGGAAAGTCCAGTTTCTTTCTAGCCTTGGTAACTTTAATCTCTTCAGATTCATCAATACTGTCTAATCCTACATCTAAATTATTTAGGCGACTGTTGACGTTATCCGTGACATCAACTTCATGATTTTGGTCGGTTACTTCTTTTTCTGGCTTGGTGTCAGAGGACTTTCTGAAAGGTGGTACCTTGTACTCAGTTTCATCGGTAATTCTGTCGGCTTCAGAAATAGTCGACAAACCGGACAGTAGCGCTGAAGAATCATCTTGAAACTTATCCGATAATTGATGAGGAATCGGCGATAAGTCTATTGAGCTGCCAGTGAATCTTCCGCTTTCAGATGACACACAGCTTCTGTTTAATTCTAAATTATTGTCATCTTTTGGCATAGGCGAGCTGGCTTTTGATCTTGTGACAGCAGGCTTTTCTGATTTATCTCTGTTCTGTTTCTCCAGGTCTTCGACCAGTTTCTTGAGCCTTGTGACCTCGATGCGTAAGCTTGCAATCTCATCTTCAAGTCCTTGGACGTATTCCGATGAATGTTTTGAGTCATTTTTGCTGGATTCTGTGCATATATTTGAGGGTATTAGCGAATCCCAATAGTATACTTGATCAGCCTGGAGAAAAAAATTAAATATTAGCTTAAAAATAATTTTTTTTTGTCGAAAGTCAATTTTTTAATATTAATATTTATTTAAATTATTAAAATTTTATTTTTCAGACCAATTTTTACTTTTTACACCGAGTAAAATAAAACTAAATAATAAAATTTATTTTTCTTAAAAATAGTACAATTTTATTTTTATTAAAAACATCTTTGTATCACTTTAAAAATGTGAGATTAAAAAAAAATTTTTTTAATGATAAGAAATAGAAACTTGCTTTTTATTTTCAATTAATGAATAATTAAAGAAAAAAAATCTATCAGTCTGTGGTAATTACTCCCTTTAAAAATAAAAAACCAATTAAAAACTCACTGAAAAAGTTTTAGTTGTCGCCTTATCTCCAAGCGGTTTAATAATCCCTATCGCCTGTAACTGTGAATACAGCGCAGCAGTAAATTTTTTTAGATCCCCATCCGAAAGTTGTTTCCGTAAATATTCTGGAATTTCTGCCGTGAGCAAGTTTATTAGATGTTGACCTAGAACCAGGTAAAAAATTTGTCAATCAATTACATTTAACCTCTCTGTATATTTATAACATTTAACCAGTCCAGACCAAATATTGACGTAGCTCGCTTAAAATATCACGTCAATTTTTTGTATCAAAAAAACATAATATTGTAAAATTTATACTTTATAAATTTTTAATTTTTTTAAAGCACAGAAAAAAAATTTATTTGAACCAAGTAAATAATTTTGAAGAAATTTTACTTGATTCAAGAATTTTTCGTCTTTATTTAAGACAATGATACTCTTCAAAATTATTTTGTTAATAGTTCAATAATTTTTCTCCATTTAAGTTTATTTTTTTTTCAGTGCAAATTTACCTATCTAAATATGATTATCAAATTTAATTTTAATATTCAATGAAATCATGGCTTAACAAGACATTTCATGATTCAATAATAAATGTCTTACATACTGAAAACTGGTATTACAACAAAATACCCGCGTTCATGTTAAGGGAAGAGAAAAATTTTTTTTATTTAAAAAAAACCATTACAGGTTCTCATAGACAATTTTTTGTAGTTTTAAAAACTACTCTCTGCATTTCTATGTGATAATTAATTGTTGAAATATTAATGTTCGGGTATTTTGTTACGCAGCCTGAAAGTGTCGGACACTCGAAGTATTGCGACATTTAATTGAATATTTAAGATTAAATACTAAAAAGAGCAGACATCTGAAATTTTTTTTAACAATTTTAATGAATTAATATTTGATAACTCAAAAATAAAAGAATTGACATGTCGCAATACTTCAATATTTTTAGTTAAGTTCAATAAGCTTCTCAATTATTTAATTTAGTTACGAAACATTAATTAAAACCGAAGAATAATAAATCAATTTATATCGAAGTAGTTTTTTTTTTTTCATATTTTAAATCCGGCAGTTTATTTATTTAATTTTACTCACTCTTGGGTATAAGTAATGACCTGTAATTTTGTGAATTTGACAGCTCCATAATTACAAAACTAATTTATCTGAATAGCAAATTTAGTACAGTTAAAAAAATGTCTCTGATCTCGAGGAATTATTTAGACTTTAATAAAAAAAAATCAATGATATTAAAGTTAGCCGACGTTTTTGATTTTTTTTTAATAATTAAATTAGAACAAAAAAATATTTTTAAAAAATTGCACTTACAGTTTTTCAAGTTTTTAACAATTTTTTTTTCTTTTTTTTTGTAGTAATTTTTTCAATAAAAAAATTCTTTTTAATTTTTAAATGTCGGCTAACTTAATTTTCATAAAAAATCAGTATAGTACTGCGATAATAAAGTAAATAGAAATTAAGTATAGGCCACATGAGATTTGACAGGTTTATTGATCACAAATTAATGACTTAAGATTGTTAAAGTATAAAGAGAACTAAACACAGTTTGTCGAAAAAGTTATCACTAATATAATAAGAATAATAATAATAATAATAATAATAATAATAATAATAATAAATAAAAAGCTGAGTGGATCTAACGGATTCGAGAGTCGGTGGGCTCCAATGGACGTTATTATGACCGGACTAAGTATGGTAATACACGATCATCAGCCGTACCAGCGAGGAAGTATTTAAATATTGCAGGAGAATTCACGGAGCGTGTTACACCGAACACCGAACACCGAACACCGAGTAGAGTAACGTTTGCTTGCTTTTGAATAATAATAAATATGTTAAACAATAATAATAAAATAAAAATAAGCGATCCGAAAAACAGTCGACGGTATTTTTACGAGTTGACTCGTATCGAGATAATGAAGAAGAATCTCCAGCAGCACAATATTATATTCGGGTATCTGTTTTGCGTAAAATACCAGTTTCCGCTGCTCCGTACTCTGCAAAGTCTCCCGGGCATCATTTTAGGTTTATATGTTTACGTATATTATATGTTTTTTTAGAGATACTCTCTCATCTTTCATCTCTGGTTTAGTTATGCAGTGTCCAAACAAAATGATAACTGATAACTCTTATCGTATTGTGTGCGCGTAGTATTACACGGATGACGCGCGGAATGCCTGCAGTTTTATCTTTTTATATACTCTGCATTTTATAGTGCAAATTATTTTATAATGCCTATTTTATTTTGCCAGATATTTGAATTACAATACTGATTATATTTAACTTTGCAGATATTTATAAGTTCTTGAATTTATTTTAAAAATATTTGCAGAATTTGAAATATTTCAAGTTATTCTTTAATAATTTTTTTTGTTGCAAATTAACAACACAACAATTTTCAGACATTTTTTTACATAAAATTGATTAATAATAAAAGCTCAAAATTTTATATTTGATAGAAAATATATTAAAACATTTTTTTTCCAATATCTGTAATTGATTTTTAAATTAAATATTAAGGACTTGCAATTAATTATTATTAAAAAAAAATATTCAATATTTAGCGCTGTGATAATAAAATGATTCATACTTGCTATAATTATGTAAAAAAAAAAAATAAATTTTTATTGCTAATAATTAATTTAACCTTGAACTTCAATTAATCATAATAACTATGATTATTTCTTTAATTGTTTTCGATAAAAGTAGATGAATTTTATCAGCAAAAAATTATCGATATTAATTTATATTTTTTTTTTTATCTAACATCTTATATTATCAACTTGAATTAATTTACGAAGACAAAAAATCAATAAGATTTTATTACGTCAGTCATATATTGTTTGGAATTTTGTTTAATGTTTGTAATTAATTAAAAACCTGATTTCCGTGAAAAATATATCATAAAATTTCTTGAAATTTTTTTAGTGGTTAAATTAATTTTTATAAATGACCAAGAAATTTAAATATTTTTAAAAATATGAATAAAATTAATTTTATCAAAAAAAAATTTGAAACGTTTAGCTTTAAAATAATTTCTGACAGTATTATTCAAAAAATAGATATATTCTCCATTAACTTAATTTTAAAAGCAAATAAAAAAGTGTCGTCATGTTGTGTAAATATGACAATAATCTAAATGGGCGTGAGTGCATTATGTACAATTGATAGTGCTTTAGATGAGGCCTTTATGATTCCGAATAAATAAAAAAAAAATAAAATATGGAATAAAAAATTAGTACCGCGTGCGATAGCAATCCCATGAGAGTCGTGTTCTGTCAGTTGTTACGTGCCGCGTGATTTAGAGATCAGCTTTTATGTAAATGAGACAACGTTAAGTCCCGGTATGGGTCGTTGCGCTACAGCCTCTTATCCCGTGGTTACTTATATTATGCCGTAAGACTACTTGTATCGAGAATCACTTAACCAAATAATATAAAACGTTACTAAGTATATATTGAGAAAACTCCGTTGATTAAGACACTGTTCTGTCATTTGCACATTCTAATACAATAAACCGACAAACTGCTAGGTATTTTACAAATATTTTACTCCCTAAAAATAAAAATTACATCAATGAAATTTCTGAGTAATCATAAAAATTATTAATCACTCATTTCCTCAGGCTGAAATAATTTTTCACAGTACATTTATTTAAAACACTTAAACTATGGACCGGATTTGAATTAAAAAAAGTATAAATTGATAAGGGATAAATAGACCGCGACAAAATCAGAGGACAATAAATAAAATAAAATAATAAAATTATTGTATGCTGATTTAAAAGTAAAACAGTTGGTTGAGTTTTATACTGTACAATATTGTATATTATACGCGTAATACACTAATATAAAGTGATAACTGATAATAAAACTAGCAGAAGTTGACGACACTTGTTTTGTTTTATCTTCATTCCTAAATGTACAGTGTAGGATAATAATGGTATATTTATATGATAGTATTCCGGTAAATATATATATTTATATGTAATGCCTCTAATACCAGGCATGTTTACAATCTAGTTGGTAATCCTTCAGCGGATTACGCTATTTATTCTTCTTTTGACTTATGAAATAAATAATACAGATCAAGGCAGCTGGCTGTCACGTGAATTTAACGGTGTTTAAAAAATGTAATTATTGATTACAAAGTCCAAAGAATTTGTCACCGTTTATCATAAGTGATAAACTCTTTTCTGTTATTTATTAAGAGCGACTTTTGTTGACATCTTTGCTTTTAAATGTAATATAGGTTGGAAGAATATTGAGTGGGAGAGTAATTAACACCATTGATTAAGAGTAAATTACTATTGTATATGTTTTGCCTTTTATCTCTGATTTTTATTCAAATTTTTAGATGTAATGAAATAAATAAATTTTCAATTTTTTTGTGTGATAAAAATTATTTTTTTATATTACAAAAATTTAAGAATGAGATTTTGACATGACATTAAAGTTAGCAGTCACTAGACAATTTTTTAATTTTTTTTAACAAAAAAATTTACCCCAAAAAATTATTTAAAAAAAAATGCATTTGTAATTTTTTAAAATTTCTACAAGTCAATTTTTTTTTATATTTTTTTTTGCCATAATTTATTTGTTAAAAAAAATTCTAAAATTTATCATCATGATTTTGACACTGATTAAAATTTTTATCAAAAAAATTTTCAATGAATATTTTTTTTCAAACAATAAAAAGTATTTAAACTTACCAGTGAATTTTTCGGCGACTGGAAACGGCGGTGTCTTGTGAGCAAGTGTATTCGCAGATGTAAAACTTGATACTCTTCTGAGCGCGACACCCGCGCTAGGTGATTTCAATTGTTCATTAGTACTGTGTCTGCGATAAGATCCGTTGAGCGGCGGTGACACTGAAAAAACACTCGAAGTTGATAAACTCGGAACATCATTATTATTGTTCGATTTATAACACGCCATTATTAGTAACTTTTGACACATAAAATTATTTCGTTTAAATTAATAAATAAATTTGACAGTCTAAAATTACTATCAACAAACTTCGCACCGATTGTATCTTAAAGTAAAAATAAATATTAATAATAAACTTCTTATAGAAAACAATCCAAATAGAAAACGTGTTTTCAATTTCAATGTAGACAATTAAAATGAAAGTCCTCAAGAAAATTTACACTATATTACAATAGTATAATAGTAACTAATGTATGTACTTATGTATAAATATAAATATAACTAGAGAGCGACATATAGTGTCGGTCTTTATATCGTACTCTACTCCAATCTAAGAGTTTGTTGGAAATGGAAACAATAACAAAATCAGCTAGATAATCCCTTCGATAGCCTTCAGGACAATACACAAAGTTTGTTATGTTCATGTATATCTAACTGAGCAAAACCGGTCTCCAGATCTGCATTATCCGGTTAGACTATTTAATTCCCCATTGTTCGTTTCGCAAATATAAATAAAAGTAAAGCTGCATATATCTAATCGAGAGATTAATTTTATTTTGCCCCGGCTTTATTATTCTACTACCAATTTATTGTAGACCTATGTATACTACATGTGCAATGAAATATTTGTGTTGTACGCGCATCAAAAACTGACAAAATTTGTATTTTAAAAAAGCAGTTTTTTGTACTTTTAAATATTAATTACTTGAAGAATTATGAAGATTTTTAAATTAAAATCGAATTGTAGCTTCATAACCGATAGCACTTTATAGCTAAATAAAAAAAGTTCAATAAAAATATTTGTAATTAGAGATAACTAGTTTTTTGTCTCGATTAATGAAAAATAAAAAAATACCCTTTTGAAACTCAACTCCTAATTTAATTGATTTTGCAGAATTTATTAGGCTATGTAACATATTTTTAATTACATATCAACAAAAATATATTTTTCATTTTATTTTATCAAATTCTCTGATTTTTAAATTAAAAAAATAGTAAACTTGTCTTTTTAAAAAATTGTTCTCTTGATAATTAATTTCTTGAGAAAAGAAAATTTTTTTCTCCAATCAAGAATTGATTTTTTTTCTGTGTAATAAAATTACTGATAATAATTTTCTAATTGAAAAATTTTTTATGCTACATTATTATTTAAAAATTAATTTTTTATGAAACTAAACACTAAAATTATTACCGAGTATTTAATTCACTCAGTTATATTTAATATAAAAATTCTTATTAAAAATGTAAGAAAAAGTTTATTTAAATAAGGTTTTTTTTTTTTTTTTTAGTGTTTATTGTTATTGTTTTATTTAAAATTAAAAAAAAAATTAAGATTTAAAATATTGTTGTATAGTAATTTAACCATGTATTTATTTTTTGCCTGAAAATGTGGATTCTATTATGATAATCCACGATGCGAGACATCACAATAGCAATTATAATAAATGATAAAAATCAGAGAAAGCTAATATTTATCAACATTAATATAACTTAAATTCCCGATTTAAAAGAATAAATTTTCAGTCGATTCAATTTAAAAAAATTCATCCGAATAAATTTTTTTGAATTTAACAATTTACAATAAATCTAAAATTAAAAAAAAATGAATAACTTACCGATTCGCGTAGACTTAGGCTCGATCTTCCGTCCCGCAGCTCCAAAATTTTTTCTATTATTGGTCAGCAATTGCCGAGACTTTTTGGCGGTAATCGTGTGACCGAAGACAGCGCTGGTATCAGCCACCATCCCGTTTTCCTCGGGATCGGTAAAGACACTGTCGCTGGAAGAAGCTTGGCTTGGCGGCGTGGGTATGTCCGATAGTTTCAGCACACTCGCGTTTGCGCGACGCCACGAATCGGTTACGAGAAGCTGAGGATCGAGATTGTTCGCAGCGGGAATGGAACCAGAAGCGGGTGGTGCGTTAACTGAATCAATGTGTGAGTCCACAGGTGGGAGCGTACTAGAACAGGACGTTCCGATCTCCTCCTCTTTGAGTTTAGGCCCTTGCTGGTACGGTGGTTGTGGGGCTGGTGGCTTTTCAACCGGTACTTCCGCTCGTTTTGGAGATTCCACATCCACTTTTATGTCATCCGGGCGTATCGTTGAGATACCCGGTGCCTGTTTAAGTTTTATTTATTGTTATTATATTGAATAAACAAATTATTATTATTATTATTATTATTATTATTGTTATTGTTATTATTATATCGGTATAATATTAAATAAAAATAAATTAAGATTAGACATCTTATCTTCTCGCTATCGCGGGCTGAATTTTAGTTTAGCGTCATGTTATTTATATCTAAATATATATAGCATGTATTTCTCATTCGAGATGATATTATCACTGTACAATTATAATCCACAATGTATAATAACAATAACTTCATATCCGTGTTGGAGTAAGTGATTATGTCATTTACTCTGATAATTCTTCACAAATGTTACTCAATTGATTTATTAAATTTATGATAGCTGATATCGCATTAGTTGGACAAATTTTATTGTTTTTTTAAGGATTACCTTTTTTTCGTCTAAACTAATGCTGAATAAATTCACTTAATGGTTTAATTTATTTGAGTATACTTATCGTTGTCATAAAAATTTTTAAAGTTTATTATTATTTTATTTAAACTTACGGCGTTGAATTTCTTGAATTGCCAGCACAAAAAATTTACTATTTTTACCCAAATGAAATTCATGACAAGCTTGATTCAGGCTAAGTGTTAATTAATTTTTGTATAGTAGACGTTTAACAATTTTAATAGGTTTATATGAAAATTTTAATTTTGTCTTTTGTGACTGAAGAGGTTAAATTTCAATAATGTAGAGTGAAAAATTGACAATCAAGGAATTTTATATTAATTCAGAATTATTATAAAAATATAAATAAGTAAATTGTTAATTATAGTGTTAAAAATTTTTTTGTAAAATTTTCAAATATTATTTAAAGTAAAATATTAAAGAAAAAATGATACAGATTTTTACTCTAGATAAAGAGATTTAATATTCTTTAAAAATGCTTTTTTTTTAATTTTACTTTATAGCTTTGTTCTTTAGACAAAATTTGCATTGAAAGTCAGTATAAAATAGTCTACTTAGTGAGCGCTCAGAATATGTTTACAAACATCTGAGTTTAAATTTCATGCTGTGATTATTAACATAAATTTTACTAAACAACCTTGCTAAATTCAATTCAAGTGATACATGACAAATTAAATTTGAGAAAAAAAATTATCTAAAACCCGTAACAAACTTGAATATTTTTTTGTGTTTCATGACCTACTTTTTGTTATCATGACAAGTTATAATAATTAATTGACAGAAAAAAAATATCCTAGCGATTTCTCTATTACCTAAGCGGTACAAAAAATTTTGTTAAATTAAAATTAAAAATTAATAATAATAGTTGAAATGTTTGTATCACTTTTTGTAGATAGTGTTTAAAAAATAAATACTTATTTTTATAAATAAGACAAAGTAAATTAAGAATTACTAATTACTGTATAATTTTTTGTTAAAATTTACCAAAAAATTCAACATTTTTTTTGTAACGTTTAGGTAGATCATACAAAATATTAATTCATAAATATTTATTAAAAGCTCTAAACTTTTACTTAGAAATTAAATTTCTTTAAAAATTTAGAACTCGCGTTCTATATTAATTTTTAGCAATTAATTTTTTTTAATTTAAATAAATATTAACTCAAACCTGTCGACTTTTAGGCGGTTGAGGAGCAGGCCTCTTCCCCGGAGTATGAACTTTTTCAAAACTAACTGGAACATGATTTTCAGGCCCCACATTCTGTTTCTTCTGACGTTTTTTCCCGTCACTTTGATGGTTGCCCATCGCGGAATAATCAGCTGTTGATTTCGCGGTGTCATTTATCGCGGGCGAACTCTGCCCATTCAGACCCTCGACGACGTAACTTCCGACATCGCCGCGGATCCGTGACAACAAGGACCTACCGCTCCGACCGGCAGGAGGCTCATCCTCAGAGTCATCGCGGGTTAAAAAGCTCTTAGTTCTCAAAGAAAATATCCACAAACGGGCGATGTCTCGGAAATTTCTCCGTAAGGGTAGCACCACGCTTGCGGCTGCGCCCTCATTTCCCTCGACACTCATCTCGCAATCGATATACCAAACGCATATAAAATATAATGTAATATGTGCGAGACACTTTTATATTATTAAATATTAACTCGCTTTTAAATCTACTGACACACATTCGGATAAATCATGCCGCATGTGGTATAATCCGCCGTTTATTATTCACTTGATTAAATATAAATATAAATACAAGTTGAGGCACTTTTTCTTGCAATTCTTGATTCAAAATTCATCAGTCATTGCACTATTGCAAATTAATTACATCTACTTTATTGTGTAAAAAATTTTTATTTGCTTCTTTTATCGGATATAGTCTTAATTAACTTTTAGAATAATCACAATATCAGGAAAATTTATTAAATTGAAAATAATGAGCAATACATTTTTTTTCTGTAGAATAAATTTGAATATTTAAAAAAAAAATAATGCTAACATTTCGGCAATTATAATTAGCTTCTTTAATTAATAATTCAAATGATAAAACTTTGTATTAAAAATTACAAATTGAAGTTTTGAAAAATTTTTTATAAAAAAAATTAAATCATAATTTTTGAGCATAAATTGAATTAAAAATTTTTACGATTTTATGAATTCATATTTATAAACGTGCTAAAAATATTTTATTAGAATGAAAGTTTTTTTATTTTTCATAAAAAATAACCAGCGCTTCATCCAAATGTTTTCCAATTTTACATTTTTCGATTAATGAATTCTATGATTTAATTTCAAGTTGTTTAAAAAATTTCTCTGATTATTTTTCAATATTTTTTTACATATAAATATTTTCTACAAATAAAAAAATTGTCAGTTTGTTCTTCTCACTTTCATGTTACTCTCTCAATTATAAAAAAATGACTCAGTAATTGAGTAACTAACAATTAAAACACTTAATAATAAAAACAACAATAATTACTCCAATTGCAAAAAAATATATTCAAATTTATAGGCTTTGTATGATAATAAAAACCCAGCAAAAAATTAATTTTAATAGTAGTAATTATTTATAGTCAATTGTACTGTTGTTTCTTGTGATCTCACTTCCTTATTAAAGATTCAGTAATTGTATAAATTTGCGCGTCTGACAGCCACGTGGGAACAATCTACTCCATTCATGTGAATGACACATTTTCATCCATTCATCCACGTGACAACTCTCCAAATTCTGATTTATTAACACTTTCATTAACTCGTATCCTAATCTTCACATACATCCTTTTGAATATTAACTTTATTAGTTTGTTTGACCGTCAATAAAAGTCTGCTATAAATAATTTAAAAACCGATACACGCTATCGATGACAAGGAACTAACACACCGAAAATATTGCGGTATTTGCTATTTGCCGGAGAGGGTTAAATTAGAGCGCACGCTCGGAATTTCTTCCCAAGGGTCTCTAGGAGTTTGCGAGCTTACTTTTTTTCAATTATCGATTTACCTTGTCGATAAATTTTTATTTTAATTTCTAATCATTACTTAAAGAAGAAATCTAATTTATTTCTTTGAAGAAAATTTAAACTTTTCCGTTTTGATATAATTTTTATATATTCTTTTTACTTGCAGAAAATTTTTAAAATTTTCGCAATAGTCAACATAGGGTAAGGTAGTAAGTAAGTTAAATAATTGTCAAGCGAGTTTCGGATGTAAATGTTCCGCCTTTAGCCACTAGATCGCGCTTTTCATGAGACTAAAATTAAAACCCCCCGGCTGCAAGCAAATATTTAATATTTAAATATTTGATTCGATGCTGCTATTTGAATAATATCTGTATAGGTTGATAATGATAATAACTGGACAGGAAATGATATTCAGTTGCTTTCGACTCATCAATTTGTATTTAAACAGGAGCAAGCTTCCGGCTAAAATAAACCACAGAATTTAACAATTTGTCATTTGCAGTCTATTAAAAGTTATATAATATTCCATGCAAAGAATATAAAAATTGATAAAAATAAGTATAACGAGATGCATTTCATCACGAACGTGATTTTTCCTTCTCAGCGTTTCCATTGATTTTCCCCGAAGAAATAAAGCGACCGGATGCGCTTCAAGAGGATGCTCGAAGACACTCGAGAGTAAATTTTTTTTCACGCGTTTAAAAGTTGATTTATTTTATTTTATGAGAAAATAATTCCCATGTGTCCGGATTTCTCGTATATATCGAGCGCTACGATATACGCAGCATTGAAAATAAACGGAGCATAATTACACATGACTATGTATGCGCTGGTGTGGGAACGGTTGGCGACCTCGCGTCCTCAGTTCTCCTCGATGAAGCTATTGTCTATTCCAGTGCATCCGGCGTGTCTGGGCGTCATACTGCTCCTGGGTGGTAATTAGCCGGCCTTTTTTTTAATTCGGTCATAAAACTCGTAGGCCTTCTTTTGACATACGCTCTTCTGCTATGGGCTCTTGCCACGGTTTTATGACAATTGAGAATCGATAACCCAGATACTACGAATTCGTGATTGATTTTCTGCGGGGTATTATTGTTTAATAATAGGATGATTATAATAGTATTTTTGTTAAGAGAAGATTTGTTCTGAATTGAGAGAAGATAATTATGTAGTTTGATTAAAAAGTCTATTTAGAAGTCACAAGCTGTTGAAAAGTCTTCATTATAATAGAAAAATTTCTGAAGTTGAATTTGTTAACGGACATTTATCATTTTTCTTTAAAAATAAACTAGGTCTAGAAAATTATTCTTAGAAAAATTTTTAAATTAATTTTTTCTTGTAATATTTTATTTGTAAAAAAAGTTATCAGATGTTTTTAAATTTCAGTATCACTAAAATTTTTAATCAAGAAATTGCTTTTTTTATTTAAGCAAATTTTATTTGAACCAATCAATTTTTTGCACTAATGAAAAAATTAAGAAAAAATCTTGTACTATTAAATTATTTTTGATTAAAATAAATTTTACTTAATTAAATAACTTTTTTATTTGATTCAAGATGATCATACTCTTCAAACTAATTTACATTTTTAATGATTTTTTGTATTATTCAAAATCGAATTAATTTTTCAAAATTTTTTTTGTTAAATCAAGTTAACTTCTTTTTTTTTTTACTTCTAACATAAAAATTCTCATTTCCTCTCGCCTTGCACTTACTTCAAAGCCCGCCTCCGGAAAAAACAAGAAAAATACGAGGAAAAAAGTACATAAAAAAATGTACGCCTCTTTTCTGTTTCGACGAATCTAAGAGCCGACTGTTTGTTATTATTAGACGAAGCCTAAATTTTTAGTTCAATAAACTTAAAACTGAATGGGTGAAAAGGAAAGAGGAAGTTAATGAGACGATGATTAAAAAATTTGTTTTATTATTTATTTTTCTTTTTTTGTTCATTTTATATTGCAACATAAAATTTGTACAAATAATAATCAATTATTAATAATAAATGTTTTTTATTTTATTTTTATTTTCATATAACTAGTAGTAGGCAATTAATATATATATATATATATATATATATATATATATATATATATATATATATAATTAATATATATTTATATTTATCATTTATATTTATATTTATAATTTTATGAGGGTGGGAAGTGTTATGTACATCCAAGTTACAAACAACGGTACTTATATACGGTGACACCCTAATCACGTGGGCTCTAAAGTTTTAATGTTGAACATTAATAAAACAAATGCGTAGGAAAGTAATAATAAAATGAAAAATAAAGACAAAAATAAATGTTAAGTGTATATTAATTAAAAATAATTAGAGTCTCGATGACAATGTGTCATCAGTCAGTTTTACTCTTGTTATCGCTGTGAAAGAGATCGCGTATATTATTTTATTTTCAAGTTACTTTTAACTCCTAACTCTTAACTTCCTATTTCCTATCCGTTCGTTCCGTTCTCCGTGTAATGTAATGTAATGTTTCCTTCTTTATGTCTTGTTTAATTATAATGCGGATAAATACTAGAATCTTCTTATGTATCTTTTACCATTACATCGTTTCTTTTCACTTTAATTTTCATTTTTTTTCTATGTACAGTATTACATTTTTTCAGCTGGTTCTTTATTTAAAAACTCGCGTTTTTTTATACAAGGTCGGTTGGATGAGGCAAGTGGGTGGGAAAAGTAGACGATCCTGCCAACGCTCGTTAAATTTAATCACCCGTTACATAAGTATTATATATTCCTTCTTCGCTATAACCTTTTTTTATTCATTTTTCTTCCTTTAGTTCCCCGTCATCTAAGGTTTCATTATGCAAAAATATTTCAGCTTTCGTTTCTATTTCTCTATCCCTTTTCTATTAAGCGCATTCGCTCGTTCCCTCATTTTCTCTCCACTCTTAACTCTCAACTCATTTCTCTCATTCACTTTGCTATTATTATCGTTCTCATATACCATATAGTTATTATTTCTTCAAAACTAATTGGTCGCAGGTGTACGACAACTTTGTTTCGCCGACTCATTCAGTCTATCCAATCTCTAATATTATATATTAATTGTTTAATATAATATAATGGATTCTACTAAATCTGGATATTTTTCAACTAATTATTCTGTTGAAAATATCAGAGATACAATTAAATTGATTAAGGACCTTTTTTTTACAGTAAATTAAATTTCCTAAAAAAAATACCTTACAATTTTTTTGTATTCTTAATGCTTAATTTACAATTGTAATTTTTAATAATTACTAATTTTAAAATTCAATTTTCTGAAAAATCTGGTCTTAAGATTTTTTTCTCAAATTTTGTCTGAAGAATATGAGATACAAAAAAATTTATAAGAAGCTTCTTAATAGAAAATTTAATTTTTTACAAAAAAGATATCATTTTATCATATCTCCAGTATTTAATCCAAAATATTAATTTAAAAATAAAAAACACATTTCTAGGGTGACCAGATTTTTAAATTGAATAAACTTCATGCTCATGGAAACGTCGACACATTTTAATTATTTAAATATTTTCCATTAGACTGGAATTTACAAATACTGGATATAATAACTAATATTAAATCAAGTGTTCAACGAGCGTAGACAGGATCCAGTTAATATTTTCCGTGTTTAAACGGACAGTTTAATAAATTTCCCATTGTGTGTGTACGTGCAAATTTCTCGATAGTAATAATAATAATAATAATAATAATATAATGACAGTACTTCATTTAAATAATTATTAAAAATTACTAGACATCCACATCATTATATTTTTAAATATAAATTCTATTTATTACAATATACATTTATATTTATATATATCCATATATTCTTGTTTAATAATAAATTTATGTGCGTGAATGGCGCTATAATCACTAGTTCTCCTGAAAATCTCATCGGAGATTTAAAATTCGTGCTACACAGCGAATGAGATCAAAAAGTGCAGATGGTTTCTTTAAAAAAAATCGCTAAAGCTTAAAAAATTCTACACTTTTCATTGTATTTTTAAATTTATCCATTCATTAATTTTTTTTTTCAATTGTTAATTTTTTTATAGTAATATTTAATCACTAATTATTAAATTATCTTAAGCAATAATTTTTTTTTAATAAAACAAAAATACAAAAATAAACTAATCGCTGTGCCGTCAGATCTATTTTTTACAATTTTTAAAAAATATTACATCTATTAAAATCAAAAACACGTACAACGCACATTAATCCTTTTTCAACCGTCGCAGATGATACATAAAATAGCAGACAAAATTTTGTAAATAAAAAAAAATTTCCACGTGCAGTTTTTATTTATCATTAATATTATAATTTTATTTTACAATGTTCAAATAATTTCCATAAAAAACAAAAAATAAATAAAAAAAAATTCAGTATCGATTCCTGCTATTTTCAGTATCACGTCTTTACTTAGTAATTAAATTATATATTCGTCAGAGAAACAATAACGTGTTCCGAGTTTAAATATTTATATTAGTCATAGAACACATTGATTTCTATTTATTAATTAATTATTTAAGTACCTTACTGATAAATTATGGCTATATTTACACTCTAACTTTGTTGTTCCTGTGTACAATAAAAATTATGGAACGAGTACGTGAGATTCGCAAGAAGACTTTTATTAATTTATTATATATGACGCTCGGCCATTATAACGCGATATCTTCATATACACATTTATTTATATTTATATAATATATATCTTTATATTTTTATGTATATAAATTTATTTATAATTATTTAATGAATTAAGTTGTTATTACTTTTCACTTAATTTGAATTGTGTAATCACGTGGAATAAATATAACATTTAAAATAATCACACGACACGAAATCACAATCATTCATCTGTCACAGTGTGTGTTATATTTATTTTCTTTAGTTTTTATTTAACTCGCTCACGATATAAAAGTATAAAATACATCAATAATTCAATTGGTTGATGGCGTCAATTGTCAAGTGGAATTGACTAAATTGAGTTGCGCTAATTGGAAATGGAATAAATTTACAGGAAAACAAAAAAACAATCATAGTAATCAAAACAACAATAATAATAATAATAATAACAACAGTACATAGTATTCCACCAAAGCTAAAAGAGTAATCCTCAATTTAAGGTTATTCATTAATTAAAAAGCAGTTAAAAGTAAATAAATAGTTATTTACTTTGATTAAAAATCAAATAAAAAATTTCATCGAGTTTTTTTTATTCAAAAATTTTTGGCTGTCAATTTTCGAGCTTACATTTAACTGAATTAAATAAAAATTATTTATAGCGACAAAATGGCTACTTTGTATTCTGACTTTTACCGAGTTTTGCCTACATACTTAAGTTTCGCAATAATTCCGCTGGCCGACTCGGTATTATTAAATCATTTCATCAAAACTATTTTATTTTATTATTTTTACGAAACTGACCCTAAGGTATTTTGGATAATAGGTATTTCGGACCGCGCTTTTAGTCTAACAAAGTTTCTCCGAGTGCCACGAATATCTTCTGCGGGCCGATCAACTTTGTTAATCAGACTGTGTGAGGCTTCTGCCAATAACTTTATACCGTTCGACTTAAATCGCCAACCAAAGTTCCTCTAACTGAATAATTTTGTGAATTTGTTGTTATTATCTAAGCCAGTGTTTACAAAAGTAAACTTTGCTAGCTTGCAAATTTAGATCAAAGTTATTGTGACTTGCAAAATTTTTCCGAATTTTATTTTTTTTTAAATCTAGAAATAGAAATAAACAGAATAAATAATTCAAAATTCAGGTTTTAAATATAAGAGATATAATAAAATTGATAAGAAGCTTTTTTTATAGAAAATTTAATGCCCTACAAAAATGATCTGATCATTTTTTCGTATCTCCAATATTTAGTTCAAAATTTAAACAAAAAGCACTAGTCAATTTTAGTCAATCCCACTTGTCGGACACAAACTCTTGCTTAAAATCTAATATATATATATAATTTAACTTTATTAAAGATATTTTTATTTATACACAGCTATCGTCCTACTTACATCATTAGCGAATAAAAATTAGTTGGTTTTAAAAATACATTAAGTATCTATCTCTCCAGCCATGTCATTGAATAATTAAATATTAAACCGCAAGTTTATTTATACTATCATTTAACATCCCTATTGTACCGTTAAATTACACACTTACGCATACATTTGTAATACAAATTTATAATTGTTAAATATGGCCTCTTTTGGCGTTGCCTTTATCAACGTCACTTTCATCCGCGCTCAACACTCATTCACTTAATTAATATATACCTATGTACACATACATATTACATTTAAAATTACATTAGAATTACAATTAAAATAATTATAATTTATGACATAATAACTAATCGTATCTCTGTACAAGTACTCGACGTAAAAAAAAATATCGCGTACTATATAACTTGTACGTAAACAAAATTTGTTCGTATTGCTTCAACAAGTTTACCCCATTTTATTTATGTATAATTAATTAATTATTTATATTTATAATTTATAATAATTATTATAACCATCATCACCACCACTGGTAAATTTACCCCGTAACATTAAATAAGAGTACACTTTCCCCCGTGAGGATAAGTGTTATCTCGTTCTCACAATTGTTCCGAGAGGATGATCACCCTAAGAGTCTGGATGTTGTCGTTGTGTAAAAGCTTGTTCGAGGCTTTGAAAGACACCCGTGTTTCTTCAAGGCTTTCAATGGCAGTGTGTTCGCAGCCCTCTGCTTCGGCTCTTTCGCCTTCAGGAGTTTCTTTCGCTCCACCCTTGTTGATAGATCCCGGGGCTGTTTTCTGGGCGTTTTTGCCGGAGACTTCGCTTTTTGCCTCGTTACCAGCCGCAGTCACCAGAGATCTCGACCCGTGGGCCTCAATCACGTCAGGAATCGAGGAGACTACTTTGAGCGGCGATTTGTCGCGAGATTTTGGACTCAGTCTTCCAAGACAGTCTGGCGGGTGTTTTTTTTCCTTCACCTCCTCTTTCGCGCTCGAAATACTGGAGTCGGGTGCTGGAACTCGGGTGTAACTCGCGCCGGTTAGGTCAACGTACGTTTGCCTGCCGATTCTTGGGTCCAAAAATTTCGAAGGAACATTGCTGCTGTTGTTACCATTTGAAGGAGAATCGGCGGCGGTTTGATTTTGATTGATCAGGTGTCGCCTCGCGTATGGACTGTTGGACTGAGTGACGTTAATGGACGAGGTTTCATCTTGACTCAATGATCCGGCCCGCGAAATGCTCTTGTCGATTTCCGCCCCCGTAAGAAGCCGCTCTGATATCGACCTGTTCTGCGAAATCGAAGCCGAGTCGTCTTTAATTTTTGTTTTAGCCTTCAATGACGTCTCGGGACTTTTTGGCGGAGGCAGCAGCAGCTGGTCAGGCACTTCTGGAACAGCCTCGAGGAGCCCGGAACGGTCGATCCGTCGATTAAGCGTTCCGGAACCTCCAACACCTGTCGGATGACCCAGCGAATTTTCCGCTCCAGTGAGGTGCCGCGTTCGAGGCTCTACTATTTCCAACAACCCCGACTTGTCGACTCGGCGGACTTGGGCGGGCTCGAATTCCGCGGGGGAAACTGGGACCATGTGCCGAGGAGCTCGGACAGGAAGAGTTCCGTAGTAATCCGCAGGCGCGCTGTCGATTCCGTGGACGCGGTAAGATTGCCGGTGAGGGCCTGGCAGGGTTCCGAAGTTAGGGTTTATGTTTGTGATCGGGGTTATTGGGGTGCTACTGTCTGTCGGGTTCTCTATCACTATTTCCATGTGGTGGTGGGGGGCCTGCTGCTAGAGCCAAGTGGTTCGCGATTTACTGGCTCGCGAGCCAGTAGGCTGATCTCAGACAATTATTTCTCTTATTATTCGCGGCCGTCGGCCGTTGGGGGTTGAGTATCCGGACTCCAGACTCTCGTCGTAGGACAGGCTCACTTGTTGAGGTGGTTTTGCGTCCTCGTCGTACGCTTCTTGATATGGTAGTCCTGATACATCGTACGGGGAATCTGGGAAATTTATTAAATAATAGTTGTTAAAACTTGATTAAATATTGGCAGATGTAATGACAGTAATAATCATTTATTGTCATGTTAAAAATTATTATTGAAGTTACTGGAGGCAATAAAGATTTGAAGGCTTATTGGTTTTATTTGAAAAATAAAATATTTAATATTACTTGATGTTCAAAGGTAATGGGTAATGGGTAATGGGATGTAAAATATTTGTAAAGTTAGCATGGATACAATTCAGCATTGACTGACATTATTATTGATTGCTTGGAACGTAATTAATGAACAAAATTTTAATTAGAGCAACTAATTAGTAACAAATTTAGTTAATTAGAAAACTATTTAGGTGGTTCGTTTTCTGTCCAATTACCTTTGAACAGTTTCGTATATTACTTTAAATAGTTTTCATCAACAATTTTTTATAATTTCTTCATATGGAATTGAAAAAAATTTTTTTTTGTAATCATTTCGATATTTATAAATTTTAGCATCATGAAAATAAAATTTTTAATTAATAGAAAAAAAGTAATGTTTATATGAATAGAAAAAAAAATATTAAATAATTTATTAAAATTTTTTCTTTTGATCTTTAAGCATTCAATTACATTGACATGAATATTTTTAAAAGTTTTACTATTTTATTTATTTGAAAAAAAAACCTCTTTTTTCTCTTAAAATAAAATTCACCCAATTAAACAATTAAAAAAAAAAAAAAATACAAACTTACCGATATGTTTCTGTGATTTGACAACATTGGGATAAGGCTCAGGGCAGAATTGCTGTCTACTGAGGTTGTGGTTCTCTCGATAATCCTCACGTTGCGGAAGATAGTGAGGGTGGGCCGGGTAATCAGACTCGGTGGCAGCGTACCCACCGAGATCGTAAGGGGGATTAGCGGCGTTCGCCGCGGCTGACTTCATTTGCCAAATAGAGTCCTGGGAGTTTACGGAGCCCCCGTTATTTGAATTGGAATAGCTGTTGTCCAAGTACCCCATGTTGACACCTGGCAAACAAGAATACCAGAATTGTGTGATAAATGTTACTGCAATAGTCCCGACATATTGTGTGACCCATTCGACATCACTCTAGCAATATCACTAATTGAACTACACATACTAGGACCTATACTGTCTGGTATCTACAACCGTACAATTCGATAACATCGTTATGTTTTATCGATAAAAGTGTAGACACTAAATTAATTCCCGATGAATTATGATTTATGATTGAGAAAAAATTACATCAAATCCTCTTACAGTTAACTTTAATGATCATTTTAAAAATAAATTTGTATATCTCAAGAAATAAATCAACTAAAATTTCCGCTAAATTTCTAAAAGTCTTTAATTAAGAATTTTTTTTCTTCATTAAAAATTTTTATGTTCTCGATTAAAGAGTGAATAAGTATTTCTTCAATCAAAAGAGCTGAATATTTTGAAACAAAAATATTTTTTTTTAAATTGAATTATTTTTTTTTTCTTAAGTGGCTGAATTAATTAAAAAAATACAATAAAAATGCCCGATTCCTTTTAGATCCCTTTGAATAAGGAGTAAACCCTTAATTAAATTGACATTTGAACACTTACCATTCTCCCCGTTGATATGATTGGGTTGACGCCAATTATAAGCCGGTTGAGCGTAAGCAGGTGTTTTAGAGTCCTCCATAGCGAGTGCCCGATCCAGACTATGCTCAAGAGCTTTGTTCTCGGAATAGTAAGGTGGCGGAGCTTGGGTCTGCTGTCCATTTCCAGTGACCAAACTTGGTCGTACCCTGAATCATAAACGTTAAATTCGTTTGTCACCTCACAGTATTATTATTGCCTTTACTACTACTACTCCTATTTCTACTTCTCAAAACTATTGCTCTTGCTCTATTTCTATCACTATAACTATAACTATTGTCGACACTAGACTGTCCAGTTAGTTAACAAGGATGACTGGCATACATAACAAGTTGCGAGCACCCAGAAATAACAATTTGACGTTAGTTGTGCGCTGTGAAAATCGTAGACCGGTATAGGCGGATTGCATAACAGTGGAGGAGGAGACCCAGTTCAAACTGGGCAAGGGTTTCCAAGTATGTAGAATTGTAAGGATGTGGGTGTGCGTGTATATATGTACGTCTGTATAAGCTTGAATAAATTATACGGGCAGAGGTAGCGTTATGTAGCAGTATCAGACTTTAAATTCACTAATGAGATCCCGGAAGAAAATCCGGCAAGCGGATGTTGAATAAAAGAGCCTGTCTATGGCCAAGTGTTCTTTTCTTACTGTTGCCTTCTATTCGGGTTTCTTTATCTCCCACTCTCACTACAACTTTTGATGAACACGTAAATTGGATTGCGGTTTAATTTCCTGGTGGGGCGATTTACAATGCCGGATTATTGTCTATTTTTCCGATGAGTAATGAGTAGTGAGGACCGATGGATATTAAGGTATTAGCCTTGTTACTTTATTATCCTCCAGAGTTTTTCTCGGAAAAAAGAAGAAAGGGGATTTTATTAGAATTTCAGTCACGCTGAGGATTTTATTTTAACGATCGCTTGTTAGTTTTTAATTGAAGTATTATTTGATTTTTATTTTATTTACTTTTGAATTTATCAATTACAATTTTTTAATAATAAAAAATCAAATAATTCATTTGTCAATCGTTCATTAAAAGTTTAGGGTATTCTGTATTGATATTATATTTTATATGTTTGAAAATCATAGAAATAATTTATCATGTGCTTAATACACTCAGAAAAAAGAAAAGTTAATTTTTAGCGAAAAAAACCTTGAAATTTCTTGTAAATTTAACTTTGACCTCGGATAACTTTTGACGGAGTAGACTTATTGAAAAATGATGGAGAACTTTTTTATAGTGTTAAATTTTCTACAAAAATATATTATATGGTTTTACTAAAATGACTGCTTGTTGAGCAGTTACGCGATTTTAAAGTTTAGATAGTAAGTTTTTTTATTGTTAATCAAATGAGAAATTGAAATTTTCAATACAATCAAGTAAAAAAATATAAATTTTTTGAAACAGTCTACTAGTAATATATTAATTTTAAAAAATTAATTTATCATTTTAAAATTGTTAATCAAAAATTAGAATTTTAATTTGAGAACTTTTCAAATAAAAAATCTTTGCAAAATCCGATTTTTTGACAATCAAACCAAATTTTATCTTTAATCTGCCAGAGTAGAATATTTTGGAAAAAAAATTTGTTATCTTTATTTTTTTATTTAATTACGTCGCTGCAATTTATCACAAAATTTTAAGCGTACACAGAAAAAAAATTAACTTGAATCAAGTAAATAATTTTGAAGAATTTCATCTTTTTGGTTTGAGTTGAAAAATTCTTAAACTAAGAAATTTTTCTTAGTTTAAGTAAATTTTACTTGATTCAAGAATTTTTCTCTTGATTGAAATTAATTTTTTTTTCAGTGTACATCCTTATCAGTATAATTACTATACTAGTGTTAACCGGTAATGGAAGGAGCTAGTTAGTCATTTGTGTAAAACAATGATCAAGAGTTATTATAATTGTCAGGGATGACAGAGTTAAGAAAATTAATGCCTCTCTTACAAGAGATTGTCTTTGGAGTAAGATCTAGTTTCAGTGTGTCCATTCTATTTCTATCCCGGTGTCATAGATCCATCAGCCATTATGTCACTCGACCGTTCACTGGCCGGGAAGATTACTTGAACGAGCTCTAGGTAAGCGTAAGGTTTTTGTTCGAAAACGCGATGAGTCGAGGGACGGCCAGACCCTTTGGAGTTTGATACACGCTACAAGTGAAGACCGACTAAGATTTGTTTTGTGTTGTTTTGTGCTACCGCCGTCACCCCTAGCTCCGTAATCCGTATACTCCTTTTGGCTTGCGACTACCGACGGTCTTTCTTGTATCGGGTCCGCTACAAGTACAAGAGCAGTGTACAGAGAGACCTTCATTTCATGCTCTACGGTATCACGATGCCTTGAGAGCCAACAAGCTATGTATAGCCGAGACTAAAATCGTGAGCAGAAAAAAAATATAAATAAACTTTAAAGTTCAAGTAAAATAATACGGGAGCCAGTTGCCGCTTTGAATATATTAAGCCGAGTGTAATTTTTGTTTCATGTCGAAAAGTATAAATTTCTATGTATAGTTAACTGTATAATGATAATAATAATGGTAATAGCAATAATAAAAATGACTTACGCGCTGGAATCCATTTCGTAGTCCTTGGCTTTAGCAGTGTGTTTCCTTTTGCATCGGAAGAATAAAAGTAATAAAGCTGCAAAGAGGAGGAATACTGCGCCACTGACTACTATCGCGATCAATGTTGGCGTTGCTATTGCATTCGCTTGAACTAAAGACGGTCCAACTGTTGAAAAATTTAATTTATTTAATGAAATTGTACTTTATTTTATTGAACAGTGCTCCCGGATATTTAGATATTTTATCGACAATCCCGTAAAATTATTAAGAAATCATCATTAAGATTAGAGAATGATCTTAATTTTGAAATTAACTCGTTTATGATAATTATTATTAGAGGTAATGTAATTGGTAGAGATTAAATGGGATTTATTTCATTGAAACATATGATAAGGTTAAAATTTATTTTATCATATTAGAAAAAAATAAATAATGAAGTTGAAATTTTTAATTTTTATAATGGATATTTCGTAATTTTATAAGGTAGAAAATCTTGAATAATTTGGTAAGTGGGATTAAAAATTTATTGAGAAATTTATAAATTGACTAGATCAGGTTTTGAATGTCTACTTCAAACGGAACTATAAATAAGGTAAATGCTTCCTCTATTGGCCAATTGAGTTAAATTTCAAATTTTTTTTAAAAGTACTCAATATTTCTCAATATATGAAATAAATAAAAATAAATAGTAAAGCATCGTAATTTTGATTCAAAATATACATCAAATTATCTATCAAATATTTCGCAATAAAAACTGATTTTATCCTATTTTATTATCAATAAGCCAAAAGAAGGATCATACACCTAAACTATTGTAAAATTTTCTTCATTATTCAATAAAAATCATTTTTCCCCATATAAAAATTCTATAAAAATCACGTATATAAAATCAGCATACGCCACAATATTATCGTAGATATCATCACATAATAACCCTTGAATACATTACCGAGGACCCTAAAATAGCGACATGCCTCCGGCAAGCACCGAACGGGAACACTTTTATAATATCAAACTCGATTTTACTAATATTAATATTTTTCCATATTAAAAAAAAAAAAAATATAAACAAAGCCGTACCTTCAGCTTCGGTCCAATCACCGCACTTCTGCTTGTCCGATTGCAGACAGAGCCTAACTCTGAGTCGTGACCCGACGTTCGACATATCTGGGTCGTTGAGAATCCCATCCTTGGTAGTGGGTGAGCTGCCAAGAACTTCCAGAAGCCACTCGTCGACGATTTTCCAGACCTCATTCGGTCCATTGTCCAGCCTTTCGATAGACGCGACCACGGCGAGACAAGTCGGTCCGACATTTATCACCAAATTACTGCTCTCCGGGTCAAAGGTGACACGGTTGGGCGCCGGAATTTTAGCGACTGTCGTAACGAAAGTTTTCTCGTCCGAATAGTCCGAGTGGTTTTTGGTGTTGTAGACCTTTATCTTGAAGGTGTACTTTTGGTGCTGCTCCAAGTCCGTGATATTGCAGGGATTAGCGCGTCGGCAATCGCGCTCTATCCACTGACCGGCCGGGCTGCGAGGGGACGCACAATCCGGGGCGATAGTTTCATCCTCGCTGGGAATTCGCCGATAAGACACGAAGTATTTGGTGATCTCTAGACCCCCGTCGAATCCAATTTCCCACTGCAAGGCCACGTAAGTCGGCCCGATCTCTAAGGCCGTGAGGTCGGTCGGTTTTTCTGGAGCGCCTTTAGACTGGAGAGTTATCACTGAAGTGGTCACTCCTTGGGCGTTTATCGCGTGGCAGCTGTAGTTGTTGTAATCCGCCTCTTTGATGTCTGTGATTTTCAGGACTGAGTTGTAAATGTCGTCGTTCTCGCTGGTGGTCCAAATTTCGTAGTGCCCATCGCTGGATGACCCTTGGAGTGGAACCGAGTTTGAGCCGTACTTCCATTGGAACTCTGGCTTTGGCCAGGCTTGGACTTTGCAGGTCACTTCGGCAGTTCCTCCGAGGTCGTAGGCGACTTTGTTGTGGCGGTGAAGGACTATGGGCGCGTGTTCCACCTTCAACATCATCTGGGACTCCACGCGCTTCACTTCGTTGTTGAAGACACAGGTGTACTTTCCGCGGTCGCTAGCGATTATTTTGTCAGTTTGGGGACGTGCGTGACCGAGGAAACTTAAAGTTGAGTTCACGCTGATCACGTTTCCGTGACCTAATGACTCTCGCGTTTCTACTTTGTACAGGCTTGTGTCTGCGGTTAAATCTTCGTCGTCTTTTAACCAGCGAACTGTTGGCTTTGGTTTTCCTTGGGCGACACACATCACCGAGAAGGATGACTCCCCGACTCTGTAAATTATTTTGGTGGTTAGTTTAAAATTGTATATTGGAAAGTATTTTTTTTTTTTGGGTACAAATTTTCAATTATACGTTTAAATATTTTACAAACTTTAATTTAATAAAAAAATTTTAGGTCAACAATGAGAGATAAAAGAAAAAAAAATTACTAAGACCAAAAAAAAAATTTTTTTTAAAATGATACTTAATTTTTTTTGTTATAACAAAATTTTTATTCGAAATTTTGTGATAAATAATATTTTTAATTTAACGACTCTGAAAAATTATTTTGAAAAAAAAACTCTGAAATTAACTCCGTAATAAATAATAAAAAAAAAAAAATAAATAAATCATTCATATAAAAAATTTAATGAAAAAAAAATTGGCTTTTGATGAAATTCTTTGTCCTCAAATATAAAAAAAACAATATTCAAGACAAAAATCGTAACAATAGTCTTTACTTACTTTCTAGTAACATGAGGTTGAAGTTTAGTAAGAATTTTGGGCGGCTGATTGACAGTAAGTTTAATAGAAGCAGCTTCTCCCGTTCCAATTTCATTAAGTGCGTGACATTTGTAAGTGCCGTCATTAATTAGATGGACAGAAGGTATGACAAACTGCGGTCCGGTGGTCTCAATAGGCATCTGTTGGCCCTGGTCGTCGCCCTCCTTCCACCACTTGTACTCAGGCTCGGGATAGCCCGCGGGGCTGGCCATACATGTCAGTATAACTCGGGAGTTTTCGATCGCAACCGGCGAATCTGGAGTAACTCTGGCGGGTCCTGGTTTGTGGCGAATGCGAATGTTAACCCTAGCCCGATCTGAGTAATTCTTGCTCTCACCGCCCGTAGGATGCATTATATTGATCGCCTGGCAAGTGTAATTCCCGGCATGATCCGCGGTGACGCGATTCAGCCGCAACAGAGGTCCGGATTCACGGAATTCCGGTCTACCCTCGCGAGTCCACTCAATAATCGATGCCGGTGGATTTGCGGAGACATTGCAGTGGATGTTTATCGTGTCTTCGACCTCGGCAATTCGTATGGACTCGCCCTCGATAGTCACCTTCGGCTTGTAGAGCACGTCCAGGTACAAAGAAGCTTGTCCGGATCTGTCCAGCCCGTTGTTCGCCTCGCAGGTGTACTTTCCGACGTCCTGGATCGCGACCCGGGGGATGGTGTGCTCGAAGCTGGTTGCGATGAAGCTTCCGTCCCTCAACCACCTGACCATGTTCACCTTCGGCTTGGAGTCGACGTTGCACTTCAGGACGGCTTTGCCGTTTACTTCGACCTTCAGAGGATTTTCCGGGCCGACTGTCACCCGCGGAAAGTAATTCACGTCCAACCTGACGGAGGCGTTGAGCGTTTCGCCGTCAGGCATCGCGCGATTTCGGACTACGCACCGGAATATTGCCCCGTTGTCGTCTTTGGTCGGTGTGAATTTGTACGTACGTCCGCTGTGGAGAAGCCGCTGGCTGTTGTCGCGGTACCACTTAACTTCTGGCTCGGGACTGCCTCCGTAGGTGTTGCAGTGTAATTGGAGCTCCGTGCCCTCAGTAGCCGCGGTAGAGGCTGGTGCAATCGACGGAGGACCTGGCGCTCTAAGTACCGTCAAAGTGACGTTCCGGTGGAAAAGATTCTCCCCACTGCCGGTCATCTTCACGCGACACTCGTATTTTCCGTTGTTGCGCTCGTAGGACACATTCAGGATTTTCAGGTCGTAAATACCCTGGGAAAGGTCCATGAAGACGTTGTAGTTCGGCGACAGGGCTTTGTCATCGATCGCGGCATTGTCGTGCACGTTGTTCGTGTGAGTCAGCCAGAAACTCGTCGCGTTCTTTTGCACTGGCGGGAACCGACATTTCAGCATCACTGTTGACCCTTCGTGCGTGTCCACTTGGATTTCCTCGGCTGCTTGCACTTGTGATAGAGCTGAAACAGATAATTATTTTTTTATTATTTATTTGATTATATTTTTAATTATTTATGGATAATTATCAGTGAACAAGAGGCATGTAATTGTCAATAGTTTCGTAATCATTTGTACAATTTGATTAAAGAAATAATTGTATGATTTTATCCACTTTATTGTAAATAATTATTAAAAATAATTTAAAATTGTTTTTTTAGTTTTTTGAACTATAATTAATTTTATATCATTAAAGATTTTTTTTTTTTTATTTAAAAATATAATTTTTCAATGGAATGTTTCTCATAAAATTCATCAGTTTAATTAAAAATTTTACAACTTTCCATAAAATTTTCCAATATTTGAGCTCTAAACATCTAGAATAATTTTCTTAAGCACCACTGTACCGTTCTAAACCCAAATTTTCAGAACAATAAAAAACATTCCGTTACTGACTTTCTCAAACGACACTCTAAATTTTTCCTCCAACAAAAATAGGTCACTATTACCGTTAAAAAGATTAAAAATGTATCAACAAATAGTAAATAGACCTTAATTTGACCTTTCAGCTGCCCAACATATTAAGATTTCATTGTTGAAAAAAAAAAAAAAAAATTAAAAGTCGAATTACCGGGGATAAGTTATATTATAAAGTTACTAAACTTTTTACCAGCAAACAGCTATTATATCACAAGAAATAAAAAGCAAAGACAAGTAATAAGTATCATGATCCAACTCATAATCAAAGAGACTTTGGTATAAGTTTATGCCCGCGATAAAAACATCCGGTTGTTCTTTGCCTCGTACCGGCATCTTACAACTTTTTTTCTCAGTTCTTATATTAGCTGTCTATATATATATATATATATACAGTGCGATAGATAGATAAAATGTTGACGAGGGCTTAGAAAAGGGGATGATAACGTCCAAGTGCTCTATAAAGAATACTACTAGACATTCTGGTTGTCGATTTTTACCAAGGAGTCGACTCGAGAAGAATATCACGCTTATATCCACGATATTGTTTGAGCCAATAGGAGATAGAAATAAGAGCATGAGGATGTCTTTCATTCTTGTTGCCTACCTATGGCCCGTGGACTTTTATCCGAGCCTTTTTACTCCCTTAAACTTTTCTTATTTTATTCCATTTCTTTTTCTTTTGTCTTTATTTCCTCGTCTGGTGTAACGACGTCACTTGCTCATCTGCCGTATTTTCCTTCCCGCAAAGGTATTGTGGAGTCTCTTGGTGGAATAAGGCAAGCTCTCGTTTTGAGGCAGCCTCTTCTCTAGCTATCTGTTAGTGCCACCCTCTCGAATCGTTTATGAAATCCTCGGTTTTGTTGATTATAATTCAATTTATAGCAGACGAAGTACAGAGGACAAAGATAGAGATAGAAATAGACTGCAGCTCGCTAGATGAATGTATATTTATACACAGAATCAAATTCGGGTGGAGGAAATAACTGGAGGGTTCGTATCAGCCAGGAGAATAAGGAAAATTGAATGAAAATGCGGAGAATTGTCAAAAGCCAAGATATTGTTATTGTCTATTTGAATTTATTTCCCAATAATTTGCAGGAGAAATCACGGACAATAAAGAACAGACAAGCCCATCATTTACCGTGTGCAGTTTACTACGAAATGACCCCATAAAATAGTCTATTTGAATCCCCTCACCCTCACAAATACCAATATCTCTGTAGATATATATTTTAGTTTTAACAAGCGCCTCGTTCCTCTGCTTCCCCTCAGTCCTGTTTTAACTTTATAATTAATCGTATAATTTTAAACATAACATTATTAGATGTTATCGGGACAATCCCCTGACACTCACTAAATAAATACTAAATATAAGCGTGTATATATTGTTAACGATACGTTTAAATGTCAATGAAGTGAAAACATTAAACACTGCGGAAATGTATACTGTATTATATACCTTCATGCATGTCATGCTGTCGCAGAGTAAACTCTGCATAATTATATTAGTTAATGTAATATGTACTTTACAATGTGGTAGAAAAATTTACGGAATTAATGTGGTGTTCCTTTATTGACTATTCGCGAGTAATTTAATTCATTTGTAGCAGTATTGAATTAAAATGTTTCGATTGATTTTAATGGTAATGATGTCTATTTTCTATTTATATTAATGAATGAGACTTTGTTTTTTATTAAATAAAATACCTAAGAATGATAAATTAATTTTTTTTTATTTTTATTTAATTAAAAATAAAATAAAAATTCAATAATTTATTTATTTGTTATTTAATCAATGCTATTTAATTATTAGTTAAATACAATTTCAATAATAAATAATATTAAGAGTTTATTTTAATTATTAGGATAAAACTAAGAAAGCAAACTGAAATTTCATAATTTTTCATTGTAAATCAAAAATTACAAACACTCACAAAAGTCTTTATATAAATAGATAAATATTAAGTCTTAGTATTCGAACAGAAAAAAATCCTAAACGCCATCTGTTGGTCACCACAGATAACCATATCGACCAAAACTTTTTTTTTAATTATAATTAAAATATTATTGACATAATAGTTACCCGTGTAAAAATGAAATTATTATTTTTTACGAAAAAAATAATAAATTTTGTTCGACCGCCGAACCACCGCCGTTTGGCGTAATATTCCGCCGTTGAACGACCGCCGCACCAATGCTAAAGCATAGCTACAATTTTATAAAAAATGACTTCATAATTAATTTATCATGCAATAATTAATTAATAAATAACCCGATTAGAAATTTTAATGTTATTTATAGTACAACCTCCTTTTATTCAAATGCTTAATATTCAAATAAAAAAAATTTTTTTTAATCAGATTGAAGAATATTATTGATTTTTTTTTGTCGTATTGTTGATGTAGATTTTTAATTTCATCCTCCGGTTTGCACAGAAACGGCGAGTCGATCGAAATATCCTGAAAAAATTTTAAAGATTAAGCTGCGATGGGAATCGAACCTGGGTCGTCTGCATGCATGGAAGTCTCGAACATTACCAACTAGGCTACAAGTCGTAGTTAACTGAGAGAATTTGGTTTAGTTATTTGAATGATCAACAAATATTTTATTTCAATGTATACCATCAAACGGCGGTCGTTCGGTGGTGGTTCGGCGGTCAAACAAAATTTATTAAAAGTTGACAATTTTTAATTCGTCACAGCTGTGGTGCGGCGGTGGTTCGGCGAATTGATAAATTTTAACCTGTCACGGCGGTGGTGCGGCGGTGCTTCGGCAACCATAAAAAAATTCAAATGGTCACATTCATGGTGCGGCGGTGCTTCGGCGGCGCTTCGGCGATTAGAATGCCGTGCAGCGGTGTTTCGGCGGTAATGCAGTGAACCCACTTTTACTTAAACAGTCGCGGCTATGGTGCGGCGGTGCTTCGGCGACCATACAAAAATTAAAATAGTCACAGTCATAGTGCGATTAAAAAGCCGTGCAGCGGTGTTTCGGCTGTGATGCGGCTAAATTCTGTTTTTACTCGGGTATTATAAAATATTTTAAAAACTTATTTTTGTAGCCTATCTAAGAATTGATAATGGATTAGAGGTTTTTATTTAAAAAGAAAATATATTTCCACATGAAGATAAAAATATCTTTGAAGACATATCCATCAAACATAAAGTTAATATAAACGATATTTTAAACAGTATGACATACATTTAATATGAATATCAACCGGAATTATCAATTGACAACATATATATATATATATATATATATATATATATATATATATATATACACATTACTGATATAAAAGAGCCGAGTAGATAGGATATTTAATAGTATTTATAGGAAGACATATCAGACATGAACGCTTGATATGACATTTGTCGTTACATTGGATATTAGGTAATACGATCCACGATACATCAAATCCCACGTGTATTACTTCCACCCATACATATATACATTAGACATAGATATGATAACTACAGAAATATGACTAGACATCACACAACTAAACCTGAGAAGACATTAATCCATATATGCATGCATCCAGCCAACATACACAGGCCGAGTCATAATACGATGATAAAACGCGACTTGTCAAGCGTATTCGGATCACGGTACTGTTATTATCATATAATAGCTCCAGTGGTATGTGTATTCTCATCTCCAAGTGAAGACGAGAATCCACGTTGAATTTTACGACAAGTCTCTTAACACGAAAGTACCGTTACCGCGGGTTATGACTCTAGTGTCTATGTCTATATCTATTCCTACCCACTTGGTATCGTCATCGAGAATTGCACGATGTAGCTGCAGCTGTAGCCGCTAGTTGTAGCTGTACCTTATATTATATGGGCTACAGGAACACAAATGTTTGTGGGTTTCACCCAGGATGCGAAGTGATCGACTGACCGGTGATTCGTGGAAAACGCATATCCACAATGTAGACTGCTGCATTTAACAGTATGTCTATAAATGTAGGTTGCAATTGTGATATTATAATAATAATACCATATCCTACCGAAGGTATTAGAGGTATTGTGAGTTGCTAATGCAATTATATGATTGTATGTCAAATGTAGACTCTATCTTAACGCGCTGGTTTCTCTACTGTAAAAATACGTATTCACGTGGCACTAATATGAATATCTGAATCATCGTAATACTTGGTATTAGTGCAGGACTTATATTTTCTGTACAATACTACAGCAAGTCAGCAGTTAGGATAGTTAGAAAATTTCCGCGTATCTACTCACTCATATGTTTAAGTTGTTCAACGGTGATATGTCAAATTGGGATAGACTTGTGCGCTCAATCTATACACTGATAAGAAAATCAACTTGACTCAAGAGCCAAAATCTTGAACCAAGAATACCATTTTAAAGACAATGATTTTCTTAAGTCAAAAGAATAAATTCTTGAGTCAAGAAATCGACGGTCTAATTAGTGATTGGTCTTCCTCATTTTTTAGAAGGTGATTTTTTAACATTCTGATGCGGTAATAGTATAATAAATAATTATAAATTATTTTAATGATCCAAACCAAAATATTATACTTCTAGAAGATATTA